TTATTGAGAGTGAAAAAAAGATACATCTATCATTAAATTCTAAATCAAATATATCAAAAAAAAAAAAAGAATTAAGGATTAGAAATTCCTACAGATTATTTTAAAATTTTCTCAATCATTTGTTTTCTGGAAGTATCACACAAGTATCTTCTGATGGCACTATAATGATGAAGAGATCATTTGAAATGGTATAACTACAAATAAATAATTTTTAACACGAATATAACATGTATGATTTTTTATACTGTATAAAATACATGTAAGAAAGGTTTCAATTACTAAATATGATCAATACTATTTCAATAAATGGGGTCACTTGAGAAGGGTTTATCACGTGATGAACGAACGAGATCATTTGGAAAGGTCCAAATAAAAAAAAATAATCTTTTACACATATAAACTATATACTATTTATGGTTATATAAAATGTATATATGATTTATTTAAACTACTAGATATATTCAAGAGTATTATTTCTATAAATGGGGTGATTTGAGAAGTGTTTATTAAAAGATGAATTGGAACAGGATGATGTGGAAAGGTTAAACTAAAAATAAATTATTTTTAACATAAATATAAAATGTATGAATTTTTTATGGCTTTACAAAATGTATATATGATTTGTTTCAAATACTATATATGCTCAATAGTCTTTCAATAAACGGGGTAACATGGAAAGAGTTAGTAAATGATGAACATTTGGAAAAATTGAATCAAAAATAAATAATTATTAACATAAATATATTATATACTAACCCCGTCTCAAAAAAATAATCCACAGTGAGTTTTCAAATGTGTAATAAAAATAGTACAAAACTCAAAACTCAAACCAATACGTCACGGATTCGAGTCACGCCGGGGGTAAGTAGAAAACCACTATTGATCCCTTTTTTTTTAAAAAAAAATTATTTTTATGTCTATATAAGATGCATTTATAATCTATTTCAATTAGTAGATATGTTTAATAGTAATTCAATACACGTTGTCACTTGGGAAGGGTTTGTTACAACATGAATTTGAACGAGATTATATTAAAAATAAATAATTTTTAACATAAATATAAAGTGTATGATTTTTATGGCTATGAAAATGCAATTATGATTTGTTGCCATTACTAGATATATATATGTTCAATAGTACTTCAACAAACGGGATCACTTTAGAAGGGTTTATTACAAGATGAATTGGAACATCTCGAATCAAAGTAAATAGTTTTTAATATAAATATAAAATGTATAATTTTTTATATATGAAATGCATTGGCAAAGGTTTCTTATAAGATAAATTGGAACGGGATTATTTGAAAATATTTAATTAAAAATAAATACTTTTTAACATAAATATAAAATGTATGATTTTATGACTAAAAATAAATGCATGATATTTTTCAATTATTAGATATGCTAAATAGTACTACAATAGAAAGGGTTTATTACAATATTTATTGGAATAAGACCCTTTGGAAAGGTACGATTAAAAATAAATAACTTTTAACACAAATATAAAATGTATCATTTTTTATGGTTATATCAAATGCATGTATGATTTGTTTTAATTGCTTAACATGCTCAATAGTATCCCAATAAACGGGGTCACTTGGGAAGGGTTTATTACAAGATGAATTGCAACGAGATAATTTGTAAAGATCTAACTAAAAATAATATTTTTAATAAATATATAAAATTTATGATGTTTATGACTATATAAAATGAATGTAGGACCTTTTTTAAAAAAAAATTAACACAAATATAAAATGTATGGTTTTTTATGACTATTTAAAATGCATACATTATTTTTTTTAATTACAAGATATTCTCAATAGTGTTTCAATAAATGAGGTCACTTGGTAAGAGTTATTATAAGATGAATTGGGACGGTATGATTTGGAAAGGTCCAAATAAAAATAAATTTTTTTTTCAAACAAATATAAAATGTATGATTTTTCATTGTTATAAAAAATGAATGTATAATTGGTATACATAATAGTATGTCAATAAGTGGGGTTACTTAGAAAGGGTTTATTATAAGAAAAATTGGAACGGGATCTTTTGGAAATGTCTACTAAAATTAAATATTGTTTTACACAAATATAAAATGTACGACTTTTTAGGGCAGTATAAATAAATATATATATATATATATATATGATTTGTTTCAATTACTAGATGCTCGATTGTATTTTAATAAGAAAAAGTTATTTGAGAAGTACTTATTACAAGATGAATTGAAACGGGATGATTTGGAAAGGTCCAACTAAAAATATTAACTTTTAACGCAATTATAAAACATATGATTTTATGGCTATATGAAATGTGTGTATGATTTGTTCTAATTACTAAATATTCTCAATAATATTTTAAGAAACGGGGTCAGTTGAAAAGGGTTTGTTACAAGGCAAAAAATCTTCATCACTATAATCCTACACCCCTTCCTACATCCTTTACCAAGATTTTGACACCAGGCCCCAACGGGTTTATCCAATAACGGGTTAGGGTGTTAGTAAATTTTTTTTAAAAAAGAAAGAAGTAACTGAATAAAAAAATGTAAAAAAAAAATTATATGGTCAGTACTGCTTTAATAAACGGAGTCACTTGAGAAGACATTTTTCATAAGATGACCTAGAACGAGATCAATTGGAAATGTCTAATTAAACATAAATAATTTTTAACAAAAATATGAAAGTGTGACATTTTATGACTATATAAAATACATGTATTATTTGTTTCAGTTACTAGTTATACTCAATAGTGCTTCAATAAACGGGGCCACTTTAGAAGAGTTTATTACAAGATGAATTAGAACAGAATCACTGGGAAAGGTCGAACAAAAAATAAATAAATTTAACACAAATATAAAATGTATGGTTTTTTATGGTTATTTAAAATGCATATATTATTTGTTTTAATTACAAGATATTGTCAATAGTGTTTCAATAAACGAGGTCACTTGGTAAGAGTTTATTATTAAATGAATTGAAACGGTATGATTTGGAAAGGTCTAAATAAGAAATAATTTTTTTCAAACAAATATAAAATGTATGATTTTTCATTGTTATAAAAAATGAATGTATGATTGGTTCAAGTACGAGATATACACAATAGTATGTCAATAAGCTGAGTCACTTAGAAAGGGTTTATTATAAGAAAAATTGGAACAAAATCTTTTAGAAATGTCTAACTAAAATTAAATATTTTTTTACACAAATATAAAATTTACGACTTTTTATAGCTATATAAATACATATATGATTTGTTTCTACTTGATGCTTAATTGTACTTCAATAAGAAAAAATTATTTGGGGAGGGCTTATTACAAGATGAATTAGAATGGGATGATTTGAAAAGGTCCAACTAAAAATATTAATTTTTAACACAAATCTAAAATATATGATTTTATGGCTATATGAAATGCATGTATGATTTGTTTTAATTACTAAATATTGTCAATAATATTTCAAGAAACGGGGTCAGTCGAAAAGGGTTTATTATAAAAATCTTCTACACTATAATCTTACACCACTTCCTACATCCTTTACCAGTATTTTGGCACCGGGCCCCAACAGGTTTATCAAAGGGCGAGTTAGAGTGTAAATAAAATTTTTAAAAAAGGAGAGCAATGATTAAGTAAAAAAATGTAAAAATATTATATAGTTAATAGTACTTCAATAAACAGGATCAGTTGAGAACGGTTTATTACAAGATGACTTTGAATGAGATCAATTGGAAATGTTCAATTAAAAATAGATAACTTTTAACACATATATCAAATATATGATTTTTATAACTATGTAATACATGTATTATTTGTTTCGATTACTAGATGTGAACAATAGTACTTCCATAAACGGGACCACTTAGGAATAGTTTATTATAGAATGAATTAAACGGGGTACTTGGGAAGAATTTATAACAAGATGAATTAGAAAGGGATCATTTGGAATAATCCAACTAAGAAAAAAATAATTTTAAACGCTAATATAAAATGTATGATTTTTTATGGTTATATAAAATAAATGTATTATTTGTTTCAATTACAATGCCTGATGAAAAGTAATTCGTTAAACGGGATCACTTTGGAAGAGTTTGTTACAAGATGAATTGGAACGAGATCATTTGGGAAGGTTTAACTAAAAATAAATAAGTTTTTCACTCAATTTTAAAATTTATGATTTTTTATTACTATAAAAAGTGCATGTATGATTTGTTTCATTTATTATGTATGCTCAAGAGTACTTTAATATATAAGCGAGATTACTTGGGAAAGTTTTATTAAAAGATGAATTAGAATGGGATTATTTGGAAAGTTATAACTAAAAATAATTAATTTTTAATATAAATATGAAATGTAGGATTTTTTATAGCTATACAGAATGCATGTATGTTTTGTTTTAATTACTGGATTAAATAATATAATTAAAAATTATACACAATAAGATCTACATCTCACGTGCAACACACGGGTCAGTACTAGTAGTTTATAAAATTGACTTCAATGGATTCTGGTCGTGTTCAGTAATGAGCTGATTTGTGGTGAAAATGGAGGGAAAATCGAAAAGAGCAAAATATAAGAGCGGGCAAAAGCGCGAATCTTGAACCCCCAAAATCCGAAGACAAAAGACAGCACTGAAATTACCAAAAGAACCCGCCCCAAAGAAAAGGGGAAAAAAAGTAGACGAAAATACGAAATAGAGAAGAGAAGACCGCATAAAATTAAAATATATATAGATATATCTATATATATATATATATAAAGAAAATTAACTCCGCAGTGAAATAGGTAGAACTGAAGAAGCTACAGGAGCTCACGCAGAACGAACATCGGCCTCCTCCCGTTCCACTCCCCTCTTTGCAGATGCAGGGTGCGCGGTGATTCGATTTTCAATTCCTGATTTCCACTAGCTCAACCCTCTATTAATATTTTTTTTCGGAGGATACAAATCTTTTCTCGCGGCCGGCGCCGGAATTTTCGAGAAGGGTTTTCGGTGGATTGGCGGTGAAGAGATGTCGTCGGACCTCGATAGGCAAATAGAGCAGCTAAAGAGATGCGAACCTCTTAAGGAATCGGAGGTTAAATCTTTATGTCTCAAGGCTATGGAGATTCTAGTTGAAGAGAGTAATGTTCAGAGGGTTGATGCTCCTGTTACTGTAAGTCATTTCTGTTGTTTTTATTCCTCTCCTTATTTGAATTTATGTCGTTTTAATTCGACCGGATCCTTTACTTTTGAAATTTGTTCGTAGTATTTTGATTTACATTCATATTGTTGTTTCTTACTGATTTGGTTTATTTATTTCCCCCTTTAACTGAGAAAAGGGGAAATAGGATTTGAATTTGTTTCTCGACTACTTTTGCTTTTGCCTATTGAGTTAGCTCGACATTGTCCTGGGTAACTCGATTTTAATTGAATTCGAATTGGAAAGATAACAGTTTAAAATTTAAAGCTTCCAGGTGTGTTTTCTTATAGCTCGTTTCTTTTTTGGATTTTAAGCGCACATGTATTGTGGTTGTTACACTTTTGTGTTTGTGTTGCTATGAGCTAATAAATTGAGGAAGTTAAGTATCAGTGGGCTGTCTCCCTGTGCTTGGTGTATAGTAATATGGTTAAAGAAGATATCTCGGGTTTAGGTTCCTAGACGAAACTGTGGCCAATTAGATTGATAAAAGGTGGGGAAGGGGGGAGCATCATGGTGCTTTAACTGGACCTGCTAGCTAGAGGAGTATGATCCTGGGAAAACAATTTCATCCCTGAGGAAGTGCTCAGGTGCGCCAGTTAGTGGAAGGGCTGTAAGTGGCATAAAGTGATCAAACACTTTGCCTTTCTAATGTAGTCTTTGTACTTAGGAGAGGAAGAGATGGATGAGCTCTTTCATGTCGTAATTATTTCTTATTCTCTGCAAAATTGAAGCTCAAAAAGACGTAGACAGTGTTACAATGCACCATCAGTTGACTTAAATGGACTAAACTAAGATAGCTGTGTGAGTTTTAGATTGCTATAGCTATGCTTATCAGACACCATGGTCATTTTGCCAAGCTAAAAAATTTGATGGTTTTGGAAGCTGAGGCTTACGTGTGGCTTCATTCATTCTAAATGGAGTTTCCTAGATTTTATTTTTGTGATTGTGCATTGTATAACCACACTAGCATTCACTGGAACTTTGATCATTCTAATTCTTTCCTGTCTTATTGCAGATATGTGGTGACATACATGGCCAATTTTATGATATGAAAGAGCTGTTTAGAGTGGGAGGTGATTGCCCAAAGACAAATTACTTGTTTCTTGGAGACTTTGTTGATAGAGGATTTTATTCAGTTGAAACGTTTCTTCTTCTCCTAGCATTAAAGGTGGTAAACACTTTCTTTTGATATTTGCGTGCATTTCTTTTGCGCTGTCTAGGTTAAGTTCATTGAACAACTACTAGTTTCATGACTTCCCCTCTTTTTGAAGCACGCATACAAACATTCATAGTCTATGTGAAGTTTACATTTCCCTGTTGCCAGTTTCCTTTTATCTTTTGTGTTTGTGATACGAATTGGATAGCTCAAGTTTTCAATCCTTTATACAAGTCTTTTTCGAATGAATTTATGTATTCAATTTACTGGGTATATTCCTCTCTCACTAAGTCATGAAGTGCAAATTGTCAGGTGAGGTATCCAGATCGGATAACCCTCATTAGGGGAAATCACGAGAGCCGGCAGATTACTCAGGTTAGCTTTGTGTGTGCGCGTGTTTTAAAATTTATTACTTGAATTCCCGAGATCTGTTGGCCCACTGTTTCTTTTAGTGTCACTTAGTGTTCCTCCTTCCAGGTTTATGGATTCTATGATGAGTGCCTCCGCAAATATGGTTCTGTCAATGTTTGGAGATACTGCACTGATATTTTTGATTATTTGAGGTGTGTTAATTTCTTTTTCATTTGAAGTCTTTTTTCACTTTGTAAAATAAACAATCTGTCCTTTAAAGATGTATGAAGTAACATTTTGACGTATCAGTACATGAATCCCGTTTTTCTCCGTGTGACTCTGTCTACTAGTTAAATATTGAAAATAATGGTGCTGGACGTATGCAAGCTCCATTCTCTTTATTACTGCTCTTTTGCTTTCTCTGAATGTTGGCGGCTATTTATGCAGTCTGTCCGCACTTATTGAAAACAAGATATTTTCAGTCCATGGAGGTCTCTCCCCAGCAATTTCCACTTTAGATCAGGTTCAAAAAATTAATTTTTAGTTTTCTAAGTTCTGGAAATTTTGGGCAAGTCTGTTGACCATTTATCATTTGGGTACCACCTACTTCTCAGATAAGAACAATTGACCGGAAACAAGAAGTACCTCATGATGGCGCTATGTGTGACCTCTTATGGTCTGACCCTGAAGAAATTGTTGAAGGTTGGGGTTTGAGTCCTCGGGGTGCTGGTTTCCTGTTTGGCAGTAGTGTTGTTACTCCATTCAACCATACAAATAACATTGACTATATATGCCGTGCCCATCAATTGGTCATGGAAGGTTATAAATGGATGTTCAATAATCAGATAGTTACTGTTTGGTCGGCGCCTAACTACTGTTACAGGTAGATTTTGTGACTATAAGCTCAATATTTGTTATATTAGAGAAACCTATTTAATTGTTCTACTTGAATGATCTGCAGATGTGGGAACGTAGCAGCAATTCTCGAGTTAGATGAGAATCTCAATAAGGAGTTTCGTGTTTTTGAGGCAGCTCCTCAGGTTTGTGTTTGACTGCTTTTGCTGTATTGAAGCTTTTCTCTATTGTTTATGGTTTAACTGCAATAACTAGCTGGTACGAGAATTCCCAAGGACATGCTAGTATTCTGTATGTAGTAGCTAGTTGGTTCTGGGCCTTACTTGCTTCTTGGTGGCTTTTAAGGAAAATAAAAGTTGTTCCTTCTTTTATGCCCTTAGATAATGTCTCAAATCATGAATATTTTGGTCTGCGTTTCTTTGTTTGGGGTATATCCTTCTCAACTTTTTATAAAAACATGCAGGAAGCTAGAGGTGCTCCTGCTAAGAAACCTCCGCCCGATTACTTCTTATGAGATGAGCTTGGGAGTTTATACTTTGCCCGTCTTCAGAATTGTGCTATAGAAGCAGTTGAGTGTACAAAATGGTGATTGGCTATGAATTATGCATTACACCTGGTGGCCGGATTGAAACGGATTGCTTCATATGTGGTAGGTTTCATATTATGCCAGCAGGGAGAGCCTTTCTGGTGTTCAAAGTGACTTGGATTATTTGAGCTGAGTTTGTTCAAGGCTGCATAGTCCATATTCTTTCACTCGTGTTTATTTGTGACCCTAGTGTGTTACTTAGATTGCCCAATCATACTGCAAATGCAAACAATACAGACAATTACATCAGATGAGGATCCAAAGATCATAAAAAGCAGCAGGGAATAGATTCTAGATAATGTGTGTGATGTAGAACTTCTGTTTTCTCGTTTTCATTCCTTTTTGTCTTCTACCCTCTTTGGCCATATAGTACTGAATTATTTGATCAGCCACATTGGTATCCCTTCAGCGTCCCATGTATCATTCAAGTTTTGTAATCTTTTATGGTTAATTTTCTCTATGAATTTGCATCGCCAATTCGGCAGACCTATGTATGATTTCCGTTCAAAAAGCAGGCATACGCCGTAGATATTGGTAATGAAGCTTAGGTGTTTAGAAATGGTGCAAGAGTTTACCTTAAAAGGGGGGAAAAAAGGTGAAAGAAAACAGAGAAAACGCTTGATAAATGGAATTTGTCACTGATGCTTATTTTCTAATTTCTATGATTAGTGGTTAAGGATACTAATGTGTCCCAATTGTCTTATGTCTGGCTGGAACTGGATTGATATTGAAACCTTGAACTTTTCCTTTCTCGATAATTAAATTATTCGTTAACGATAACGCCGCTAAGATGGCTACCTGGGTTTTTTTTTCCCCATTTGCGTCTTGCCTTCTTTCATTAATGATGTATTCCCTCCTGTTTTTATTACAAGGCGTTTTGATTTTTACTAGATTTTACTTAATACACATTTTTAATTGATAAAAAAACTTTAAAAATATATTTTCACAATCGTTGTGTTTTTTTGATTGTCATGAAATATTTTTAAGATTTTCTCGTCAATTAAAAATATCTACTAAGTTCAATTTAGAACAAATCAAAATACTTTACATTAAGGACATTAAAGATCGGAGGTCCTAAAATAATAGGCGGATCAAATCGAACTATGACATCGTTCACGTTTAGCCATTTGCCCATTTCTGGTGCACATTTTGCTCCACGGGGTATATACTTGAGCAAAACAGTGAAACTCAATACTAGTTGTAGAAAATCATAATTTTATCAGATGGTACTCTCCGTCTTAACCTTGGTTCAATTTTATAAAACCAAACAATATTGCCTTTCTATTAGTCCCTCTGATCCTATTTAGAAAGCCGAAATTAATTAAATCTATAATATGTTGGATGACGGAAAAAAGGTGATAACTTGCTAACAATAAATTGCATATTTTGTGGATTAACATGAACCGGGGAAATTAAAAAATACAGAGAGAGAAGAAAGATGGAAAGTCAAATTGGTGGTAATCCCAGACAGACAAGAACATTGGAAAGACACGAACAACTTGTTCGTACAAAGTTTTTTTGCTGGTTCAACTGATTTTATCTTTGTTTTTGTACAACAAAACACACCACTCTAGCAAGTGATGATGACCTTCCTGGTTCCCAACCTCGTGACAGAAGTCTTGTTGTATTATGCCAATTAACCAGATCCCTCTAATCAAGGTTAAACCCCGCGCAAAACTCCAGAACATCCCACCTCACCATCATCATCAATTCATCATCATCAACAACAGCCTCAATACCGATAGAGTTCGACCGTGCAACAATCCAAACCACCTCAAATCAGCCTCACCGGATAAATTCCGTTCCCAATTTTAACTCCTTTCGCGTCATGGTCAACGAACAAGAACGTTGCTTTCAAGTTTAAACAATGCCAATCATTATATATACTCACGTTTTTCCATCCGAATTCACAAACCCAGTACGATTCTCCCCGAATCATTTTGTAAATTTGTAATTTAATTCTATTATTCGTTGTGGATCTTTATCTGGGTTGCTCTGCTACCTCGGAATTTCCCTTGTTCTTTTTCCCTTCTCTGGGTTTCTATGGGGTATTCAAATTCAGTTAGAATTATTTTAGCTTTTTTATTTGTTTTGCTGCTTTCTTCCTGGACCCATGTTGCATCGGCTGATGAAGGGTACATATCAGCGGAGATATCGAATAAAGGTCTTGCCTTTATGAAGGATTTGCTGATTGAAAAAGCTGAGACTTCATTAGTTCCACTTGAGCTGCATAAGATTGAGAAGGGCGTGAAAATTCCTTTGATTGGTAGAGTTCATATGGAGGCATCAAATATTACAATTTACAAGATCCATGTTACAAACTCAACCGTCAGAATTGGCGAGTCGGGCATAGTTATTGATGTTTCTGGTGCTACTGCCAATTTGACCATGAATTGGAGCTATTCCTACAGTACTTGGTTCGTTCCAATTGCGATTTCGGATAAAGGAGAGGCAACTGTTGAGGTAAAGTTTCAATGTTTTTCTTTCATTAAGAATCGAAATTAATTAGGAAGATGTTGAAACAATGATGATTAGCTTATTAGCATCTTTTCAGTTTTATTTTTCGGGAAGCATGTGTGTTGCTTTCATGCTCGTGAATCCTTTATTGGACAGCAAAGAAGCTAACTTTATGATACAAACATGTCTGCAAGGGTATTGATTGTCATGCCCTTCTGTCTTTGGAAATTGCTGCCTTTCTGTGGTGTTTCAAAGTCCTCTCCTCTTTTAGAGTTGATGATGAGTAATCCCTTTGGAACTTTTAGTTCGGGAGCTTAGGGATAGTAGAAAGCTTTAATGTTTTTGGCATATTGGATAATCATGTCTCTGTATCTTAGAAATGGTCTCGAGTTGCTTCCTGCTTAGAGTATTTATAATAATAAGGGATACCCTCGTCCACCACTTAGTTTTCTTGTGGAATATTGTTGATGGTTGCGTTATATTATTACCTTGATGATCCCTTCATGGACAGATTGTTGATGGTTGCATGGATACATTGTTGATGGTCCAAATATGCAAGAATTTTTGATCTCATGGTTTACTTTTTTACTATTGGACCATCATCTATTCATTTTTGCACAAGTGGTTCTGTTCCATTAAAAGTAACTGTTTAGGGTGCCTGTGATTAGGTTGAAGGTATGGAAGTTGGGCTCACCCTGGGTTTGAAGAATGAACAAGGATCTCTTAAGCTGTCTCTTCTGGAATGTGGTTGTTATGTGAAAGATCTATCCATTCATTTGGATGGTGGAGCATCCTGGCTCTACCAAGGGTATGTAAAGCTCTTCCTCTGCTTCTCCTACCTCCCACTCTCCACATGGATGAATGCTAATCTTGCAGCCACTTCAATGAACTTTAAGATTATTTGAAACTATAATTGTGCCTGGTTGATCAAAGTAATTGCTATCGCCGTGTTGAGGGCCTTGTGCAGGAATATAGAATGTGTAATGAACCTTCCTTGCATTTTTGGATTAATATTTTCTTTTGAAATTTGTTATTTCGTTGATCAATCGCCATTTTTTAGTATCCTCATCTATGTTTTCTCTTTCTTCCTCTGTAACATCTTGCTCATTTTTGTACTCTGAATGTCAGGATTCTGTTTTTCCAATTACCTGCTTTTCCTTTTTCTATTGGCTTACTTTCTTTTTTTTTTCCTATTGCAGATTGGTTGACGCGTTTCAAGACAATATAGGATCTGCTGTTGAAAAAGCTGTTTCAAAGAAATTAGAAGATGCAATTGAAAAAATTGATCCTCTATTGGAATCTCTTCCAAAAGAAGTGTCTATAAACAATATAGCTGATCTGAATGTTACCTTCATTGGTGATCCAGAATTAAGTAGCTCTTCTCTTGAACTTGAAATTAGTGGTTTGTTCAGTGTCAAGGATGAAAATGATGAAATCGAAGTTTCTAGACTTCAGCACGAGCGTGTACAAGGGCCAGTTTTCTGTGAGGATCCAACTAGGATGGTCGGGATTTCAGTGCATGAAAATGTTCTCCAGTCAGCATCCACGGTTTACTTTCAAGTAAGTTCTTGCAGTGTCATTCTGGAAGAAACCATGTCTTGACATTAGCATTCATCCAATAGTTTGCTAGGCTTGATTCAAGTTTTACACAATTATCTTGGTGTTGATGATTTCATTTTCATTCTATTCAGGCCAATAAGATGCGAGGGATTGTCGAGAAGATACCTGATCAAGACCTCTTGAACACTGCTGGATGGAAATACATTGTTCCCCAGCTGTACAGAATGTACCCTAATAAGAACATGAGCCTAAACGTTGCTGTGTATTCGCCTCCAATCATTAAAGTTGGAGAGCGACAGGTTGATGCAACAATCCCCTTGGATGTGATAATTAACGTTTTGGATGCTGATCAAGTGCTTCCTGTTGCATGTATTTCTGTGGTAAGCTTCCAGCGGACATGACATGTGAATTTTACTTGATTTTGCTTCCTGTTTCTTCTGTTTTGTCTCTCCCCGGGTTATGCACTGTTCAGCACAATATCCCCTAAATAACTATTTACCGCGGCGGTCAGATTGTGTAACTTTTCCCAGCAAACGATAAAAAGTTGTTGGCCTATGCTTCAATGAATCTATGTTTCGCAGCAGAGAAGGATGTAGATTTTTTTTTTTAATTGATTATTATTATTTTTTTTAATCTCCAGTTCAGCTCTAAAAGTATTTTTGGTGCTTGAGATACTCAGTTAAATTTCGTGAACGGTTTAGCTTGGGTGCAAATGGTCGATGTTTTACAACAGGCTTTTGTTCTGTCAGGCGAATGGTTGTATCATTAAAAAATGAACATTTTATTTCAAATTTGCAGGTAATCAGTGCTGCCGCATATCCAGAAATATCTAAAAACGCTCTAGGTGGTAGCGTGAAGTTAAAAGAGTTTACTATGGCTCAAGAATGGAGCAAGATTGGTAACTTCCACATGTATCTTGTTCAGGTATGTCGATGAAGCTCTTGTTATTCACGCTGCCTTTGCTAGTCAAATCTAGTTGTTATCTGCAGTTGCATTGCATTTTCTTTCAAGCAGTCATACAAGTTTTACTGGGAAGCACTTTCTTTAAGAGTCCTCAAAGTAGTACGGAATTTATATTTCTGGATAGGATTGTTCGTATAAACTCTTGACTATTATATTCTGCTTATAAAGCAAAAGATACAAAGTCATCATAAGTCCTTTGGCACCATAAGTTTAGCGTTCACCTTTGGTTCTATTATTAGTAGAGAATAGATGTAAAAATAAGCGTTCTTTAAAGAGCTTTATGGTGTTCTGAACTCTGAAGTATGTTTAGTCGTTACTTTTTGTTTTAGCGCTCCTTGCTACTCTGTGGTTGGTGCCGAACTTGAGTTCCTGCATGTTCACTTCTAATTTTATATCCTGTTCTTCCTTTCCGTGCAGCCCTTCTTCTCGACTTTGCTGAGAACTGTGGTCTTGCCTTACATCAATCTGAAGCTGAGCCAAGGGTTTCCGCTGCCTCTTTTTCATGGTTATGGTCTCCAAAACAGTCAGCTTATCTTGACCAACTCTAGGATGGTGCTTTGCAGTGATGTTGCATCTACAGAAGCACTGCATACACCTCACTGGTTCCCTGCTATGCAACTATGAGAACTCAGGGACGATCTTGAACACACTTCTGCAGTAGAATTTTATTTGAGATAGAGAAGAAATCAAAATTGATATAGTCTTCCTTCAATCCCATTGTTATCCATGGTTAGCACATTTGAAAACCTAGTTTGGTAATTGTGTATACTGTATAGTAAGGAGACTCGTAGTACAGTATATGGAAATATTTTTTCTTGTATAATATAAACCTCTGCCAATAATGTAAATTTATTATTCCTTTATTTTATTGGTCTACTATTACAGCTGTACAACTTTTGTTTAAAAAACCATAATATTTATGAATCTAGTAATTAAATAGAATGAAATACTAAAATTTAGAAAGAAAGTGAACAATTAGAAACGTACCAAAAAAAATGATACACATAAATTGGACTTTAGATACTGTAAATCAATATCATCATAAAAATCACATAAGATCTCTTGGTGTTACTTAATTTTTATATGTCGTTAATGTCTTTTACTTATTAAACTTTAAAGTAGGGTAAATTTATTTGAGAGCATTCCATATTATTATTTTTCGTCAACAATATTTTGACACGTAACTTAAAATTTTTGTCGAGCTACTAAGCAAAATGTTGTAACAAGAATACTTTTGTAATTAAAGATAAAATTGTCTACTAAGAGAACCTGTACAACAAGAAAAAGAATTCGATTTATTTATTTTCTCCTTTATTTTTTCTAGAATTTTTTTTATATATGTCTTTCCGCTCGATGTTTTATTCTAATCAATGAATTGAAAAAATTGTGGAGCTAAGCGAAAAAAAGTGATAACTTAAAGGTCAAAAAATGCAAAGACAGAAAAATAGTGGGTAGAAAATAGAAAAAGACAAAAGGTTAATACGCTCCCGTTTGCTCATTAATATAACCCCTTATCCCTGTGTACCCCTGCACAAAGTTTATATGGGATTTGCCCTTTTGCCTTCACCACAACATCGAACAAACTCGGTTTTTAATTTTACACACACTCACACACTACTTCTCTCATCCAAGCTCCACTCAATTACCCGCCAAAAAGGTTTGTGTTTTATGTTTATACTAATTTTTATAAAGAAATTTCCTTCTCTTTTAAAATTTTCGTACATTCTCAACGTCTCTCCTCGTCCCCTTAGTGTGATAGAGAGGGGATCTTGCCTCTCTTCTCTTCTCATTAGGGTTTCCCCTGCCCTTTCCCTTGGTTTCCATGGCTTCTCATCTCTTTCCCGTTGCAGGTCTCCCTCGATCCGGCCCCCACGGCGTCGTTTATGTTGCCCTGGTTGCGTTAGGGTTTTTCTGGAGATGGAGGTTGAATCCGCGGTGAATTTAGGCGAGAAAAGGCCGGCGGAGGATGGTGGTGGTGGTGATGGAGGGGGAGTAACGGATGGAGCTCCGGCGAGTAAGAAGGCCAGGAGGAATGGTGTTGCCGGTGGAGCTTTGAGGAGCATGAGGAAAGTTGCGGAGATGGTTTTGGTGTTGTCGGCGATGGGGAAGATGAGGGGAGGCCAGGTTCCTACGGGTGTTGAGAAGGGGATTATGGCTGCGGCTAGGGATAAGTTGGCGGAGGTTTGTGAACTGTTTCCGCCTAAGGATGTGTTCCCCAGGGATGTTTTTGGGGCAATCATTGAGGATCTTGGACTTAATAAGACTAGGGAACCCAGGTTAGGTGCGCGGCCACCCAAAATTTCTATTGCTGAGAAGTTCTTGCTCTCCAAAAGAAAGGTTTGGTGTTCATATCTTTCGCTTTGAAAAATTTGAATTTGACTTTTACCATCTAATTTGAGATCGTTGTGAGTCCATCAGTTGTGGGCTGGGTCATTTGAATTCTGTTAAGGTTATTCTTGATGCAATATTATGGGATACACTGACTTCAGAGAGTTCCTCGGTTCTTTTTCGTTCACTGTAAGACCAACATTTTGAGGCTGCGATCTTATGTTCTGCTTGAATTTATGCTCGTGTCAATTCCTTATAGAGAGCCAACCCCACGTAATGGGATAAGTACTTCTTGTTGTTGAAGATTCCTTATAAACAATCAGTTTGTTTCTTGTATCGAATTACGTCTATGTTGTACTGAGAGTTAGAATGACGTTAGATGCTAGGAAATATTTTAAACGGTATGCTTGTGTCTGCATGTATGCTGATTAGTTATCTTTTTTGTTACTTACGTTCATTAAATCACTCGCCATGTTGGCACTTTAATCAGTTGTGGTAGGGCCAAATAGATGCTAAACAAGGAGATATCTACTAATTATGATGGGTAATCTATTGTTCTGCTTTGGTTCTCCTCAATTTGTTTCATCTATAAGTACTTGGTGGATTTGATGTTACTTTTGGTCTAGAATCATGCAGAAGTATTAATTCAATGCAGCTCAGAAGTCAGTTAATTAAGCTTGTTTGCTATATTTTGATGATTAATGTAGTGCGTGAGTTGCACGCGCTTTCTTGTCATGTTACCAAAAAGTTAATGGTGTTAGGAAGTTTCTATTGGGCTTCAAAAAGATGACTAGTCCACAGCAATTGAATTCGTTTAATTTGTTTGCTAAAAGATGATGGGCTGGATTAGACAGAGGACAAGTCGAGGGAAGTTACGTAAGACTTGTCATGTTATCAACGTGTATATTTATAAGGTTTGCCGACATCTACCTGAGTGCTGTTGAGTTTTTCTGCTCTTAGCTGTCAAATTCTTGAAATCTACTTTCTATAGTGGTCTCATATAGATACCTTATCTTCCTGACGGTGAAGTGCTAGTCCTTCATCTTCTTTTACTAGCACATAACTTTGTTTCTTTTGTATCAAATTTTAGATGGAAAAAGCTGATGAATTAGCTCCATCTGCGGCAAATCTGTCCCAAAGATTACATGGAAACCCTGCCGCTGCAACTGAAAGTCGTGCTACCGTGCCTGCTGGTCGATCGCCTCATTTCCCGATACCTACTGGAAATTTCCAACCTTCGCCTCTCTATCATGTGGCTGGCTCAAATTCCACATCTATTCCATATCAGCTGCCCACCAGTGAAGTAAGGCCAGTGGGTGCAAGTGGGTTGACGTCTGGTCATACGGGAAAGGATTCAACTTCTGTAGCATTGACTAGGATTGACCGACCACATGTTAGATCAGATGGAAAACCCAATGGTCCTGCTCCGACGTCACATGTTCAAGGTGATATGTGGCTACTTGCTTATGTTATGAAATTGATGCTTAAGCTATTGTTTCATTAAGTGATTTTTTAATGTTTGCTGGTTGATCTTTTTGGAGAAAAGGAATCAAGGAAAACATTTGTATTCTATGTGTCAATTGCGTCCTTTTGAATAGATAATTAGATCCGATTGTAAGATGCATGGCATTGTGAATTACTTGGATGTCGAATGTAGCAGTTTAGATTTCCACAATCTGCCTGGGATTCGGCATTGTGGTTCTGGACTATTTCTGTTCCATGCACTTTTTTCTAAATGAACTAAAAATCAATTTTGGATAGGCAAGTGCTATTTTCCGGGTGATTTTTTAGGAAATTGATGATAAAGTTTTAGTTTGAAAGTGGCCGTCTCACTCCAATTTTGGTGCTTCTTTCTTATTTCTCTTGCTGGCTTTCAAATTCTTGCGACAAATTTCATAATCATCTGACATTTTTTCCCCTTATCACTCTATGTAGCGTATCAATCTGGAGACCGTTCTTCTGCGAAAGCTCCAGCATGGTCTGTGCAGTCTCAGTCTGTCCCATCAACTAAAACTGCAGTAGAGAAGGTGTCTGGTCAAACAATTACTAAAATGGAGGGAAGCACTGATCCCAAGTCTGGAGTTCCGAGTCATTCCACACCTTCAAAGCCAATTGTTGCTCAGACAATAACAGGAGATCAGCTTGGTGTGCATCAGCATTTCGAAGGCCCAAATACTATTCAAGCTCCTGCACCAAGAAATACCCATGCTGAAATTAGTAAGATGGTTCAAATGCTGTTACAACCCAGAGTTTCTGAGCATCCTTCTTGGACTCCGCCATCCAGGGATTACATGAATAAGGCTATAATGTGCGAGACATGCAAAGTTAACACTAATGAAGTTGACAATGTGTATGTTTGTGATGCTTGTGAGAAAGCTTATCACTTGACATGTCTCCAAATCAACACTGCAAAAGGACTTCAAAGAGGAGAATGGCACTGTGACAAGTGCTTGCAGTTGAGCAATGGAAAACCCTTGCCCCCAAAATATGGTAAGGTCTTGAGACATTCTAGTGTACCTAAAGTGCCCTCCAATGCGGCAGCAACCCAGTCAAATTTGGATAAGAAGACTGGTCCTCAAGGTGGGAAGGTCACTCACCAGAAGATGATGCCAAATGGGACTCCTCCTATCCGATCAGGTCCTGCTGGTAATACATTTAGTAGTCACAGCCACCCAATGTCCGTACAAAAGGTGGAAAGCCCAGGCGGCATTCGACAGAATACGGTTGTTGGCAAGGGAATGGTGGATGACAGATCTTCTCTATCTTTACATAACTCAAAGCAAACCTCCAATACAGCTTTCAACCCTCCTGCTGCAGCACCAGTTTTTAACTTACGTGAAGAGACATTATTGGAATCAAAATTACCTCCAAATAGTAGTGTCCCAATGCAACAGTCTCTTGACAAGAAGCGTCATGAGCCTTCTGGAGGAGAAAATTTACGCAATAATTTGACCGCAAAATACTTAAAAGATGATTCAGGGACTGTACGGTCAATTTCTGCTGAAATTTCTTCAACCAATACTGGACATAAAGATCATGAAGGTCCTTTACCAGAATATGTGAACAGTGTTGATTGGATTGGTGGAATACTTAAAATTGAGGAGCAAAAAGCTTTTTACAAGTCTTGCTGCATTAATGGACTTGTCTACCAGGTTAATGATCATGTTCTTATTCGTTTCAACCACAAAGTGATTCCATCAAAGCTCCAGGTTAGCAATTTATCTGATGTTTTGGGTCATCTGGGGCATTTTAGTCCTCTTGCAATCGGTTGAATATTTTTTTTTGCTGCAGGCTATGTGGGAGGATACTAAGGAGAAAGTAAAGTGGGTGACCGTGAATCGCTGCTACTTTCCTAGTGACTTGCCAGAGGCTGTTGGCCGACCTTGTGGCTTGGAAAACAATGAGGTAATATTTGGTTAAACAGACTTTGGTTCAGCAGATTTTCTCTTTTCATTTTCAATAATCAGGAGTTAGAAAAGAAGCTGTGGTTACTTGTTTCATCTCTGTAGCTACTGTCGACTGGCATCTTTACTCTTTTATATTTGTCATAGTATAGATACATTTAGCCTCTCATAAAGAAGATACATATAACTCGTAGGAAATAAGAAAGTTGAAGTTTTTCTGGACACATTCTTTTATCACAAAGAATTGGATTAGTGGGAAGTGCAGATTGCGAAGATTATTGATCTCCTTGGGCATTTGATAAAAGAACATGAAGACCATAGCAGTTACGGTTTATACTAGAATATCATGCTGATTGTTTTGCACTATTGGTTGATACTAGAATTTTGTTTTCACTATTGGTTGATACCTGCTTCAATTTTTAAGTTTTAATGCTGTCGCAGGTCTACGAGTCCAACGCTACTTGTAATCTAAGGGCTGGGGCAATACAGGGCCCCTGTGAAGTTCTCCCTCCAAGTAGGTTTAATGAAGAAAAGGAAAGGAGAGGCAATGAAAACTTACGGCCACTCTTTTTATGCAAGTATGTCCTTTTGTGATTGTACTGTTTATATTATATTTTTCTTGTTAAAGGTGCATGGCGGTAAACGATTCTCTAGCACATTTTAAAGTCGTAGTTCATTTCTCGATTGTGTGTTTTAGAGATTGTTAATTCATTAACTCTATTGGTGATGAATGTTTTAATTCCACTCTATGTTGCTGCCTGTATGGTGTTGGTAATGGTATACGTCTCAAACCATACATTTAGGATAAAGCCTCTTGGTGATAAAAGCTGATTGCATGTGGGAAATTTATTCCCAAACACTTCTGTATCAGATGCTGAATAATGTTTTATTTTTCTGTCAGATGGATTTATGATGAATCGAAAGGGCTCTTCCGAGATGTGAACTGTTAGTCAATGGCGTGTTGTATATGTAGGATGACTGTATGATCTGGGCTCTGGATGTTGCTACCCTTGGCTGAGACTTTGGTTAGGTAATTATTTCTTATTCTGGTTGGTTTCCGGTTAAGAGAAAGTCTCCATTCTGACAGCTAGTGGTATTGTATGGAATGGCAGAGGATGCTCTGAATAGTGGACATATTTCATGAAACTGAGATTGTAGTTACTGGTACATTATGATGCCTGGATATAATTTTTTGATGCTTCCATGAACAGGTAGCGGGTGGCAGCAGGAGAGGGCCCCTCGGGAGATTGATGTTGGAAATTCCTAGTTGGTGTACATTTTGTAGCGCCATAGTTTTTGCCCCCATTGTGTAGGGTAGAAAATGTAGCTCCATAATTATTTCTTTTTGAACTTCAATTGTCTGTAGCGTTTCTGAGGATGGCCGAGATAGATCCGTTATAGCTCAAACTTTGTAATACATCGCTTATGGGTGCCTTAAAAGGCACTTGAGTATGTATGTCTGTAACAACTTTGATCCCCAGATTGTCATCATAGATTGATATTTTTTTTTAATGAGAACAAATGCAAAAAAATTGTAGACGCTAGATCTTAATTAAACGCGAGTTTTTGTTTTCAGTAGTCTGAGAATGAATCTGCCTCCAGGTTTCATTAATAGCTGGAGCTCAGACACATTTGGAAGTATTTCAAAGCTGTGAATAGTGATGTCAATCAGGTGGTATCCGTCCTGATTCATGCTCTTTGAAAATCATTTCATAAATCAATATATTCTTCCTCCGTACTAATATTATTGTCCAGTTTAAAATTTCATTTTTAGTATAATTCGAACTATAAAACGAAAAATCAAACTGGACAATAATTATGGGACGGAAAAAGTATAAAACAATCACAACAAATTTGTTGTTTTCTCTCTAATTTATTCGGAGTTAAATAAGACAGGTCTTCCAATGAAGACATTCTTCGAAATTAATTCTCGTTGAATGTGTTCACGTCAGGTTCGAACTCTATACATGAAATTGTACTAGTCGTTTACTTAACACAAAAGCTAACCATCTTTACCATAATTGAAACGCCAACGTCGTCGTTTGGTCAACCGAAATTTCCAAGTCCTAACCTCGTCGAAAGGCATCCACCTCCCCCATCGAAGTAGTACTAACCGGAAAAAGATCGTGGTGGCTGCTTTAAAACAAAACAGAATTCGAATTCTTCAACTCTCTCTCTCTCTCTCTCACTGAACCCCGATGGCCGGCGAGAACGAACCCGCGAAGCTGCTCTTGCCGTACCTTCAACGGGCGGATGAGTTGCAGAAGCACGAACCTCTCGTCGCATACTACTGTAAGCTTCTCTGCAATTATTGTACTTCTTTTCGGGTCAAACTGTCCCTAATTCGTTCTCCGATATTTTTTTTGGGGGTTGATATTCGATTGAAATCCTACGTTGATCACTTAATCCTTGTCTCGGAAGTTTAATTTTCATGGATTACTTGGCTATTGCAGGTCGATTATATGCCATGGAGAAAGGTTTGAAGATTCCGCAAAGTGCCCGTACCAAAACCACCAATGCTCTCCTCGTCTCCCTCATGAATCAACTCGAGAAGGTTCCACTTTTTCTTTTTAACATCTTTCTGGTTGTCAATTTTAAATTCTTTGTGCGTTTTGCAACCTTTCAAATTTTTGTTATTTGTATTGGAATTCGTCACGGTTAGTTTTTGGCCCCAAGTTATGTGGCCTTTCGTACCTTGCATTTTATGTTGAAGATCACATGCTTACTTTATGATGGAGTACTGGAAAGTTATGGAAGGAACAGAGTTATGTTAGAGGATTCCTATTTGTAGCTTCTGTTTTTTCATGTGGTGCTTGGGTTAAACTTTCAGGATAAGAAGTCAGTCCAGTTGGGGCCTGATGATCATTTACACCTTGAAGGATTTGCCTTGAACGTCTTTGCTAAGGCTGATAAGCAGGATCGTGCAGGACGAGCGGATTTGTAAGATTCTTATGCGTGCTAAGTCTTTAATTGAGACACGATTGGTCATTAAACCTGTGTATTGTATTGTTACATTGTTGTGTCTGTCGCATCTATGTACGGATGTTTAGGATTTCTACAGCTTTGTCATGTGAAGAATGTAATTTAGGAAGTTTAGGATTTTTATCGTCTTGGTTCATATGGATAAGCTCTTGATTTGCCTCTATTAATCTCTTATATACTATAAAAAGGTTTACTTAATCTTCTAACTTGAAAACTTGAATATGGTAGGATTCTCTGGTTTTTATTCTTGGTTTGTCTTTGCCATCACCCTAGTTCATCTTTCTAATCTTACCATGTGTCGTGCAGGAACACTGCAAAAACCTTCTATGCTGCTAGCATTTTCTTTGAAATAATGAATCAATTTGGTGAAATTCCGCCTGATGTGAGTTTCTTGTTGCTATTTTCACTATTAGATAATCTTATCTGCAGCTCATCCCCTTAGCATTTTGGGCTTTTTGTGCACAGCTTGAGCAGAAACAGAAATATGCTGTCTGGAAAGCAGCAGACATTCGAAAAGCTCTGAAAGAAGGGAGGAAACCTGTACCGGGCCCTCCAGGCGGTGAGCAGGACTTAACAGTGCCATCAGATGGTGATTACGTAATGCTCTACCTTACAATATTTTAACTTATTGCATTGAATGATGTGCTCAAGTTGTCAGATAGATGTGCCCTGTTTCAGGATTAGGGTCAAATTGGCTAAAATATCTTGGTAAATTCCGTGCAAGTCTGGCTTTCGTGCTTGAGTCACATTCATATATTTAGCAACTTTTGGCATTGTCAGTGGTCTGGTGTATAATGTTGAATATTTTTGTCGCTAATCTTCCGTTTTGCATGAAATTTATTGTAGTATTCTATTTTTATGACCATAGAAATACACCCGAGTTGGAGTAAAATTCTTTTGTCACTTGTATCATGCAAATGAAATATGTTAATGGTTTTGATACTGCTCTTTCCAGGATATTGAACCAAGAACTAACCAGGCATTTGAAAACCTGCAACAGAGAAAAACTGATGCGTCTTTCCAGGACATTGAACCTAGAAGAACTGATCCTAACATTGGAAATGTGACGCAGAATGATTATCCTGCTCCACCCAGGATCGATCCCGTTATCAGACCCACTTTTGGACCTGATTCATCATCTCAACCGTATGACAAAGTGAATTACCAGCAGTCACCTACTTTTCCTCCCTCGCCTCCGGCGTCCCACTCTCCAAATATGCCACCGTCCCACTCTCCAAATATGCCACCATCCCACGATTATCCTTCTCAAACATATCAGCCTCCTTCAACCAATGGATCCGAAAATTATCCGCAACCTTATCACCATCAAACTTACCCCAATGAAGCCCCGCAGCACTTGTCACACCACTATTCTCATGATGCTCCCTCTTACTCGTATCCCAATTTTCAATCTTACCCTAGTTTTGCGGAGAGTAGCCTTCCCACTGCTCCATCTCATTATCCATCTTACTATCAGGGTGCTGATACTTCATATTCTACCCAATCAGCTCCCAGCACTGCAAATTATTCATCCAACTCTCAACCTAATTTAAGTGGCCAAAATGGGGGTGTTTCAGAAGCCGCTGCAGCTCCTGCCAAGACATACAAGTATGACAGCAATTACCAGCCCCCTCCTGAAAAGATTGCAGAGGCACACAAGGCTGCAAGGTTTGCAGTAGGGGCATTAGCATTCGATGATGTTGCTGTTGCAGTGGATCACCTTATAAAATCTCTTGAGTTATTGACAAATCCATCATCTGGGCATTGATTTAATTCGTTGATGTGGTGAGGTCATGTCTTCTGTGGCTATCTCTTTGCATTGTTGCATGCTTTTGTTTTTCTTGTAAATGATGTTGGATTATGAAAATTGCTTAATTTCTATAGGTACTGGCTAGCATTGAAGTTGATTGTTGTTCACTAATACTGGGAATGTTGACATGTGTTTACGTTTAACAGTTCTAACCAATATTCCATTCCTCGTGAAATATCCTACTCTAGTTTGATATGCTTTTTGATACGCTTTTTGATATGCTGGCGCTATGCTGAACTTTCTGGTCCTTCCATCTGCTGGAATTGGGGAAGTATTCCCATATTGTTGTTACAGATAGCCTGTACATCTTTCTCTTAACGAACAAATTACAAGCCACACAGAAAAAATGATAGTATTGATCTTCACATTAGGTTTTAGCTGAGTATGGGTTTGCGAAGGGACAAATTACGTTTGGCGCCTCTCAAAGATGAGCTTTGGACTGGAGAAAAAGGTCATTTTTAGTGTATGTAAACACTAAAACTAAGTTAGAGATCCAAGTAGCGTGCATCTTACAGGTGATATTCTTGAGGGGGTAATTTTACATTAGAAATTACTGGTGAACACTTGTCCTGTCTGAAATTCCCAGTCATTATTTGTGACGCCTCTTTGGCTCTGACAAACACAGAGCTGAGTAGTGTTGGAATTTTCATTATCGAACTCTGATATGACACTTCTTTAGGCTCTCTTTGTACAGTAAACTCTCCCTTGTATTACTTTAAATGAATAATAGTAATACGGTTTATAGCTATGGCCATTGACAAATGTAAGAGGTATCATAGACTTAGAGCAAGAAAGTGAGTACTATGTTCTTGGACGGGTAAGTATAGCTTTATATTCTTTCCCAGTTAAGTCTTAAAGGTTATCCAAATTCTAAATCCGATATGATTCTGCCAAAAATCTTTAGAAGCGTCAGCCCTCGTTCCCAATGGAAGAATATCCGACCATTTTATGGGTTATGGTTACAGATGTTCGATGAGCTCATGGAATTATGATCAATTCCTCTGGAACACTTAGAAGAATTCTTTTGAGGAGCTTAATCAAGCGAAATATATTGCCTCAACATCGTTGAGCTGGCTAAAGATTCTACCCAAAAAGTACAACAATTAAAAGAAACTACAAAATCTTTCTTTTGTATTTAGCCCTAAAGGCATACACCCAATCAAATATATCCTGAACTTTGTCCAAGGAAATATTCCAAAAGAGTAAGGCCGGAATCCGAAAATTGGAGTGCAAATGGCAAGATCTACTTGTTTCATTAACCAACGTTTCTTACAATGAGCAGGTAGAAACATTTTTTATACTGGAAACTAAGCCAAACAGACTCCATTTCTTTCTAAACCGGCTTAGCTTCAATATGTATATATACATAATAATCTTCCTATTTCCACAATGAAAACCATATTATCTTGTGTTCTCCAGCTTAAAAATGGGAACAAACCAAAGATCTCATGGCAAGAGTAATCTAAGATCATCCTCCAAAAAGGGTTCTGAGGTTAGCTTAGGAGGTTCCATCCTAGGTTTTGTGACACAAGGATGTTTAGGTACAAGGAATATCAAAAGGAGAAACAGTAGAACTCTTCATTCACAAGACATTACCAAGCATCATGAAAGGCTAAACCACAGTCACAACAAGGGATTAAAGCCGCCCTCGACTCTACAAGAATGGATCATTCAATCACCCGGCATACATCATGGAAGTTTCGAAGGTGATCCATTGATACTCCAGGTTTCTAAACCAGTTTCCAAAAGGGTTCATCCATCACTCGGTAGGAGTGTCAGAAATCGTCAATCTAAACCTCAAGAGGGCCGCAAATTGAAGAGAAACCCTGCAAAATTGAGTGATGCCAGAAGTGGAGAAAATGGCGATTCTTTCACATTCTCCAGAAGTGTGACAACTAGCAAAAGCGGGAAATTGAGGAAGAAAGTAAGTTTTAAAGAACCAGAAGTGGCTGATGTATTCATATTGAAGAATTCACCTGAGTGACACACAATGGCGCATTTGAGGATGTTTCTACAGTTCTTAACTAATTCCTTTTCTCTCGAATAACAATTTCATCGAACTTTAATGATCGTGGCGGGACTATCCAACATCAGTTTAGGTGATTAAAAAACATGCTAGCTAGCTAGTTCTTGGATTTGTATATTCTCTTCAAATGAACCTCAAAATTGAAGGTCAGATGTAGTTGAAGAAAAATGCACTGGATCAAAATTGAAGTTTGACTTTTGTTTTTGTACATATTTGATCAAAAGAATATCATTTTCATCTCTAGCCTTAGATTCTGCTTTTTCTTAGGTTCAAACCAAACAAATTTAGTTACATCCTGTATGTAGCTGCTACTGAAAAGAACTGATGGGTTTTCATATAGTCAGGCTCAATGATATAATGTATTTTGAGAACTGGAAGTGTGAAAGAAATACATAGCATGGGCATGTAAAGAGTTACTCTATCGGAGGCGAAATGATCATTAATACAGTTTGTACGTAGTATCCTAATACAACAAAAATAAAAATCATTTCGAAACTGAAAAAGTACATATGCAGTAATAGTCTTATGGGATCTAACACGTTTGCCTTTACTATTTGATTTTGCTTGAGTTTTGATTATGATTAATTTTCAAATAAAAAACAGATCAATTCCCAGGTTGGGAATTCAAACTAAAACATTTAAATCAAGCACAAATAATATTTGGGAAAAAATGGAGAACAGTTGGGATGTTTTTTTCACCATTTGCAAGTTCGTTATTATTTGACCCAAATTATAAATACTGAATCTATAGACTTGGTTGATTCTTGATTATAAGCTTTCAACTTCGTGTGACCCAACAATATATTGTTCGTATTTAGTAAAACACGACTAATAATAACATACATTTTCTTTAATTTTTTTGTTGCGAAAAATGTCTCCTATTAGTACTCACACGATTCTCTGACAAACAGAATAATATTTTCTTTTTTAAAAAAATTGTTTTATTTTGTAAAAAAAAAAAGAAAGAAATTTGATACTCAAGCACAAAATAACTGGGAAATACGACGAGAACTATCAGATTGTGTTAAAAAAATAAAAAAAATAAAAAAATAAAAAAAAACCAATCCATGTAAGTATTTTTCAACTCTTACATGCATGAGTAATTTAAGAAGATAATCCCCAAATGAGTTTTTGTTGATGCTAATTACAATGTTTTCGGATTAATGGTCCATTCAATAAGATGTAATTGTCCATCGTTGCTGCATTGTACGATAGCTCTTCCCTGTTTTTCTTGTTGGCAGAACTTTAATTAAGTAAAGTAGCTAGCTTGTAATGGTGAATATTTTGTTTTCCCTGTCACTAACAACCACTCTAAACAAGTAAAAAGGTGTCACATATTGATTTTTATTTTCTGCCCTCCTTTTCGTGTATTGAAACCTGAAAATTAATTTTTAATCTCTTCCCAAAAAGGGTGAGGGAACACTTTGGTATATGATTATCATACGTTATCTAAGAATCATTCACGTATTAAATTATTAGTAGTTTCTTTTCGGTCAAATTCCTAACAGGAAATATTATACATAATAAATTATTAATGTATATAATATTCTTAATTGATCTTTCGGTGCCGATGAAATTACGACCACCACCTTTGAATGTCGTTTCCCTTGATGCAACCCGAGTGAAACCAAACTATGCGTCGGCAACAACCGGCCCGACGACATCACCGGATTGGAGGTGAATAACTTGAACGGAAAAGCCAACAAATTTAAATAGAATCCAAGAGGAAAAAGATGGGCTTCCCCAATGATAATAATTAAAAAAAAAAAAAAAGAAGCAAGAAGACTGGAGGATAATTCTTTTTGCTTCTTAGTTGAATTTGAACTCATGTAAAATAATTTAAATGGCCTGCCAATGCTAAAGTATAATATAATCCAAAGAAGGAGGTAACTATCTATATTAGTCAGTAACGATTTTTTTTATGAAAGGAACCCATTAGTGACAAAAAAAAAAAAAAAAAAAACTAGAGACAAGAGGGAGAAGAAGAATTGAGTACAATTTAGGTACATTGTTAAATACTCAAACCATTTCTTCGGTTTGTTGTTTTTTTTTTTTAATTAAAATGTCACTCGAATTTCCTCGTAGAAATTGTGTAGATATCATATTAGGACTGAATATATGGTTCAGTTCATGTAGCCAAAGAATCACAATTTCTATTTATGTGAAAATTATGATAAGGTACAATATTATTAAGGAATCATTCAATCAACACACTGCAATTAATTAAAGAAATAAACTATAAGATTAATTAATAAGGTGAATGTATAGTCAAGATTATACATCCAGAAGATCGATGCAGTATTTAGAACTTTATACAGAGAGAATAATGAGGGATCGGGCTGCTAAACTTCAAATGTTATATCCATATTCCTAAACCAGTTTCCACATTGAATTTCATGTGTATAAATATGTGGATTCCTTTTCTTTTTCTTTTTCTTTTTTTTTTTTTTTTGTTTGTTTCCCTCCTGATTTAATTTGACTGGTTAATGAAGCGCTAGGCCAAAGATAGAGAAGCAACAATGTGGAAGAATTGGATCTTTTCAAGCATGTCTTTTGCATGGCTTGTGGCTCGGCGCTCAACACGGCTGAAGAGCTCCTCGCTCAGCTGTTCGCCGATGTGAGCGTCGACTAAGACGCCGCTCACGCTCCTGCAGCTGTTGGCTAAGGCTCGACCCACCTCGGCCGCGTCATCGGGGTGGCTAACCACCAGCGGGCTTCCTCCTCGGAACACTTCCAGCTTGTTGATCACGAATGAGCCGTCGGCTACGACCACTTCCTTGAAGTCTTGGAGGCTGGCGGCGTACACCGGGATGTTGAAGTTGTCACGCTTCTCACTCGTTATTAAGCCCTGCACCATTAATCCCACCAATTAAATCGTCAATCATAAAAAAAAAAAATTATTAAATACTATACTCTAACATAGTGTCACTCTTGGTTCTCTAAGAAAGAGTATATATTTCGTTCTTATGATTCGATGATGATAGATAGAAGCTTAAATATGATCAAGAAGATCATTAGAGTATAATCAATCATCATTTCACAATATTGACTGAATACCACAGCATGTCGCCCAGATTAGACTCTTCCAGTTCCGGGTTTCAACTGAGGAATGCGTACGGTGTTAATATGATGATTAGGTTTCACCAAAATTCAAAGGGAGTTGGAAAATGATATGTCGGCTACTCTTTAGACATTGCTCACAGATATCTGCTTTGACCTTTTTATAGTATAATAAAATAATATAGGGGTATACATATATATATTATTATACTCTCTCCGTCTTATAATTATTGTCCAGTTTGAATTTTTATTTGTAGTGTAATTCAAACTAAAATTGAAATTTCAAACTGAATAATAATTTTGGAACGGAGGGAGTGTCATCAAAAATTAAGTTCCACTTTTTGGTCACACTTGTTGAAAACTTTGGCTTAAACATCAATCATTTCTTTTCCCTGAAGTTTGAAGTGTTACTAAATATGCATGAGACTATATACAGATGATGAAATTGTGGAGGAAATATATGCGATGATGATTACCTCTTGGACAAGATCATTCCAAGCATCTTGAAAATCAGTCCCGAAAAGGAGGCCGGCCCCACCTTGGTCGGTGGGGTCGGGTGAAGTTCTTCCCAAACAAACCAAGAACATTGACCCGCCCCTTTTCATCTCAACGGATCTTGATGTCAGGAACCCGGCCAAGTCTGCCTGGAATTGCTTCCTGTAGGCGTTTGCGGTGCTCTCATTTGCGCCGTGGATGAATATCTTGCCTTTGTTGTAGGCCGTCGATCTCTTATCCACCACAACTTCAGGCACCTGCATCCAGGCCCCCCCAATCAACAACAAATTAAGCCCATATTATGCACATAAATTAAACCAGTCCAATTGGACGTTTTTAGTTAATTCTTCATTTTGTCAAAGTTTATTGTAGCCATAATATTCTTTTCACTTTAGATCGTGTTTGTTCTCATAGTCAGATTCGCTGCCCCCTCTTCTCATCAAGACGTCAACAAATCTTTCCGATCCAATATATACACTAAAAAAGGTTCCAATACAACATTCATGTATTTAGATTTTTTTTTCGGGTTTGTAACACAAAAGTAATCAAGAGGTTTCTTGAAAGGATTTTGAAACTAAATGGTCAGTTTTTATTTTTTATTTTTTTTTATTTTAAAAATGTTCTTATATATATGATGCGTAATTGACCGGATATACACCACACGATCTTTAAATCAAATGCATTTGGTGTTGAAATTTGAACGATCCGGAATAAAGCATTAATTTTGACGCTGAATGAATTAATTAATTACTTCAGCTGCCGGCCTTAAAATTTTCCACTTTTCACTTTTGACCATCGGAAAGATGAAAATGGACAAAAAGGTCAACATATCTAGTAAGATACTAATTCCTTTTTTCTTATGGAAAAATATGGGAAAAAAAGGACTCGTATGATTGTATCACTGTGGATTCACATGAATATACTGCAACAAGACTAAGCTAATTAATCTAAGATTAAGTGATTAACGATGTTTAATCAAGGAATCGTCCTCGGTTTTTGCAGCAAAACCACAACAAAAAAGCAGACCACCTAATTAAATGATAATTTTATAATTGGTTACTTATTGTCTATGATGATCATGCTCCAATTAAGTCGCAATAATTAATTAAAGGCTACGTACCCAGAACTCTACCACAAATACAATTTTCAAAAGAAGAAAATAATACGTCCTCTATTCTAAAAAAACTATATAGTTCATTTTGAGTTTTGAGATTTGTACTGTTTTTATTCGAAATTTTTTAAAAATTCAATGTAAATTTTTTTTTAACGGAGGTAGTAATAATTAATTACCTGAGAAAGCCAGTGCAAGGAAAATGCGGAGTAAAAAACATCAATGGATTTGGCCGGGAAGAGGCGGCGGTAGAACGAACCGGGGACTCCGGCAGCAAAGTAAGAGCGGTGGCTGTCGGAAGCGAGGCATTCCTCCATGCTACCGCCGTAAGACGGGAGGAGCTGAAAGAGGGTATTGAAGTCATTTGACGGAAGGTCGGAGAAGAACGCCGAAAACTCGGGCAACTCAGCAAAACCCGAGGCTTCGTATCGCTTGATGATGTGCTTGATAATGACGTCGACGATGTAAAGGGTGTTGCTGCCGCAGGAACACCCCAAATCCGCCACCGTGAACGGCACTTCCGGCTGCCGGTTTAGTTGAACTCCGTCCAAACAGTCCTTCAACAGATGCAACATCGAACGAGCATGCTGAGCCTACAAAAAAAAAACATATACTTGATCATGTAAATTTATGAAGTGGATGGATTTTCAAAAATCAAGCATTTTTTTTAAATTTATTCAAAATGAAATTTTTTTAAAAAGATTTTGATTTGTATGACGTGCCTATGTAGTAATCTTTCTACCCGGATGAAATCTAGTACAAGGCATTTATTTTTCCCATCTTTTAAATTTTGGAAATATTATTTGTGAAATTGATGGATGGAAAAAAGAAGGGCTTAATTCTTTTCTTTTTTTTTTTTTTTACCTGGGCTTGAGAGTTGTTAACGTAGCTGGATTCACCCTTGCCTCCTTTCATGCTCAGCAATTTTTCAAGCTTTAGTTGTGAGACCACAACGTTGTCTTCAGGTGGAGGAGCCATTGATGAATGATGATCAGAAAAAAATATGCTTCTTTCTTCCTTTCTGTGTTTTGCCTGAGACAAAAATTAAAAAAGGAAACAAATAGAAAGAGGAATGTTGCTAAATGTTATGATGATGAAGTAATTGAAAATATGGGCTTCCGAGAATGCAATATATATATACATGAGAATTGTTTTGTACGCAGAAACTTGTGTCCTTTTTTGTCTCGTTGTGATTTGTTGATATCTCTCTGTACACCGTATCATATTTGTAAAAAGGATGTGTATTATATTATTAATAACTGATATTAATTCTGTTATTAATAACTAATACGCTATTAGATTACTATTGTACAGGGTGGTTAACTTTTGATATGTATGCTGAGTTTTTGGTCCCCATCAGTTAGATCACAGATGTTGAAAACGAATAACTACCTTCTTTTTCCTTTTTTTTTTTCGGTTCTAAACTAATTGTCATTTCTTTAAAACCGTCTTACAAGTTTTATGGTACAATACATAAAATAAAAGTAAAATAAGCTTGATGAATTGTCATTTCTTTAAAAAAGTTTGAACTTATTTACGAGTTATATATGGTGCAATACATAAAGTAAAATACGCTTGATGGCTTAAGAATTCAACGGATTGTGTCAGAAAACTGAAATATCTAAAAACAGAATTATTTTCATAAAACGAAGAGTATTAGAAAAAAAAATAAATCCGTATGCAAATTAAATTGATACCTATTTTTCCCTTATTTGCACAGGTTTCATGCATTTCCTGGGGATGTATATGGTCAAATTCTTATCATTATGAAGATGATTGAGGTAGCGGGAATTGAAACAATTTTATGACAAATTAATTAGTTACACTATTAATACTCCTACATGAATGCAAATTTGCCCGTCAATCGAAATAAAAGAAAAGATTGAGATTTCATTATTTCCTTTTCCTGTTCTGGTGATGATTCAATTGTTCAACACAATCTACGTTGGTCGATGTCTAGTTTTCAAAATTGCTGCGTGATTAAAGTCAGCAGGGCTGAAGTACGTGATTTATACAATTTAGCCTACGCAAAAATGAGATGTAATAATATAGGTATTTCATATTAACACAAATACTATTTTAAAAAAAAAACACACACACACACATACACACACACAATTACTCTATCTATTCCAATTCAATAGACCCATTTAGACAATACGAAGATTCAGAAAAAAATGGGTAATATAGTTTAAATGATTAAATTGTGAGTAATTTATCTGTGTCCCTATAAATGACTAGTTGTTACTAGTTAATACGGTAAAATTGGGAATTGTATTCAATTAAATGTTCTAAATTTCAATGATAGTAGTGAGTACTACCTCCATTTCATTTTACTTGTCGCATTAGTGTAAAATCAAGTCTTCTTTTTATCTGTCGTCTTTCATACCCAAAGTGTATTTAATTTTTTTTTTCCAATTTCACCCTTATCTCTCTCAAGTTTTAATTGGTCATATCAATAACAACTACTTGTAATTTAATTTGTTGCATATTTCTAACACAATTAATTAGGGATAAAAAGGTCCGTACATATAAAATTATATTTCCAAACATATTTTTCTTAATTTGTATATTTGTCTAGATGCGACAGATAATATGAAATAGAGGTAGGGCTTTCAACGAACTGAACACTTCGAGAGCAGTTCGCGAATAGCTTGGTCAAAATTTAGCTTGAATTCAACTTTGACCGAATTCGAACAGTTCGATTAGATAGACGAGTTGAACACGAGTATCAATATACTTGATTCGAGAGCTCGTCGACCCTATTCGAGCTTATTATAAATTATGTTATTTTTATTATGAAAAATATATAATTCATGAAAAATTTGCTTTTTATTCCTTAAAAATGATTGTCCTTCATATTTTGAAGATGTAATAATAAGATACACATATTTTTTATGATTTTTCAAAGAATTTTGCTTATAGAATGTATAGATTGAACTCGTTGAATTAAAAATGACAAGTATTAAAATTTATTTGAGCTCAATATTATCGAGCATTTGAGCTTAAGTTTTATCGGACACAAAAATTCAAGCCAATCGAACCGAGCGCGAGTTATTCGATTTTATTTCGAACCAAACTCAAATTTCAATTTAAATGTTCAACCGAATTCGAACTCGATTACGAGCTCCAAATTTTTTGTCAAACTCGAGCTCGAGCACCTAACTGTTTGGGCTTGACTCGGTTCGTTGATAACCCTAAATGGATGTAGTATATATTAGAGAATTTATAAATAAAATTAATATGAATGTCTGAAATGGAACTAACTTTTAGAATCTCCTAAAAGGGAAAATGAGTCTATTAAATTAGAATGGAGGGAGTACATTTTTCACACATAAAATATCGAATTCCGGGTGGCATAGTTAGAAAATTAGATTAGGGAATTATTATTATCACCAGGTTAGGGGATCCATATTTCAAAAGTAAAAAATAAAAAATATTCATTTAAAATAAAAAATCAAAAATACTTAATTGGATTAAAATTCAGATAACAATTAACAGAAAAAAAAATCAATACTCCATCCGTTCCAAAATAAGTGTCATTCTAGAGTTTGCACACAGTTTAAGAAAATATTAAATATGGTAGCTAAATTACTAGAATATCATCAACCAACCCTATTAAAATAAATGCTCACCAATAATATTATTTCTTTTGAGGGTATGTTTGGAAATTTTTGACAAAAAATGCATTGTAATTTAAAAACGACACTTATTTTGGAATTTCTCCATTTTGTCAAAACGACACTTATTTTGGAATGGAGCGAGTACGTTTCAGATTAAGTGTTTCCGTCCACAAAGTTCGAAAGAGAATTAACAACGTTCTTTCCTCAAATTTACCATTTCAGGGAAACTAATACATAGATTACTGAACTTTAATTATTTCATTTTTTATAATGATTTATGATTGAACTAAAGAGCAACTTTCAATTATTAACTTTCTGGAGTCAATATTAAACAATTTTAATCCACCATTTTTATATATAAGCGACAAAAGTGCACAAGTTGGGGTAATATAGCTAATAATGACACACGCAATTAAGTGTCGAAGGAGGTGTAATTAATACCTGAAAAAGTGATTAGCTTTATTGTTCTTGACAAACGCAAAATTACTAGTACCAAAGTATATTGATTCAAAAGAAAGGCCAAATTGAAGGCAGTTTATTCACTGTGCAAAAACAGGAACATGCAAGGTGGTTGGTTAAAAAGGATTGATCACAATCATTTTAATCATTATTATTATTATTCATTTCGCTTTTTAAATTCGAACTAAATGAACTTTATTAGTAGTAATTTTGTGCATAGATTTGAGATGCTAATCCGGATGTCGGTACAAAAGTTTCATTCAAAAGACATTAACAGTTTGAATCAATTGCAGAACTGATTAAATATATTAATGCAAAGTTTGAGAGAAGTCATTTGGAAAACTAAGCCATACCTTTATTTGATTATTCTCATAATTATTAACCGTCATTCAACCAAAGATTAGGGTCTGATTTTACAGATTAATTTAGTCTAGTGGATCTTTGGAACACATTAATGATGTGCACCACCATATATATCTTATACTAATACTCCCTCCATTTTAAAATATATGTCTTTTTAGCGATTCTATTAATACCAATAAAACATTAAATCATGTGTTTAAAATACTCCCTTCATTCCAAAATAAGTGTCGTCCTACACTTTGCACATAGTTTAAAAAACTCTTAAATAGGGTAATAAAATTACTTGAATATTCTCAACCAACCTCATTATAAAATTGTCCACCAATAGCATCAACTCTTTTGAGGGTAATTTTAGAAACTTTTGACAAAAAGTATATTGAAATGTGAGAACGACACTTATTTTGGAATTTTTCCATTTTGCTAAAACGACACTTATTTTGGAATGGCGGGAGTATAAAATTATCCTTATTTATTAACCATACAACTCACCACTAACTAATACAATTTCTTTTAAATACTATTTTCATTTTCAATGTAAAGCTAATATTGGAAAAATAAGAAAAAAATTGTCTCGATTTTGTAAAACGATATATATTTTAAAAAATCTTGTAAACTCTAAAACGACATATATTAAAAAATGGAGGGAGTAGAATGGAAACAATAAAATCTCTCTAATTTGGCGACCATTGTCTATATAGTTGTGGAGATATAACCGTTTTCTATAATCACAAAATATGTACTTAGCCCCTGGTTGATAACACCAATTAATACTTAAAAGTATTCCATTAAATACTTTTTCAATTAAACATGTTTGATAAGAAAAAAATGAACATCTTAATGAATTAAGTGGTGCTGAAGCTGCAGTATCAAATATAAGTAATAAAATTTAGTTTATTGCTTATTCCGTAACTACTTAATGAATTCAAAATTTCTAATTTAATATTAAGTATTTAGAATTAAACATTAATTTTTATCAAACAGGCTCTTAGCTTCATTTCCAATTATTCAATTCTAACAATACAACGATTTTACAATTTAAGTTCACCGAAACAATTACTTTACTACTACATCAGAAACAAAATTTTACATGATAATGAAATTTGATATAATAAAACCTATAATAAAAAATATATAAACTATTCCCTCCGTCCAACAAAAATAGTGTACATTAAATTTTGAATTTTGTAAAATTTTTAGAATAGTACCATGTTGATTGTACTTTTTTTAATATTGTTGATAATGAGTAGCCAGCAATTTGTTGTTGGTGATGTTAGCGTTCATAATACCCGGAATCATGTTCCAAACTTTGTCCAGCAGTCCCTTTTTCCATCACCAAAAAGTCCATACGGCCGTGATAGTCGCCGGTTCACGTGATACTAGGCCGGACTATTTTCCTGTGCCCGGACTTTTCTTTCCAGTACATTTTTTTTTCCCCAGTTTTGCATTAAAATTAATAACCATATTACTATCTCAAAAAGTTTTTCAACTACCCTATTACACTTGCTTTATGAAGACTTAACCTAGCTTTTTTTGACCTGCATGTGACAGTTATTACTGTTGCTGCATGATCCAAAGAAAGTTCTAAGGAAAACTAAAGTGATTAAATTAATTAGTGAAAATTTTATACTTTACACTTTCTTTTTTGCTTCATTTTACTGTTGTGGACCTCACATAAAGGATTTAATGAGAATTGGTTATCAGCATGAAAGTGTGATTAAGAATATAACCTCCTGAAAGAAAAGAAGAAAAAGAAAAAAGAAAAAAACAGCTTGAACATGAGGCACCTTCCCTGAAGCAGTTCTAGGTGATATATATATATATATATATATATATATATATATATATTTGAACTAACTTGGAGTTGTTTACCACAAATATTGAATTGACCATACATTGTTGAGCTTTTTCTTTCCATGAAAGAAAGTGAAAACTGTGGTGATAGCTAGCTGAATAAAGAGTTATTGTCCATCTGCAAACAGTTATAATTCGTTTTGCTGTTCCTCCCTTTTTCCTGTCATCTTCATCTTTTTTGGAAAAACCGGTCCACCTCAATTTTTTGTTATCTAGGTGAGGAGGAGTAACGAGCAATCGAAAGACCATGTATTAAACAAAAAAAAAAAAAAATCACTTCAATGGACTCCATTTAATCGTGGATAAAAATTAAAACCTCCCTTACATATCCCTTGGTGATGGGGATTGAAACAAAATTTAATACCAGAAATTACATCATCCTAACCACTAAGTTATCATTTTGAGAGCATGTATATTCACAACTACTAGTAACAAAATGGAATTCAAATTTCAAGCTACTAGCTTGAATTAGGAGGGAAAAAAAAAAAAGAGTTGTAATTCCCATTGATTCTATGAGATATTTGTCATGTATGAACAAGAAAATCGCATGATTAAGTGATTCGCGAACACAAAACACGATCCAACTATCACCTCTCAGAAAATGCATTAGTGAGAACATAGAGAAGCAGTAAATGGAAAAAGGAAGATACTAATTTGATTACAATAAACTCATTAAACCTTATAGCTTTGGATGCGACAACCACCAGCACTATCGCTGCAATGTCACAATCCACACTTTTTTCCCTTTCCTGTCGACCTATCAAATGGTCAAAAGAATCCTTTTTGTAGCCCTCACCAACAAATGGGAAGAGAGCTACAATCAGCTATCAATTCCTATAAAGTCTAAGAAAATAAGTAGCTAGCTTCCGTAAGATCCACCATGACACACCAAATTCCCAAAAGGGCCAAAACAAAAGCATTTCTATAGAGGGCCAAAACCAAGGTGATTATTATATATAATTAACCACTGATTTACCATATAATCAAATGAGGGATGCAATTATATTCACAAGCATCAACTAATTGAAGTGATAGTTTAATTACTAACCCTCATGTGAATTGAAAGTAGCGCCTATTTATTTACATGCACGATGCTATAAGTTATTCAGCTCCGAACCTGAATCTAGAATCTCGATGTTACAATCCCCTCTTTTATTATATACTCTTTTCGATCTTTATTATATGATATTTTGATTTGTGCTAAGTTTCATTTAGTATGTTTTTTTAATTAAAAATAAAATCTTAAAAATATTTTACTATAACTGGATGAACACATTAAATGTAAAATTACATTTTTAAGGTTTTATTTTCAATTAGAAAAAATATATACTAAATGAAATATAAGACATATCAAAATACCTTATAATAAGGACCGAAGGGAGAATATTGTTGATTCTTTTCATTATCTCGACTAGAACCATATCCATAAACCTCAAGACCGAAAGTGCTATGAGCTAAATTGACATGATTCCCCGCTTTGTATTCAAACTTGTATGTCACTTTGGGCACCTTATGGTTTGTAGCGTGTTCTCTGCATCTCCTACAAGAAATGTTGCATGTTCCATGTCTTGTAAAGCTGATCGTCACACATTAATTCTGTGGTTTTGGATTTATCAGGCAAAAAATAAACACTAGGGGAGTAGCTAGCTATCAATTCCTTTGATTTTTTTACTAGTAGGGATCGATATACTCACTGTTCTAACATATGCATCGATCAAAGTGATCGGGAAAACCTTTTAATTTCTTATACATTGCAAAGGTAGTCTAACATAAAACTGGATGAAGATGGACTATTGTATCAATAGTGTTTACTTGGAGTTGAAGAAAAATTGATTAATGAGTTATTGTGGCGCTGATTGTGTGCTAAACTTTGGGGGGTTCCCTCAAGATCTCGAGGCAGTTGCATTGCTCTCACCCTACGACAAATATTCAATGCTGGTGCTAACTTCAACGTTTTTTATTAATTGATCTCCAAATCCTATCAACAAAATATACTTGAATAGATTTAGCTAGGAGACTATCTCACGCATTCTCCATATTCATCATCTCACATCCAACATTAGAGTTTTTTCTTAGATCTGATTGTCTAATTTTTTGAGTATCAATTGTGCCTCATCGATACAACGATAAAATGGTGTTTGTAAATACTATACATTATAATAATTCATAAATCACCATTTGAATAAAGCAATACTGTTTGTGCATAATTAGTGAGACATGACTACGATCTTGTTTGAGAATTAGGGTTTAGTTGAGAAAATGGGGGAGGGTTGACAAGTAGCCGGAACTTCTAATCTAAATTATCTTTTCTTAGTAAGCAGCAACTTAACTCATGATGATAGGATGAAACAATGGATGGATGAGTCAGCTGATGTTGAGATCCCGATGAAGGTGAAAATAGTTTTTGAAGGTAGAATTATACTGTCTCTGATGATTTCACCCATCTTTGTGTCTCTCCCGACAAAGAATTATTCAGTGGATAGATGTCATCATAAGAAGCAGCAGGCAATTGATTCATGCTGCTGCTGCTATGGTCTTGTGGGCTGCCAATTACAATATATACACTCTCTCACACAACACTTGTGGTTGTGGGAGTGAACTGGATGTTACGTATGATTTTTATTACTCCCTCTGTCCCATAATTATTGTCCAGTTTGAGATCTCACTTTTAGTACAATTTGAACTAAAAATGAAAACCCAAACTGGACAATAACTATGGGACGGAGGGAGTAGTATTTTTTGTTTTTCTTTTAAAAGAAAAAATTTGAGGATGTAGACTACTAGAGAATAGAGATTACCTTTTTCGTTTGGTCCCTCTTCTGGTTCATTGCATACAGATAAAAACTTTAGGTTAAAGTTAATATTGAAGTTGTTTTGGACGAACATGCGTGAAAACGAGATGCCAAAATATGGTTCAAGTGTCCAAGGACAGCATCAATGCTTGTAAGAAAAAGGAGGCATAAATTGTCTTGGAGCAATATTTGCATACTTATTATGGTCTTCATCGCTCAAATGAGATTTCAAATAACGAATAATTACTCGAGCGGCTTGAATGTTATAGACACTTTGAACGTTTGGGATTCAGTTCCTTACTACCTCTCCGAAAACAATAGAGTGCGACTTGGAAGTTGGAACACCATAAATGTCGAGCTAAAAACATGCTTAATTTTCTCTAGTTATGGCGTGATGCCGTGACCTTTGCCATTTTCACTAATTACATGCCATTATTTCGCTAGCTTTTTCGGGGATGGTCGGAGCTTGTAGCCTTGTATATTCATGTCCTCATCAGAAGAATTCAGAGGTTGGGGGCAGCTGGGCTTGTTTGCTAGTTGTGGGGTACTTATTAGGTCAATTGCTTGCAAAATCCAATTGGGGCAAAATAGTGGGCCGGATTTCAGTTTTGCGAAGGCCAGTTATTTCTCCCAGACTACTTAGGGTGGGCTGGTCCCAGCACAGAAGGCCTCCAAATGAGCCGGAATATACGGCGTCAAGAATAAACGAATTGGGGAGCAGCTCTGGGGTGATGAACAACTCTCTTTCTCCTCATCAGTAATATGACACATTCAAGTTATCCCAAGTAGTATCTTACTGGTAAAATCACTAGTGAGTAGTGTGCCCTCAGATCCATGTATTCCTACAGCAACTAAAACCTAGTAACAACATTACAACCATCTCACAAACAAGAAGCTTTCTCTCTTCATACAATCAGTTACCCCTATGGTGTACTTGGTGCCGCTTCTGACCCCGACATATGTGATGCAGTATCTTCTTTTGATATTGCAACATAATTCACCGGTGCGATAGGCCTTGCGCTTTCTCTCCTTCCATCCTTGTTCACCGATCTAGAACCGTTTTGATGCGCCGGAAGAGACAATCGTCTGCCTGCACTTCCGTTTGGACCCCCATTTGCTCGTGGACCTACCACTTTCTTCACACCAACTTGACGAGCCGGGCTGGGTGTTGAACCAAACATTGCTTCTTGTTCCTTGCTCATTTGATCATGGAATTTCTTTTGATCCTGTGGAGCACAAACAGCACATGCATTTCAATATAAGCGTTCATTGAGCAAAGTATGTTAGAGCCACAGAAAGCTGTTAGATTCTGCTGTAGAGCTAGGCGTAAATTTGCAGCATCACTTTGAAGATTAATTTTGAACCATGCAATTCACGTATTTATGAGGCCAGAGTGACAGGACTTACCCTCAGTCTTCTTTTCTCTTCTTCTCTGTCATGTCTGAGCATTGCGTATTCATCTAGCATGGCAAGAAGAGGAACACCATCGTATGCAAATGAGATACCACGTTCTTGTTCCCATGCTCTAGTCTTTGTGACCAAGCTATCAACAAGAGCTACAAGCATAAAAACAGATCATGTAGGTTTTGCTAGAATCCTTGAATTGAAAATTTCAACATTGCATCACAAAGAATGTGACTAGAATCCTTGAATTTAAAATTTCAATGTTGCATCACAAAGAATGTGAGATGTTCATTGTTACTGCTAAATTTTGCGGAGTTATTAACTTGACGAGCCTAAAGAAATTCAGACAACCTGCGGCTCATAGATTCTATTCCATGGTCAGCAGATAACCACCAACTAACTGAAGATTAAACTTTAGCCATTGCTTGAACAAGGCAATGTAGTCGCATCAATTGTATTAGAATTTTCAAGGGTACTACATTCGGATATCTTCAGTTCTTGCATCTAATTTTCATTGACATGAAGAAAAAGAATAATACTCACAAGATCTTCAAACAAACATACACAAGCTTCCAAGAGTACCTGGAATTTTGTTCACTAAAACACGTGCCTTCTCAGCTCGTTTAAGATTCAAATGTGCACCACGACTGGCATTATACCTATTGTCATCCTGTTCGTCCGAGAAAATTAGTTAAAATAAAACAGAATTGTTAATGAATAAAGAATTTAGTTAAAAAAAAAAAGGCAAATAAAGATTTAACACAGAGGTAATACTTGAGTTTCGTCTCTATATTTTTTAACCATTTATATACATTATTCAATATACCTTGAAAGAACAACCCTCTTTCTTGTAATTTTTTTTCTTTATTGGTAGGTGTTATTATAGCATATATAAATGCAACAGAATTGAGCCTGCTTATAAAAGTTATACATCGATCTCAGCTACGATAATCAAAACGCAAGTACAAATAAGAAACAAAGGAGTAATCAACTGCAACAAATTTTTAAAGCAATTGAAATTAGATCATAATAGATACCAAAAAAAGGCATGACCATAAGGTATGAAGAAGAGCACTTTACCCTCATGTAGTCCTCAAGCCAGCTCTCTTCTTCGCAAGCTGACATCCATTTTTCAACCTTATCCAATATCTCTTTCCTGCTCAGAGCCTCGTCTTTTGCTTTTGCTATCTGATTTTCCATGTCAGCCAGTAAATCTGCAGGTTCGACATTCCCAGAATCGATAAGAGCCAAAATTTTCTCTCGTGCAGCCTCTGAGTCAATCTCAATGTGAGCTCGGGCATATATCTCTTCAAGCTCAGCCTGTCTCTTGAAAGCAATTTCTTTCATCCTGCTTGCTTTTAGCTGATCAAGCCTTTCAACCTCAACTTCAGCCTTTATGACAAAGGAAACAGTAAGGGTACGATATTATTTCTTGATACCGAATGTACTTTTCTTTCCGGCTACATTTAAGGTACCTGCTCAATCAAATCCAGGGCCAGCGCTCCAGGAATGGAGACTTCGTCAACTGAAGCTGATATGTTGCAAGTGACATGGTCAAACAAACTTCGTTCCTCTTCAGGAGTATCCATCAAATTCCACAAATCAGTTAGCTGTGTTGCTAATTCTTGAAGCTGCAGAGAAGGCAAGGATTAGAAGGAAGTAAGCCCATAAGTGTAATTTAAAAGTAACATACATTTCCAAGCAATATAAACTCAGTATTTCTTAAGGCAGGAAAAAGACCAGATCCATATATTAATGCATTTACCTTCTGCAGTCTCTGCTTTTTATCCTCTTTTAGTGCAAGGACAGTCTTGGCCAACCTTGATAGTGTCTCATTGCTGATGCTTTTAGATTGCACACCGGTAGAATCATTCAAACTCGGATGTACTTCAGTTACAGTACTATAGAAGTCCATCCCCAGCACAGCACAAAGATCATGAATGGTGCTGACAAATTCAAGAACTTTGTGCAATCTCTCACTCTACATTAAATCGCAGGGGATACAGTCAATATCCAGTGCGTGATGTTGGTGATTCCACTTTGAAGAACAAAAATTATCTTTAATTGTATATAAGCTCACCTTTTCTTTCTGAAGTTCTTGCAGATGAGCATTAAATTCATCTAACTTCTTCAGTGTCAAATCAGACTGGTCAACCGCTGGTCTATCCAACCGATCAATTGTTCCAGCAATCTCTCCACAAATTTTTTCAATCTGTGACTGCACATCAGAAAATTCCTTTATTCTTTCTTCTTTCAACTTCATCAATTTCTCCAAGGCAGGGGCTATAGCAGCAAGCTGTTCTTTGATTGTTCCTGTACTCTTATCAGGCTGCATCAGAAAGAAAAAGGTTCAATGTAAGCCGCGGATTCTAAAAATCTAACATCCTGAACTTCATTGATCTGCTCTGGGAACAATAACATCAGAATGTGAATACTCACAATTCCAACAAAAGTCTTTTCGCCCAAGGCAGACAAAAGAGTTGAGAGTTCAACTTTGGCATCTGCTAACGACTGTAGCAGATGAGCTCTGGAGACTGCAGCCTGGTCAACCTTTCTCTTATAAACATCCAAGCACTCCTGTTCAAGCTGAAGAAGCATCTTGTCCCGTTCCTCATCAGTTTCACCAACTTCATCCCAAATTTTCTGCATAAGAAAATGATTTCAGTTTATCAGAATATGATCGTTCATCAAACGAACCTATATATTTTGCAATAAATGCGTGATCTTAAAATGAACATATAATCCTCCAGGAGAATCAATAAATCAGTAACTTTATAAAGCTATGTTTTTAAGTTGATTTTCAGAAATCATTAAGTAGCGCGCGAATTGAATGTGGCCCTGGACACTTTCAATGATGAGATGGTAAAGCAACAAAAGATGGAATTAATGTATTCCATTAGCACAAAAACAGGAATTACCTGCAATTGCTGCAGTAAAGAACCGCAGGTGGTCTCCCCCTGAAGATGATATTGAGCATCTACAGCTGCCATCCTTTAATAAAAGAGCCAAAACTGCAAAGAGATTAAAATGAGTTTAAGGTATAAGAAAATCTGTCAAAACCATATATATAAACTAAAATCAGTATCAATGGTTCTTTCTCATATCAACAGCATTTTCTCTAAAACACCCTGAAGATAGATAACACTATAACACCAAAATGTGAGGGAAGATGATTTCCAAGTAATCCACCCATTTTAAAAAACATTCAAGGAGATATTCCTTTTTCAATCGAATTAAAAACATAATTAAAGATAATGATGTCAGCTCTCGAGCATAAGAGACCACCAGGAATTAGAAGTAAGGAAATCATTCCATCAACTTTAAGGCAGACGCTCAATAACAGGAAATTAATGTGGAACAACATTCAAAAGTACAGTATTTTACACTTGGAATGAAAATGACAAAATGTACAAAAGTTAAATCATATAAGTAAGAATTGAGTTTCTCCTTCAGGAATAAATCTCACCAACAAACTCTCAGACTGCAAAAAACCTTTCCTACAAAACTTCCCATTTTCACTGTAGCGTACCAAATTACGCAGAGTGGTAAAACCCAAAATGCTAAACTTGTCCACCACTTAAAACGCCGCAAAGAAAAACTTTTATGCACTTCAATTAGCAAAACATCTATACCAATAGAAAACCAGTAAATACTTACCCAAGAAAAACCACAAAAATAAGCAAAGATTCACGGCAACCCAAATTAAGTACATCTTCCGTTTTACTACTAAAATCAATGTAGCATTCACTTTCAATTACTTAGATCTCCAACAAATTCCTACTCTGATATGCTTAACCACATTTTCTCCAGTAGCGATCACGTCACAAATTAGTGCGTGTTTCTGCGGGGAGAAAAAAAAGATTGAACTTCCAAGTAACGAATAAACAGATGAAATGTGGCTTAAACTTACAAAGATCGTAGTTGAACAGCAGAATTTCGGAGAGAAGATGGCGGTGGCCGGCAGATCTGAGGGTTTTTTTCCTGGGGAAGATGAACTACAGTGCGTGTTCTGAGTGTAGTGTGTGAAGGACAGTGTGAGAGTGTGAAGCAAATAAGCAAGGTACAGAGTGAAGAAAAATAAAATAAAAAATAAAAAGAGTAATAATATAATCAATTCAGACGAGAAAATATGGAGAGGGATTGAGAGGTGGGGCCGTGTTGCATACGTCGTCGTCGAGCAGATTATAAAAATTTTGAAATAAAATATTACAGCTATGATTGTCATGAAGATTATAAAGAGTAGAGGCGGTTTTTGGGAATATTTACGAGATGTGACACTATCATGATGTTTGAAAGTACTCATTTGCCCCTGGCCTTTCCACGTTTGACTGCCGTTGTTTCTTTTGACTATTTGACTATAAACAAACCAATGGGTGGATTAGGATTGGTCATCGTGTTTCTTGAGATGGCTAATTAATTAAATACGCAAAAATATAATAATCGAAGGAAATTAATTGAGAATAAATGTCCCCTCATTGTTGGTTCCTCCTCCCTATAAATTCCATTCAACTCATTATTATCATTATTATTAGTAGTAGTGGTAGTAATTTATTTAGTAAATCCATAATCCTAATTAATGGCATTTCTCATATTGTGAAGCGCTGGAAATTTCGTAGTACTACAATTTGTAATAATGTTTCTTAGTAAATTTAATGTATGATGAAATACTAGTATTCCTTCCATTCCAAAATAAGTGTCGCCTACACTTTACGCATAGTTTAAGAAACTCTTAAATAGAGTAATAAAATTACTTGAATATCCTCAACCAAGCCCATTATAAAATTGTCCACCAATAGCATCAACTCTTTTTAGGGTAATTTTGGAAACTTTTGACAAAAAAGTGCATTGAAATGTGAGAACGACACTTATTTTGAAATTTTTTCATTTTGCTAAAACGATACTTATTTTAGAATGGAAGGAGTACAATTTGTAATAATATTTATTCTTACAATATGTCTTAGGAGCTAGTTATCTTTCATTGTTAAGAGTATTAACTGTGTGAGTTACATCCATCAAGAGAATATATACTTTATTATTTTCTTCATTCTGAAGCACTAATTTTGTCCCAACAAAAAAAACTAGTTCAAGTTGATTTTTGAAAATTTTTGGAGAAAAATAGTCTCAATGGTTAGTTCAACAACTCTTTTTTCTGAACCTTTTCCAAAAAAAAAAAAAACTCTTTTTCTGAATCTCTTTAAAAAAAATGTAAAAATGATTTGAAATTTTTTAAAACAGGATCCATTTATGGAACAAAAATCAATTCAATCCCTCGAAAATACATACTACGTTACACCACGAAATGAAACAATACCATGTGAATGCAATTAGCTACCATAGGCCATACTTTCAATTAAAATTTTATTCACTTTTTCTTGCTTGTTTCTTTTCTTCTTTTTTTTTCTCCTTTTTGTTTTCAATCTGAAAATCCAATAATTTATTTTTCATAATGATATTGTTGAGCTTTTTATAGAATAAAATGAAATTATAAAACAGTAAACCAGTATAAATGAAAATTTTATTTTTTTTTATTTAGAAAAATAAATTGATTTTCCCTTTTCTCTTTGGTGGCAAAACGGAAAAGTCGCGATCATTTCAGGTTGTCATCAAAGGAGTTAGAACCCAGCCCCATAAGTTTGCCTGATATCGCCCATTAATTGATATATATATATATACATATATACATATATATATATATATATTAGAACCCAGTCCCATAAGTTTGCCTGATATCACCCATTAATTGATATATATATATATAGTACTCCCTCCGTTCCATAATTATTGTCCACTTTGGCTAAAAAATTTTATCCCAAAATTATTGTTCAATTTGACTTTTGATGGATCAAGTTACACATTTGTCCTTAGTAAAAAACATTATCCATAAAATCTTAGTGGTTAAACAATTACTTTTATAGGGTTATATCCGGTTGTTTAAGGTAAAATATAGTTAAGTTTAACTAAAAATAAAATCTTTTATTTTAGTAAAATTGGACAATAATTATGAGACGGAGGGAGTATAGAGTTTCTTCAAAGACTCAAAACATTAGAGGAAAACCATGAAAAGAATTGATGCAAATTTTTTTTTTTTGTTGATTGATTTCATTAAAAAAATACACTTATGAAAAAAAGAGATAAGATGTGTACTACTCCGTGTAATGTTCATTACTTTTTGTAGCCAGTCCTATAGCCTTAGGCCTAGTACAGATGTGATCAAATGTGGCAAAATGTACAGCTCAGCGTTTGACCGTGATTGGAAAAAAGACTATTGAATCAGAATAGAGCTTTGTCGAGGCCAGTAAACTATAGCACAGTTCTAATAAAGAAAATAAAAGAGAGTTTAATTTTGTTAAATTAAAATAATATAATCTACAGTACAATATTTTTCTGAGAGTATTACTTAAAAATCATCTTTAAAATAAATATTCTGAATCAAACTAACAATTCTGGCAGTGTTAAACCAACATTCAGGAAAAAAAATTAATTAGGGCGTAAAATGCACCAACTTATATCATGTCACAAGCTAATGCCATGCACTGTTCCTCTTCCGATGAGGGGGGAAATAAAGGAGGAGAGGTTGAAGAAAAGTAAAAAAGGGTTCTGTAAACACTGCTTCAAATTCCACATGGGATGTGTGACAAGTCAGATCCAGGAGGATGGGCAATTTCACCTTTTTACTTGTAAGTTTTCTGTATTTATTACGTTCACCCTGATATATTGTTACATACACCCTGATTTTTTTAGTTTTTATTTTTATTTTACTTTTTTTTTGGGGGAAAATTGCTGTGAATTTTATCAAGAGCCTATCACTCTATCAGGCTTCAGGGCACTACATGCTGCAGCAGAGCAGGATAATATCATATTGGGACGTCTGATCTTAAAAATCCCCAAAAACAAAAACAAAAACAAAAACAAAAAAGAGAAAAAGGCAAGCTGTCACATGCATTTTGTTGTTTTCTTGTACTTGTCCTTATCATGTCTCAACTCTCAAAGTTTCAACCAATCCCACATTTGTGATTTCTCCCTTGTTCTTTCTTTTCCACTCTTTTCTAATTTCTACTACTGATGGGTAGTTTAGTGATGATGCTCATTCAATGATTCAACTACATCTGATTAAATGGCTAACTACATTGGTTTTAGCATTTATTAATTCTATTAAGATAATTAGGGTTTGATTAATTAGTTACTCTTGTTATTAATAAATTTACTATTGTAACCCTAGTAAATGATGTGTATATAAACCCTAATATACAACTCTAATACATACAACGGACTGAATATCTTATCCGTCTTTTGCCCAATTCTTGATCGTCGTTTCTACTTTCTTCATAGTATCATCCGCTGACTGTTAAACATGACGAAACCAACCGACACCGGCGTCCCTTCCGACGATAGATCCCGGCGTACGGTTCTTGTTTCAGCGTCCGGCGATGATGTAGTTCGCACGAAGACCATTTCTCCTTATGATCTTACCACAAATGATAATCCCACAAACGACATTACTCAAATTCAGCTAAAGGGGGAGAGCAACTTTGATGAATGGTCTCGGAGTGTCAAAACCGCCTTGCGCGCCCGGAAGAAGTTCGGGTTTGTTGACGGCGGTATCCCGGAACCGCCAGTTGCTTCCTCTGATCTTGAAGACTGGTGGACTATCAATTCGCTCCTGGTTTCGTAGATCATGAATTCCATTGAGCCGGCTCTTCGTTCCAACGTCACTCATCGGGAAGTGGCAGCCATTTTATGAACTGATCTTCAGGAGCGCTTTTCAGTTGTTAACGGTCCAAAAATTCAGCAACCCAAGGCTGAGTTAGCCGCCTGCAAACAGAAGGGATCGATTATGGCTATCTACTATGGTCGCCTCAAGCAGATTTAGGAGGAACTGGGCGCGTGTTATTATCTGCCGGTCTACTCCTGTGGTAAGTGCGGGTGTAATCTCGCTGCCGTCATCGATCAACAGGTTGAAGAGGAGAAAATTTATTAGTTCTTGCTTGGCTTGGATGATTCAATCTATGCGACGGCTCGTTTTCACATACTTGCCCAGGATCCTTTGCCCAAAACCAACAAAGTTTATTCAACTATGATTCAGGAAGAAAAAATGCATCAAATCACTCATTCGAAGGAAGTTTCGACTGATTTGGTGAGTTTTGCAGTCACTGCCAACGCCAGAACTTCTTCTGCTGTCTCTTCCGGCAATTCTCCGACGGCCACTGCTGTTGTTGTTCCGAAACCGGCTGCTGGACGCGGCGTTGCTCGCGAAAATCCTCTTTTCTGCACTCACTGTCAACGCACTGGTCACGACATCTCAACCTACTTTCTGATCGTTGAGTATCAAGAAGGCTGGCCGACTCGTTCTCCCTCCGGCGCTCGTCGTGGTCGCAGGCGTGGTCACGACAATGGCAGGGGAGCAGCTTCGGGTGGTGCGGGCGGTATGGTTCCTGCTGCCAGTGTAAACACCATGTCCAAACCGGGTCTTGCTGTCGGCTGAATCCGGTCGGGTTGTAACCGATTTGAACTTGAACCAGTGGCAAACCTTGATCCATCTTCTCAACTCGACTAAAGTTGGTCCAACAGACAAATTGTCTGGTACGTGTTGGTCTATTTTTTGGATGTATGATTTGGGTGCTTCTCGACATATGACAGGCAATTTGGCATATTTTTCGGATATCCGGGATATTACTGGTGTGCATGTTCAGCTTCCCAACGGTCATTGTGCTCTTGCCACTAAAGGCGGCACTGTGGTCCTTCGCAACACTATCACATTATGCAACGTTCTTTATGTTCCCAGTCTCCATTGTCATTTGATTTCAGTTTCTCAGTTACTGAAGGACTCGGGTTATGTTGTTTATTTTACTTCTGATGTTTGTGTTGTACAGGACCGCGTTTCGAGGACGCTGATTGGAGCGGGTGAACAACGAGAGGGGTTGTAATTTTTCAGACATGTGGAAGCCGCCTCTCCTATGTTGTCTCCTAGTGTGTCTTCTGTCGACTTGTGGTATCAGCGTTTAGGTCATCCCTCACCCAAGGTTCTCCAGTTGCTTCCCATTAGTGTCACTAAAACTCTAAATATTTTTTAGCTTATTCATTGTGATTTATGGGACCCATATCGAGTTCCTTCTTTTTCTGGTGCATGTTATTTTTTGACGATTGTGGATGATTTCTCTCGTGCAATCTAGATCTATTTATTGATTGAAAAGAGTGATGTTTCTTCCACTTTGCGTAATTTTTTCGCTATGATTGCGCGTCAGTTTGATAAAGTTGTGAAAGTTGTTTGGTCTGATAATGGTACCGAATTCTTGTGTCTGTCTGACTATTTCCGTGAAAATGGCACTTTACATGAAACATCTTGTGTTGGAACTCCTCAACGGACTGGTCGTGTGGAACGTAGACACCGACACATTCTTAATGTTGCTCGTGCCATGAGATTTCAGGCACATTTGCCTATTGATTTTTGGAGGGAGTGTGTTTTGATAGTGTGGTATTTAATTAATCGTACCCCATCTAATGTGTTGAATGGCAAAACTCCGTGTGAAATTTTATTTGGCCGCCCTCTTTCATTGTCTCATTTGCGGGTTTTGGAGTGTCTTTGTTATGCTCATAATCAAAATCATCATGGGGATAAATTTTCAAGTCGTAGTCGCCGTTGTCTGTTCTTGGGCTATTCTCTCGGGAAAAAAAGGTTGGCCCGTCTATGATTTGAACACCAAAGAAATTTTTGTTTCTAGGGATGTTATTTTTTCTGAATCAGAATTTTCATATTTCTTTGTCTGAGAGTTCTGTTTCGCCTTCTTCTGTCCCTGCCAGTCTTTCTTTTTCTAGTCCCATTCTTGATGATGATGATGAGTTTACACCCATTCTTCCTGCACCTACTCAGTCTTCCCCTTCACCTCCTGTGTCTCCTCCCCTTGATATTTTCGTCGATAGGGGGGTTCCTCTATTTCGTCTAGTCAACAGGAAGAACTTATGAGTCGTGGGCATTGGGTTAATTTCAAATCAACTTGTCTCAAAGATTTCTCAGTACACACTTGCTCTCTCAGCCCCCCTCTCGCCTCATCCTCTCCGTCAGCTTTCTCAGGTGTGTCATATCCTATTCAAAAAAATGTGAATTTTGATTCTTTTTCTCCCGAATCATCGTGTGTTTTTGGCAGCATTACTGCAAGTGTTGAACCCCGGACCTTTGCAGAGGCTATGCAAGATCCTCACTGGCGCACAGCCATACAAGATGAGATTCAGGCTCTTGAAAACAATGGCACTTGGTCAGTAGAGTCTCTTCCTCCTGGTAAACGCGCTATTGGGTGCGAATGGGTGTTCAAAATTAAACACCACTCTGATGGGTCTGTTGAAAGATACAAGGCTACGCTGGTCATTTTTGGTAATAGTCAGATTGAGGGTTTGGATTATAATGAGACATTTGTTCCAGTTGCCAAAATGGTGACGGTTCGCACTCTTCTAACTGTTGCTGCTGTTAAGGGTTGGGAACTTCATCACATGGACGTTCACAATGCCTTCTTACATGGTGATTTGAATGAAGAAGTCTATATGCGCATGCCTCCTGGTTTCTCTTCTCCACATTTAGGTCAGGTTTGTCGGCTTCGTCGTTCGTTGTATGGCTTGTGACAAGCACCTCATTGTTGGTTTGCTAAATTGGCTGCTGCTTTACGCAAGTATGGTTTCCAATAATACTCTTATGATTATTCTCTTTTTACTCTACGGCGACCTACTCATCAGCTCACAGTTCTTGTATATGTGGATGACCTTATCATCTCTGGTAATGATAGTCTTGCCATTTAGTCCTTCAAGACTTATCTCAGTTGCTGCTTTCATATGAAGGATCTTGGGGGTTTGAAATATTTTTTGGAGATTGAGATTGCTCGTAACTCAACATGCATTTTTCTCTGTCAACGCGAGTATACCTTGGATATTCTGTCTGAGGTTGGTCTGCTAAGCGCTAAGCCTACCACCTTTCCACTTGACTAAAATCATCAGCTTCCGCTTGCTAAAGATACTCCCCTTCCTGATCCTGAACGTTATCGACGATTGGTTGGTCGGTTAATCTATCTGGCTGTCACACGACCGGGATTGTCTTATTGTGTTTATATGCTCGCTCAGTTTATGCAGAAACCTATGCAAGCTCATTGGGAGGCTGTTTTGCGTGTTGTTCGCTATTGAAAGGCAGTCTAGGTCAAGTTCTTTTTCTTCGTGCTGATAGTGACTTGCGTCTTACTGGTTGGTGTGATTCTGATTGGGCCAGTTATCCTATCACACGGCGCTCTATTACTGGCTGATTTGTTCATTTAGGGTCTTCTCTCATCTCTTGGAAGACCAAGAAGCAGCCCACAATGGCACGCTTTTCTGCTGAAGCTGAATATCAAGCTATGGCTTTAGTCGTCTGTGAGCTCAAACGGCTCCGGGGTCTGCTGATGTTTATTGGTATTACTCATTCTTCACCAGCCAGGCTCTTCTGTGACAGTCAAGCAACCTTGCATCTTGCTGCCTATGTTTCATGAACGAACCAAGCAGATTGAGGTTGACTGCCATTTTGTATGGGACGAGGTTATGAAAAATAACATTCTTCCGATCTATGTTCCTACTCAGTTCAAGTTTGCTGATATCTTTACCAAAACTTTGGGTCAATCTCAGTTTAATTTTTTTTCTGGGCAAGTTGGGCATTTAGAATCCCATACTCCAACTTGAGGGAGTATTAAGATAATTATGGTTTGATTAATTAGTTACTCTTGTAATTAATGTATTTACTACTGTAACCTTAGTAAATGATATGTATATAAACTCTAATATACAACCCTAAAAGATATGATGGACTGAACATCTTACAACCGTCTTTTGCCCAATTCTTAATCATCATTTCTACTTTCTTCAAACTTGCAAAAAAAAGTAAGCTACCAAGCATAATGAGATTCAGAACTTTTCTTGTTAGAAGCAACGTTCGGGTCAGAGTCTGGACAATTCACAACTAAGAATACGGCTAACATTTTTGTTAATGTAATCACACTCTATGTGACGTTTTATCGAACATCTCGTATGTGTTTACTCGTATACTTTTTCTGTTAATGTTTGTTTAATTACTGTTTTGTATATAGGCGTTAGAATCAACTAACAAAATACGTGGACTATTATTAATCAGTAATAAGAACGACATTCAAATTCGAGTAGTATAACACAAAAGACAATCGGAAAAGAAAAAAGGACATTGTGGTGATAAAATCTTAAAATCTAGATGGATATTATTACTTTAGCCTCGTAATATCTTATTCTTGCTGCATCTCTCTAACTCTAATAATTGAAGGTTGGCCCCCTGTATCCAATATTACTATCTGTTTGGATTTTGATTTTCTTGCATGGGGCACGAAAGCTTTTTATTCTATCAAATGATGACAATGTCAATCTAGTTGCAAAGTATTGCATTTTGCATGCAGCCTTCCCACCAACCATATACATTATTAATTTGTTTTTTTTTTTTTTATAATAAATTTCGATGGATTTGTACCTCCAATTAAAAAAGAAAGAAATAGTACTATTGATTTTGCAATATAGGTTGTCCAAATCCACGTGTCGATAATGGGTTGTTTTCAAACTTTACGCTTTTTTGGTTAACCTTCTGAGCTTTCTTGATCCAAAAACACTGGATTCCTCTTTTTGATCGTAATTAAGTCCGAATTCATTCACAACATCATAATGTGTATTTCTTCTTGTTGAATGTGACAGTGGAAATGGCTTGTGATTCCTTGCCCCAATTAGCTCAAAAGAATATGTGTCAACCACAGGTTTAGAAGATCATTTCCAAATCACAATACATACACACACACAGACACTCTTGTGTAAGTCCGGCATCAATTTTTTGCAAATCTAAACGTCAATTTATTTGTAAAGATTTGTTCTTATCTTCGTTGATTATTTCCCTCATAAATGCGCTTTGATTTAGTTGTTTTCGTGTGTCGATTACTCAATTATATGAAAAACTAATTTATTGGTTTTGTATTCCAAAAAAAATAATAAATAAATTAGTATTAGTTTTGTTTCTTCTGTCGCTTTAACGTACGTGGATAATGAGTCGGAAAACGTCTGTTGATGATGCTGGGAAATATTCGAACAATAAACTTTACTAATTACTATGATTGAAAATGAAACCCGACATGGACTTCTTTTCTCCCTTTTCTTACTTTAATTTGTTTTCTTAGGTGGGCCTTCTTCAGTTGATTAAGTGCGCGTGTGTGTGTGTGTGTGTATGTGTGTGTGTGTGGAGTGAAACTGATGAGGCAGTAACTTGCTGAATAATTTTGTAAGAGCATGTAACTCTGCAACATGAAAATATCTCACTCAAATTGGACCCTTTCTTGTTAAAGTGCCAAAATGTGTACTAATTTTGGTTTGTTTGATTTAGGATCTTTAAGCTGCAAACTCATTTTGGTGATTTATTCACCAATATTTTGTACTTGTAAATGTATCAACTTTGAAAATGTATATATGTGTTTTGTTATAATTGTTCTGTTATATTCTTATTCTTGTAGTTTACACTTTCATTCGTCCGACCTTAGGAAACTCGCTTGAATTGAAAATGCTCACAGTTTGAGGTTTCCGTAACAAGATTGCTTGCTTGAATGTGCCTGTCATACTTTAATATGGACGATCACCTTGTGACTAATGTAATAGTGCTGTTTTTCCTTAGCACCTATTTCATTAGATTGATTCCTAAGTACAAAACTTCCAGGAAGAACCACAATGCAAAGGGATCATGGTCCTGTTTCTCCATCTTCGCCTACAGCCAGAATTCGGCATCGCAGGCATGTAAGTGAGGTTAGTGCAAGCATCCAAATTATTGATTTAGACAGACTGATTCGCAACAAAAAAAATGAGATGTTTCATTCTCTAGATATGTGTTACTCTGCAGTCGACCCTGCCCGTTATAAGCCGCAGATTGAGTGGAAGCCAGTTTCTTATTGATGATGAGGACAAGTACAGATCAATGAAAATACGTACATTTTCATCTTTTTGGATGCTTTTAGGTATCCTTCTGATTATTTATTTGGGCCATCTATACATTTGTGCAATGGTGGTTGTCATCCAAATCATCATGACAAGAGAGCTATTCTGTCTACTTAGAAGAGCCAATGAAAGGAAACATCTTCCAGGGTTTAGGCTGCTAAACTGGTAAGTTGTCAAAGCATCTATATATTTGCAATTGCACCTACTTGTGAGAAATATAAGATTAACCTTGGTTAACAGAGTTGTCGATTTTCCGGCAATCTTATCTCTCAGGCATTTCTTCTTCACAGCAATGCTGTTTGTATATGGCCCCATTCTCAATCAACAGTTAGTCAAAACTGCAAAGTCAGACAAGGTCTTCTTTAAGCTGGTGATCAGGCTTATGAAGTATCATATGGTCATCTGTTATTTTCTATACATTGCAGGTTTTGTCAATGCCTTAATAATGTCTTACAAACTGAAGCTCTTTCCAAGTTTCATCAGAATTGTTCTTACAGTTTTTTACATGTTTCTGTATGATGATGATGATGCTGAGCTCTATTAGTTACTCCAACGTGACAGGACTTGTGTGGTTCATTTTGACACTGAAGAAGAAGATGTACAATTATCAGTTTGGCCAGTATGCTTGGACACACATGATCCTTTTTGTAGTATTCATGCAGTCCTCGTTTACAGTAGCTAATATCTTTGAAGGCATATTCTGGTAAATCTATCAAATTGGATGCTAACTCTATTTAATGAAACAAGAGTTCTTTCTCTGTATTGACATAGATTTACTGCTAAAATCTTATCAGATGGTAACACGATTATAGTGTGAAGTAAAATGCAAACTAACATTCTGCTTGCGCAGGTTTCTCTTGCCAGCATCACTTATAGCCATCAACGATGTAGCTGCTTATTTATTTGGATTCTTCTTTGGAAGAACACCACTCATACAACTTTCTCCGAAAAAGACATGGGAAGGCTTTATAGGTGCATCTGTCGCTACAATGACGTCTGCATTCCTAGTAAGCTTAATCATAGCTTTTTTTTTTATCACCTCATACTTACTGTTTATCATCTTTCGTAAGATAGTCAATGTCTAAAGCAATATCTTTTTGACATGGTTCTGAACACTGACGCACTCACAGCTCGCCAATGTGCTGGGACGTTTTCAGTGGTTCACTTGTCCGAGAGAGGTAAATGTGTGTATGTACTTTTTTCTCAAGTTTTGGAGAAGGCATTGTTTTTACAAGTTTGGGTGCAGGACTTATCAACTGGTTGGCTGGAGTGTGATCCAGGTCCATTGTTCAAACCAGATTACTACTCGCTTTCTGCATGGGTTCCTGAATGGGTAATCAGAACCTAATTGTATTTTAATTTCCATCCTTCTTGTCTGTACTAATGAATTCTATATGGTACAGTTCCCTTGGAAAGAGATATCAGTTTTGCCGAAAGAGATATCAGTTTTGCCGGTACAATGGCATGCTCTATGCCTTGGCTTATTTGCATCAATTATAGCGCCATTCGGAGGGTTTTTCGCCAGTGGATTCAAGAGGGCTTTCAAAATCAAGGTAGATATTGAGTTCCTGGTGTTTATAGTTTAAAAAAATGGCTCACCGTGATTGACATTTCATTGGACGTCCCTGGGTAATACAGGATTTTGGGGCTAGTATTCCTGGACATGGTGGTTTTACCGATAGAATGGACTGCCAGGTTGAGCTACTGAATCAGAATCACACCTTTCATCATTCGCTGCATCATTAAAGATTCTCTTTAGTAAAAATGGGTTACTTTATAATCTTTGTGGCTTATATCTGCAGATGGTGATGGCCATATTTGCTTACATCTATTATCAGTCCTTCGTTGTTTCTCAAGAAAACCCTGCTGAAATGATCTTTGATCAGGTGCTTTACTTGCCGCTTGAACACCTCTATATTGCAGAGATTATCTTTTCAGCTTCTGACCGATGCAAATTTAGGCATTATACCTATGTTTGAAGCTAATATGCTAAAGTTTTGGGTTGCAGATAATGCGCCATCTTAGCTTCGAGGAGCAAACAGCACTTTATTTGAGGCTTGGCCAGATATTAAGAGAGAGGCGGTTTTCTGTTTCCTGAAGCACTGTCAAAGACTCCTCAATGTTAAAGGATTCACCTCAGAAGACACGCAAGATCCCTTTTCGAAATCAGGGATGGACCAAGAGAGCTGGCAGATAATGTGGTCTGTGGTGTTTTCATGTATCCATGAAGAACATTAGGGCAAATGGTCACAAATCCATAACAAATTTCTGTGCCAAATGCGCATCAGCTACTCCTTTCTGGGATCTTTTTATGATTTAAAATATATAGGATATCATTTGAGCTAAAACAGGAGAAATCTACCTAGCAATACCCCTGCAGTAATTGATCCTAACCAGTGATACAAAACTCTCCTTCTCTGCCTTAAGTTCCATCCAAAAAATTTTCTCGGCGCGATCTATTTTTCAGATTTCTAACTCTTGGAAAGCAAGCAAGCTGATTGATTCATGTCTTTCATCACTGTCAAAGTGACATGTTGCCTTTAGATTGCTCTCATTTATTGTGTTTTGTACTCGATTTCAGCATGTTCTCTCAGCCACTCGAGCACTTTTGCTCCCTCAAGCACCTCTTGCACCTGTCCAAGTTCGACAAAGGGAGATTCCATTCGTCATGCACAAAAATTGGGATATTCTTAGGCAGATTTAGACACTTTTGTACACGACAAACCTGTTCCTTAACACGATCCTCGTCATATTCCTGATTATGTTTCTTAAACTCCGAAATAGAGTTCTGCACTTCCTTCACCAGCTCATCTGTTGAGAACTGTAACACGAAGCATACTTACAAGATCAAATATCATGCCATAACTCTGAAGCATAAAACATCACCAGGAGATGCTCTCTAAATTATTTGTTCTCCGCAGGTTCATTTTGAAATAATGCAAAGCTTTTTATGCTCCATGCAGATATAGAAAAAAAAGTGTAACTTAATGAAAACCAGGACTCTTTGAAATTATGTAACCCTGCAGCAATGGACCAAGTGCTATAAAGGAGAAATGAAAACCAAAACTTCGTACCTGCAAATTTTCCCGTTTAAATATGTCTCCAACAGCTAGGTTCTGCTTTATTATATGATGTATATTCTCCTTGTTGGTTTCCAGGAACTCATTGACGGCCTTGGGACTTGATAAATATGCCAGTTGTTTCTCACTTAGCTTTGAATTTGCCTACTTCAACAAAATCCTTCGATGAGTATATAACAACAGTTGCATAGTGATGCAAACTAAGGTTCTGAATTTCCAAGTAAGTCACCTGTAGTTGTAAGAGTTGGGCTCCATAAAGTTGTCTTCCTTGTTCCTCAAACAAAGACCGGGGGATATCTACTTCAATCATCTGCAGAAGAGAAAGGTAAAAGGCTAACTAAATGTGCTAGTGAAGGTAATAGAAGACAAACAGAATGAAAAAGAGTAAAAACAGCATACAAACGGAAAAACAACCAGGGAATGAAGGTAAGAGTAGAAGGTATGTTGCCTATGATAGAATAGAAACTAATAACTATTACATTTGAAGTGCTAGATTATGGTCTTTAAGGAGATACCTTGGATATTCGATCAAGGATAGCATTATCTGCTGCTTGTTCTTTGGCTGTTTGCTCCACTTCTAGACATTTCTGCAATAATGATTCCTTGACCTAAAGCCGCATGTAGCCATGAATTATGAGTAAAACCTTATCAGAATCATTGAAAGCAAAGCCAACTCTAACAGCTCACCTCATCTAATGTTTTGCATCCAGGTAGTAGCTTATTTGCAATTGAGTCATTAAGCTCGGGGAGATCTCGATAAAACAATTCCTTGCATTCAACCTAGAGGATACAAAACACCATTTAGGTTATCCTCCCAAATGCTTTGATCAAATTTACAAGGTTGCATTATAAATTAAGCCAATTTTAGTAAGCATTTAAGACTGTCAGTCCGCATGACACCAAGTGAACTGTGAATTTAACTCACTGTAAAATTTGCACGAACGCCACGCAGATCTTCTTGAGCCCAAGTTTCAGGAAATACATAAGGAAAGGTCCTTGATTCCTCTCGTTGCATTCCAACAATTGACTCAAGGAAGCCGGGAAGTATTTTATCTGCGTCCTCTGTATCAAACTGAAAACCTGGGAAATTGAGAAGTAACAATCCTAAGCTTAGAAAACACCAAGGAGCGAACAAAAGCGAACGAAAAATATCCTTATCAAGGGCATAGGCAATGGTCATTGATCATCAGTATTCACAGCCAAATGGTATGAACAAATAAATAGCAGTGTAACTAGGACCACCTTTGCTCTCAGCAGATGGAATTTTTTTAGCGGCAGATTTATCTTCCTCAAATGTCGTCGCAGATATATCAAGGATAGCAACATCACCAAGCTGCAGAAATTTCATGTGTTACTGAGAGAATCACCAAGTCCAAATTTCAGTGTGTCACAATGTGAAATGAAGCATAACGTTACCTGTAGCCCTCTCTCAGTTACAATTTTTAGTGCACCCAGCGACTTGTGACGGCGCTTAAGTTCTTCTTCAGAGGCTATTTGGGCAGTTATCTCACTATCTATCTGCACAACAATCTTCAAATTCTTGTATCCTCCTTCCGGAATCCATTTGAGTTCAGGCGCCACATCAACAACTACATCATATCTGGGACAGAGCAAAAAGCGGAGTGAGCAACACAATAATGCATATTAATTCAGGCAACTTGTCTCTCCAGATATCCTTGTTTTGAGTGGAGTGAACTGACATAATATCATATCAATGGTAGCCGACATAATCTTAATTTCAGTCAAGCACATGAATTGACATTGTGCAACAAAGAAAATGTGAATAAAAAAATGCAACAAAATTGTGACCAACCTCAGAGAGTTTGAAGAAGAGTAAGTCTTCTCCATTTCTGAAAACTTTGTAACTATTCGAAGTGAATCATCCAATGCTTTTCCAGCAATCTATGAGATGAAAAATATAAAAAATTTTATAAGCAAATGAAAGCCAACATAAAAAGTATCTATTTGCTCATCTGAAAAATATCAATAGAGCAACTAGTTACTGTAGGAAGCACTTGATTATCAAGTCATCATATCAAAAGAAGAACACAGCTTACAGAAGACATGGCATGCGGAAGGGTTCTCTTCAATATTGATTCAATAATAGCTTTCTGGATATTCTGTTTCCCAATATAGTTAACAAGAATACTCTCTGGAACATTGTGTCCAGGGCGAAATCCAGGAACCTGAAGCCAAAATGTCAGTCATAATTCATCTCCATATCAACTTGCTAAACAAAATGGCTAACTTTACTTTCTTTGAAGATGGTATATGAGATTATTTTACAAAATTGCGGGCACAAAATTCAGAAATTCTTTTTTGTACTTCCCGAAGACACTAACAACAAAGATAACCCACCTTAGCCCGCTTCATAAACTCTTGGATAATTCTGTTGTGGCAATCTTCGCATACTTCAGGTGGAACTTCTACACTCAACCTAACCTGCAACCAGAAGAAAATTAGATACGTTCTTCACATTATAACAAACTGTAACTACAGCACACCATGGATTTAAACCACAAGTTCTTTAAATTTGAAACCCATATTTAAAAAAGAAAAATCACAAACGAAATATCCACAAGGGATTTCCAATTCAACAAGAACATAATAAAGGGAACAAATGGGAAAGGAAGAAAAAATAACAAACTTACTCTGGAATTGGGCTCTTGGGTTTCTGTAACCTTGAGATCAGCAGGAAGCTTCTCAAGGGTGGCATCAGCTGCTTCAGCTTCTGAAGTGAAAGCTGACGTTACGAACTTGCGGGCAGGAGGTGGTGAATTGTTGATGCTTAGATGTTTAATACAAGTAGTAGAGAAGATTGCGGTGGTTCTGATAGGAAGAAGAAGAAAGTTTCGGGGTAAAGAAACTAGAGAAGAAAAAGAAGAATGGGTTGGGTAGAGAAGTGTGTATGCGGCCTTGAATTTGAGGAATGCAGGCGTAGCTGCTGAGCTGCAAAGCGCCATTGCTGTTTTTGGCCTTTGAATGAACTCTGTTGCAGGCCTATTGGTTATTGTTGATCAAAGATAGGATATTGGATATGGGATATTTTTACTCTGCAATAAAAGTGATAAAACGAGGCCGTAGCTACCTACAGTGATGTTACACTTTTACTATCTTTTTGTACATTACACTCATGGTGGGTAAAATAATCTAAATTCCAATAAAATAAGTCTCTCTCAAAAGGAAATATTAGAATAAAACATAAAATTTAAATCAGATAAATCTTACACAAAAACATGAATAAGCATTTTAATCATTGTTACCATCACAAACATTCTAAATCAACACCAAGAATTAGGTTTGATTCTTGTGCAAGTACGAGGGTTGGTGATTCTGAAGACGAATTCTCTTCAAAAAGGGGAGGATGATGAGAATCTCCTTAATATGGGAGCTCCCAACATACCAACTAGCTACTATAAGCCTATGACACATACATTAGCATGAATGTCAGAATAATTTCACCATTCCAAAATTGTTCATGTGCTCAACCCGTTTATCAAATATGGTTTCTACTATTTCACCACCACTGCCTGTCAAAATGACGATACAACTCACTCTTCTAACAAAACTATAACCTCATACACCGGGTAATGGGAACTTGGTCGTAAGAGCTTCGACTCTTCCCTGCAATTCTGATACCCGATGGGTGAGCGGGAAGTTTGGAGACTCAACAAACTTCATGAAATCTTGAACCTTGGAACCTGGGGCAGCCTTTTTGGCTGCAAGAGCAATCTGCACACCCTCGTGGATGAAGTCTGCTGCTGATTCGAAGTCCTTCTCGCTGAAACCTCGAGTAGTCATAGCAGGAGCACCCATGCGTATACCACCTGGCACAAGTGCACTTTTGTCACCTGAAAACCCAGAATTAGGGGAATGAGTACCGTCCGAATGCAATGATACACTTAAAAGAAGTTTCTTGTGGGAAAGGGGGTCTCAAGGTGAAAGCAAAGTGATACAACACTGACCTGGGACTGAGTTCTTGTTTAAAGTAATCGATGCCATATCGAGTATTTTCTCCACTCTAGCACCATCAATCCCCTACATCAACAGATTGAACATCCATTAGCATGTATAACCAGCTTTACAAGTTGGTTCAATAGATAGGTCGTCAATGTGTGCAAATTGACTTCTTCCAGTAGACTTCCGTAGCAAGGAACAAACAAGAAAATAACCAGAGACACAAACTCACCAATGGCCTGAGATCCACGAGAACCAAGTGGTTATCACTCCCTCCCGAAACCAATTTGTATCCCAAGCTGATTAACCTGTCTGCAAGAGCTCTACTATTTGATACCACCTACAACAACCAGAGAAAGGTAAGAATCGCGAATACAGTATAACAAAAACTTTATTCCCCACCTTAAGAATACATTACCTGCTTCTGGTAAGTCTTAAACTCTGGTGATTGAGCAAGCTTCAAAGAGACAGCAAGACCCGCAATTGTATGGTTATGAGGACCACCCTAAGAGGACAACAATGACGCCTCAGCCACTAAATTTTCAGTAAGATGCCAAAGACCTAATCTAAGAAAACAGCAGAATGAACAAAAAGTGGGGTAGTCAAGCAAAATCTGACCTGTAACCCTGGGAAAACTGCATTGTTGATGGCTGATTCTAAATCAACACCAAGAACAGGATCCTTCTTGAAGAAGATCATTCCTCCTCTAGGGCCTCTTAAGGACTGGAAAAAGCATCACAGCCAAAAAGAAATTGCATTGATCAACAAGTTAGTAACTTTTCAGTCTACAATGAACAGAAGCTTAGAACTTTATCAATGAAGTAATGTGAACTTCCACATGCTTCATATGCTGCTCCAAAAGTAAACATAACAAATATAAATGAAAATAAAATTTGCATAAGTTCAACCTTGTGTGTTGTTGTAGTCACAATATCACAGTACTCAAAAGGATCAGCAACAACTGAGGCAGCTACAAGTCCACTTATGTGAGCCATATCAGCCATCAAGAAAGCACCAACAGAATCTGCAATCTTCAGAAGCAAAACATGGCAAAATTAAGTGAACTGAAAGTAAAGCGGCAAAAAATGAATCAAATAACGCAAGGACAAATGCTCGGACATTTATGCTGAACATATATAAAACAAGACTGCAAGAATTGAACCTTGCGCATTCGTGGGTAATCAAAATCACGAGGATAAGCACTTGCGCCGGCAATAATTAGTTTTGGCCTAAAGAGAATAGCCGTTTTCTCGAGCATGTCATAATCTACAAGGCCTGTTGGGAAGACATAAATGGTTGGCTTTCTCCTCTGGAAAGAAAAAGTAGAGAAAATAATAATAAAAAATTATACATCTGAGCATGTACCTGTAGATTCATCTAGCCGGTAAGGCATTGACTCGAAATAAATGGATGTGCCAGATACACGTCTTTTAGGAGTCATGAATCCGTGAGACAAGTGTCCTCCATGAGGTAAATCCAATCCCTGAACAAATAAAATTACTCAAAATTCCACAGAACGGAACTGGAAGGATAAACAAACCCCTGGGTGGACTGTCGAGCTACAAGTCCTACAACACGAATTCGAATTCATAATTTCATAAAGACCCAACTGCAATGGGAGTAGGATAACTTACCATTATGCGGTCATGTGGGTTAAGAATAGCTGTATAGACTTCAAAGTTAGCAGGAGAACCAGAAAGAGGCTGAACATTCACTCCCCACTTCTTCCCATCCAAGTGAAATGCTTTCAAAGCCCTTTCTTGACAGAGAATTTCCATCTTGTCAATGTTCACATTCCCACCATAGTATCTGATACATGACACAAAGAAAAGTATGCATTAAGGTCAATTTGCAAATCCAGTTAAAAACACTCAGAAAGACGTTATGAACTAAAGCTTACCTTTTACCAGGCAAACCTTCAGAATACTTATTTGTGAGGCAAGAACCGACTGCTTCCATCACAGCTCTGGATGTAAAGTTCTCAGAGGCAATAAGGCTTAAGTTTCTAAATTGCCTTTCCTTTTCATCGCCAATTATAGATTGCACTTCAGGATCAGTATTTCCCAAGCTGCTGTCGGAAAAGCTACCTTGAAGACCTGATTAAACAAGAAAACAACTTCCGATTTAGAAATAAGAAAGGCCACCAGGACACAATTGGCAATCTCAGTATCACAAGAAAGTAACAGAAGCAGTAAACGAGGCAATTAATCAATTTTATCTTAAGGGGGAAAAAAAAAACCCCATCACCACTTCAGCATAACTCTTCATATACCATAAGCTAAATAGCACAGCTACACTTTGAAGACAAGAAGAGGAAGTTAAAATAGTTTCATGATGCATAGACTGCTATTCTTCTTACTATCAACTATTTCTTATTGCTGTGGAATTCTTCTTTGCTTGCTATGTGAATCCAATACCTTAGTAGAGGGGCAGTGAAAGAAACTGACATTTGAACTGAATTCGGCCCGGAGGTGCAAAAGTTAAGACTTCAAAAAAAAAAAAAAAAAAAGTGAAATTCAAGAAAACCCAGAACTTTTTCACAAATCGTACCTCCTGCTTCAGGCATGGCAACAGAAAAGGAAGATGGAGGTCTCCCGGTGACCAAGCTGGCTTCAAACTTGGAACTTTTAAGGGGCCCAACAGATATCATTTTCAGTTGGTTCTGACTGACACCATGGCTGAACCCTTTAGAGGGAAAAGCTGATCCCTGAACCCAAACGGGTTGTTGAAGAGAACCCATTACTGCAGCAGCACCGCTACAAGACTGCATCTCTCCGGCGTATACGCCCGGAGAAGCCTAGGCACACCGGAGCAGCAAAAACACTTTCCTTTTAGGTTTGAATGGGCGTGTTTCCTATGGAGCGCACATTCAAAAACAATCACCGAAAAATTGCTGAATTGCAAAGAAAAGATTGGAGTGTATTTCAGTTGTTTAGATAAAAAAAAAAAAAAAAGCCGACGGCGGCCCTGTTTGTTTCCTGGCGTAGGAAGAAGAACAATCAGCCGATTTTAATTTTGGAAGTTACTGTGGTAAAACGCCCCAATTTTTTTTAAAAATTGAGTGTTTATTCTCAAGGTTTGAAAAATTAAAATAATATCGTCTCAAATTACAAGAAATTACTAATTAGTCCCGAGGTATACAACAAAAATAAGGAAGACCAAGAGAAGAAAATGACTCTTGAAGAATATCATTGGCAATTTAAGGGATTAGACTTCGCAAAAAAATGAATACTACAAAAAATGCTATCCTACATTGCATTCACCTATTTCTCAAATGTGGAGAATCCATACAAATAATTAGGATGCCAAGGAAAATACATTTGATGATAGATCCACTAAAAAATTCCTCAAAGAGCATTTCAAATCCACCACATGTTCCCAAAAAGTGTAAGGCGAAAAAAAAGTTATTAATTCCAAAGACTAAAAGTTGAAACATCGCAAGTTAAAAGCGTGAAACCTCAATAAATGATGCAAATTATTTTTCATTTGGTTTAGTTAATAATTTCAGTACAATTAATGAGGAACAAAATAAATATTCAACACACAAATTAATTGTAGAATGATTATCTGTTTAGTTTACATTCAACGTCTAAAGTGTCTTATATTTTGAACGAAGGAGGAGTAACAGTACAATATCTTAAAGGGTAATGTCCACAGTAATTAGTTTCATAAAAAAATTCAGTCACACCATGACACCACAACTTATAATGAAGCTAAAAGAAATCTTTTACATTGATACACTACTTGAGGCATGGATGCCCAAAAGCACCGGAAAAATCTTGAACAGAATAACAAACAAAAGCACATAGTTTAGGAGGAGCATTAAGTAGACATTCCACTCAGAAGAGTCCATTGTGGTTCAATAAAAAGTCCAGAAAAATACCTCAGAGGCGTTTAGGCGGTGTTGAACACAAGCATAACAATCTGCAAAAGCAAACACAGTACAAGTGCCTACTACTTGGAAATAGTACTGTACTGATGGATGATGTCATGATGATGCAAGAAGGACAAGTGGTCAAAGGAGAGGCAATACAAGATCGGGCCCACCATCGGATTAAAGTTCCAAGTAGTCACTCTTATAGCTTGAAGTCATCACACATCATCTTCCAGACTCCCTTTTATTACGACGCCGTGATTTGATCAGAATCTCTCACCGGCAAATATACAGAGGAGTAATGGAGGGAATCGGGGTGAGATTCTCGCGGGTCTCTTCCAGGTATGGCTCCGGCCCAGGCCCATCACCCCAGCTTTCAACGGCCCAGTTCGGAAATGGAAGAAGAAGTGGGTTCCGTCCCAGCAGCCCAACGACCCTCCCGTCACCGGAAAACCCAACCGCCACCCCCACCCCCACCGCCACAAGCTCGACAACCAACCTCCTCTCCTCCTCTGCCGCTGGACTCGAGAGTCCTCCACCGCCAACTCCCACAATGACGCGCCCCAGCCCTCTAAACGCAAGTTCCGCTACACTCCGGTAAGCCCTTTTTTTTTTTCTCAAACTGTATTTTTTATTTACACATTCTTGTTTTGATCAAAGCTTAAAAATGTGTGATTAAGCAGGGTATTTTGACTTTTGAGTCTTGATTAGTTCTCCTTTTGTGATTATGATGGTATTTAAGTCAAAGGACGAGTGAAATAAGGCCCCCATGCTTTATGTGTTTGGTGTAAAGATCCAATTTTTATGAACCATTTTTAGGTTGTTTGCTACTTTTCACTAACTGCTCAGAAGATAGATAATTAAAATATGACCAAATTTTTGAGCATTTGGATGTGACTTAGATTATAAAATGGCATTTTTCTTAGAGATGTTAAACAGGATCCCAATGCTATTGTGATGCAAGGGGAAAAAATGTGAAGTTCCAAAAGTGTACTTATTTGCGTGTGAACTCTTTTTTTTTTTACCCTGAATTTTGTAGGTTGTGGTGTTAGAAGAGAAGAAGAAAGTGGCCTCATCAGCTATGAAAATGAATGAATCCAGACGTCTGACCCTTCAAGATGATATGCTTACTGATAATGATTTTTCGGAGGAAATCGAGGTGAATTCGCCATTGCTTTACCATTCTTTCATGCGTTGTCATTGAGAATTCTCCACTTGTCTTGGGATATCTGTATTCATTACCAAAGGAGAATAGCTCCATTTCCCATCTTTCTGTGTGAAGGGCTTCTGTATCTTCATTTTAGAGTCTTGTAGAACCTGTCTGAATCACTCCCTTTGTAAAAAGCAACTTTTCTTGCAGCTCACATTAAGCTCGTTTTGTCACCACTAAAATGGTAGACACTATAAATCCCAACTCTTCTAGAATTCTGACTCTTGACTACTTGTTTTAGCTTGTCTGCAGCCTTAATAATGGTTGAAAGCATAAATCTTGTCTTGTTCGCTAATGTTCAAGTTTTTCAATAAATGAAAGAGTTGTGTTCATGAAGAAAAGTGAATGTCCATATCTGGGGAAATACGCCTGATTTGAAGTTTTGTTCTTGACCATTTTATCACTACTGAACTACAAGAAACAAAATTTTTAGTGTTCTGCAAATCTTCAAATTCGACTCGTGCCATTTTGATTTCATCTTTTGAAAATGTGTTTTTTTTTGTCAAAATTGTCTCATGGTTTAATGCTCCTGCAACTGCAACAATGCAGGAACCAGATGAAGATGAAGCATATTATGAGAATTTGGATTTGCAGCTGTGACCACCAAACAAATCCATTTTGACCCAGGCGAACCAGAACTCGACAAGGGGACCTTGTACTAGTAGTTAGTTAAAGTTAGAACTGTTGTGGTAATTAAGGATTAATTGGAGCCGGGGCCTTTTCTTGCGATCTTTAGTTAGTTTTCTGTTGTAAAAAGTAAACGACACCGTAGACCCAGCAGTAGTTATGTGAATATCCCGTCTTCGTAAGATGTCGTAAATTCGTAATACTACATTGTCTATTTCTCGCATGGTTGAATATTTGGCCGCTGAACTTGACGTCAGTTTTCAGTTGCATGACCAAACATTTCGTTCAAGAACCAGAGCTACATACTTTGTTGTGTTTGTCAGTCGAGATCTTAGATAGGTTATATCAAAATTGCAACGGTGTTACAACCTTACCAAAACAAAAACCAACTTCTCTAAGATAGGTTACTCTTCTGATTACTATTGCTTCCAGTACACATAAATTCAAACGGAAATGAATGACGGTGCGTAGCTAACATGAGAAATTTGGTACCTTATTTGAAAAATCTAATACTCCAGTTGTGAAAAGATGCACACTCAACAAGTTCAACGTGCTTGGTATACTAGATTGGACAGTCCCCCTTTTAGTCCATTATATTCATGATCAAGGCGTTTTATTCAAACAACACTAAAAATGCTGGTTAGAGGCAGAATGGCTGGGAGAAAGGAAAATACAAGAATAAACACCCTCTAATCAAAATTCATGTAACAAAGACTAACTTTTCGCAGACCCTGGTGGAACTAACTCATCAAGTCACTATATGTTGTTACCGGCAAATGAAATGTTTGACAACCTATCCATTTACTCAGTTTTTGGAACCTTGATCTGCCTCAGTTTCAACTGCCCGCCTCACGCCAACTTCTGCTGGACGGAGAACTCGGTCATGTAACGTGTATCCCGCCTGCAACAATAGAAAAGGAACATCACTTAGAATCTCTTCAGAAAATCAGTGAATCCATAACATAGCAGCATCCAGAACAGAGCTAATACCACCTGCTTTAGGAACTCTCTCTATAGCATTAGAAATAGAATGTTGGGCAATTGTTCAGGAGTGCAGAAAGAAGAAAACAGCGCTTAATTGAGAAAGTTACAGCCAATGAAGATCTGCTACAGAAATAAGAAAAGTACATTTCTTGTGCAATTGTCCAAACAGAACTTGTGTTTAGGATAATGAGAATAGCTTTTGTACGGAAAAATCACAGCCAACTGAGAGAGATTCTACAGGAAAAAGAGGTACATTTCATGCCTACAGGTACATTATGGAAGTTATTTGCTAATAACACAAAGTACAGGGAAAATGCCAGGTGGAAATACGTGTAACGAACATGTTCATGCAATCACAACATTAAACTTCCTCCAATTTTTGCTGAGCACAAGGGAAGGAAAAATTTGGAAGCAGTTACCTTCAATACTGCAGCAATAGTGCCAGGCGGCTTTGATGAATCTGGGACTTCGAAAACAGCATTGTGCTTGTTTGGATCAAATTCTTCATCTAACGGGTCGTATTTTTGCACTCCATACTTCCTGAAAACCTAATGTCACAACCAAAGCAATGGAAATAAGGTGTCCAGCATCAATATCCACAAAATTAAAAATGCAAGCAAACAAACAAAGGACCCAACTTTGCCCATCCCAAAAAAGTTTCCAAAGCATAATACGGATACCAGAAAAAGTTTCCCAAGTCTCGTAGAAGCATCCCAAAAGGCCAATTGATTTCACAAGCAATTCTTGCAAAGAAAGCGGAACAGAAACAGAAAAGGGTCCACAGTTTTCCTCTGCCGGCCCAACCCACAGAAACTAAAGGGCACATTGTTTTGGCCAATAGAACTAAGAGCATTAAAAAAAAAAAGATGAAAAGTCCAACAGCGCTGGTAGATGGTGTCACAGTAGAGTAAAAAAAGAGAGTTCTTTTTGCTGCTATTATTGCAAGTTTATACCACATATGGCAAGAAAGAAATACTAGGAAGTACGGTGGAAAGATGAAAAGTCCAACAAAGCTGGTGGAAACATTGGAAACAGAACTGAAGTGGAGGATACAGTGGTGTTGCCATAAAATGAATACCAGTGATGAGAGATTTCTGGATAAGATTGGCATGCAAAGACTTATATTCTTTTTTTTTTTTTTTCAATGATGAGTAGAGTTTGATGTAACCGATATATTTACTCTTTTTACCGAAAAAAAGAACTAAGAGCATAAAGCTCCACATTTTTGCCCATCTCATTTAACCACCACTGGTACATTATCCAGTAAGAATGAAATAACATGAAGGAGGAAAATCAAACACAGAACTCTTTGAAGCGAAGAAATCATACCTCAGACAGTTGTTTGTCAGTCATCTCAACACCTTGCAGAAGAGTTCTCAGGAGTGGCACAGCTCCAACAGTGTCTTTGGATTCATCAATCTTTAAAAAATTGCCTTTCACTGCTGAAGAAGCCCGGCCAAGATTATCAGCAACGTCCAGTAGGTTTTTTACAAAATCCTGACACGCAGATGGGGATCAGAACATTACCAGTGCCATAAAATTCAATCTACAGGTGCAAACATCATATAGCCCTTTTCTGTAACCTATGATGTTAATCCCTTGACAGAACTTTTTCTTTTGAATGTGTCAGCAGTAAACATCCTCTAGGAATGATGTTAGTTCTATTTTTTGGCATTATGCAGAATAAAGATACTTATTTTTTAGGAGACCAACAACCACGCACAATGAAAAACCCTGTGACAGCAAACGCTTTTAATGCACTATGTCAAGAAGTTTAAGGCAATCTAAGAAGGAGATATTCTTGTGTTAAAAAGCACTAATACAAGTCAAAGAGCCTGGCTATCACGAATATTAACCTGAATAGCAAACTTTTTCATGTTTTCAGCATCACGTTTTGTCCTATCCATCGAATTTTGCATTTCAGCATAAGTTCGAAGAGCTTTTTCCTTCATTTCCTGTATCTCTTTAACCTTGAGATTCAATTGTTCCTCCTTCTCCGCCAAAACTTTTACAAGTTCAACCTCGGAAAGTTCAACTTCTGAATCTGAATCAGCATTAGATAAGGAAAACCATTTAGTACTTCTTCTCCTTCTTTTGACAGAGCCAGACGGGTCAGAATTAGGTTCTACATTCGAACCTGATAAATCTTTATCATCTTTGGAAGCTGATGATTCTGTTTCTGCACTTGTTTTCGCAGAATCATCATGTTCTGCGCTGGATTGAGCAGCATCTTTCTCATTCTCTTGTGGGGATGCAGAAGATGATATTCCAAACCGTTGAAATGGAGATCCACCAAGAAATGAATGGTGTAGCAAAGAAACTTGTCCAGGAACAACCTAAAGCAGAAACATCAGAAGCTGAATCATTCGTCACAAGAGAAGTAACTACGATAAGAATAAACATCACAAGTCAGAATCTTCACATTAGCACGATCATCTAAAACAGTTTCTAGGGGAAGAAGGTACATTAGTTCCAAGGAGAGGTCCATACAATAAAATGGATTGCCTGCATGTGAATAACTAAAATAATACAGTGGAGATAATTTCCTAAGCTAAACAGATGGGTTCTGTGTTTAGAATAAAATAGACATTAACTTTGTCGATTATCTGCCCTTACGGACATTGCTAGCAAGCATATGGATACCTAAGATAATCAAGCATCATCATTTACCGAGCAGATAGACAAACCCAAATGCATACACTATGCACCATCAATAATTTATGTAGTTTTAACAGCAATCGGCGGCAGGCAGCCACCCAGCAAGCTGGAAGAGTGAAATGCTATGAGAGAAGCATTGTTTTTTATTTACTCCGCCTTTTCCACTTCATATCTCAAGCCAGCAAAAGCAAAGAAAATCTAAACAGAATCAACTTAATCAACTAATCGCACATTATGCAAATTTTTTCCAATGCATTAAGATTAAGGAAACAGGAGAAACTTCTAGAAATTCTTAAGACAGCCTAATAAAACGAACCCATTAACTAAAAGCATGGCTACCCAAAAAAACCAACCCCAACCATGAGAAACCACAAATATCATTTATCAAAGATTACACTGCATTTGAAAATAGCACAGAAAAAAAAAATCAAAATCAAACACTCGAAATAGCCAATAAAATAACCTAACCGCTAAAACCCTTGTAAAACCCCTTTTTCCTCGAAACCCAGAAAAAAAAATTTACAAACTAATACGGCTGAAAAGAGTGCAAAAAAACGAACCTTTTCAACTAGAGAATGATACTGATAGAAAAAAGCGGGGGAACCCGCAGAAGAAGGTTGCTTCTGGCGAATCAATAGCGGCACCGAGCTGCGGCACTGCGAAAAGAGAATCCGGGTTGAACGAGCTCCAATTCTACCCGCCAACATAGCTCAAGTTTTGATGGAATTCACCCAAAAAAATAAATTGTACAATTTATTGAAGAAGAAAATAAATGAGAATTTGAAGGAAAAAAAAGGGTTTTAGTGAAACAGAGAAGAAAGAAACAGGGGCTGAAAAGATGTGTTCGTGTCTGCCTGGAGTGGAGAGAAAGAAACGGCGTATATGGAAGCTAGAGATTAAATGACCAAATTATCCTCACACATTTTTTCTGGATTTTTTTTTTTTCCCATCAGGGGTTTTTATGAAAATAGGAAAATTTCACTTACTTATTAGTGCAGCAGCAACTGTTTTACCACTACCTATGTTGCAAACTACATTCTTACCGATCAAATGCACAATTCTAAGTATAATAATGACATATACCAAGAATTATATATAAGAAAAAATGAGAAAGAATGATGTGGAATAATAAATTATACTGGATCTCCAAGTATTCTCTCATTTCTTCTCCCTTTATCCCGAAATTCTCTCTCTCCCTTGTAAAAACATCATTCAATAAATATATCTTCCAAGTTTGAAGCATAGAAGAAGCCTTTAAAGGTAATATTTTTCTTTAAGTTTGTTTTAATTTATAGTTTGAAGTACTCAGACAATGTCTGAGTAAATCCTTTGTCTGAATCAAACATTTGGCTTTTGTTTACATAAATTATACATGGAAGCTCTATCTCCTTCTTCTCTTTTAATTAAAATACGATGATTTGAGATTGGTTCCAATCCCGAGTTCATCGGAAAACTCAACAATAAGTGCATTGGGCTGGAAAAGTACCCGCTATGATGAATTGTTTTAGGGGAAAAGAGGCCACATGATGCACAATAAGTTGTGAATTCCAGACAGGCTTGAGAGTTGGGTGAAATATAATTCAAACTTCCTAGAAATCTCTGGAGTTGAATTTTCTCAGTAAAAACATCAGGAAATTTAGAAGAAAATTCAATTGATCGTTGAATAGGGGTTATTTTCCCTTGACTTATTTGATGACCAAGAAATCTTATATTATGTTGAAACAAAAGCATCTTTGGTTTAGATATTACTAATCCATTTCGTAAAATAACATCCTTTAATATATTAAGATGTTTAAAATGTTGTTCAATATTATCGAGAATACTAAGATATCATCAATGTAAACAATTATAAAATCCATGTAATGAATAAATATATCATTCATGATTTTCAAATTCGAAGGAGCATTTTTAATCCGAATGGCATCACATTCCATTCAAATTGTCCTATAGGCACATTAAAAGCAGTTCTATAAGTATGCTCAGATTTATTTGAATTTGCCAATATCCAGATTTTAAATCGAATTTAGAAAATATGTTGGCATTATATAATTTTGATAATAAATCTTTTTATTAGGTATAGGATATCTTATCCATTTTAAAACTTTATTAAGTGGCTTATAGTTTATTACTAATCTTGGGACGCCACGTTCTTTTCATTGCATTATTAACATAAAATGCAAGATACATGACCAGGAGATTGTGAAGGTTTTATTAAACCCTTTTGAAGCAAAGAATGTAATTCTTCTTTACATAAATTCATATATACGAATTCATTTGACATGGTCTTGCCTTAGTAGGAATATCTTTTCATTAAAATTATCTTCATAAGGAGATTAACTAAATGTTTCTTTCTATTCCAAAAGCATTTGGGTGATCAGCACATACCGATTCTTGAAATTGTATTGTAATATGTTTTATTTTTCTTGTAATTTAGTATTACTCAAGAATTCGGTATTGATAAATTCATAATTTCATTTTTAATGAAAAATAATTGTTTTTCTTTAGCTTCTATTAATGACCTAATAGACCTTGTTATAGGGTCTGAGACAAACTGGAAATTTATTGATTTATCTTTATAGGTTCCTGTAAATCCTTGAAAATTAACTTCTTTAAGTGGATATAACATACATAAAAATGGAAGTCCTAATATAATAGGCACTCCTGGCATATTTCTTACTAATAAAAATGTTTGTGGAAGACAAATATTATCCTGACAAACAAAAGCATTAGGCAATTTATACGAAATATCTAATGTATGATTAGATGCGGATTTTAATGCATGCGAGGTTTTTTCAAAATATTGCGTGGGTATTAACCCTTCTTGAACACAAGACAAATCAAGACCACTATCAATCATTGCAATGAGTGTTTAAGACAAATTGTCTATCTATCATTAGAGTTAATTTTATATACCATCTTTGAGATGTAATTATTTGTATTGTTTTTAGAAATTCATAATTATGATCTTCAGATATGTTTTCAGCTAAATTCTGAATACTTTGTGGATCAATTATAGAGGTTTCACCTGATTGTGAATTCTCAATTGTTTTAATCCTTTTTTCTAATAATTCGTTATTTTGTTTCAAATATTTTATTTCATTCTTTATATTATGAACTTCTATTTGTAAGTCTGCAATAGTTATAATCGAAGAAGATGACTCTTCTTTATTTAGTAATTTTTTCATTCTTTTTTCTATTTCCTGCATTGAATAAGGATTATTATTTAAAACTATATCCTTTTATTAACTTCCTTTTCTTTTTATGAGACACATCTATCATTTTAATTATTTTATCACGAATATCATGATCTGGTATTTGTTTTAGTAATTCTAAAACATTATCAGTTGTTAACATATTAAATTGTAAATCTTGAAATTGAGATATAATATTGTAAAGACTATTATCCTTACAACAATCATTATTATTATTATTTTGACATGGAAGACATTCATCCGAAGAACTAGATGAATATTCATCATTTTCAAGCATATTATCTTCCGAGCTATTAGTTTCTTCTGTTTCAGATTCAGTATCTGATTCTACTATTACTTTGCATATTTGTTCTTTAAGTTGTTCATCTATTTCTAATAATCTAATTCTATTAATCTTTTTACAATTAGGGGCAATATGACCCTTTTGACCACATTTGAAACATTTTATGTCTCTTTTATTTTTTCTATTAATTTTTCTAAATTCTCTTTGTTCTTTTGTTCTTTTACGTTGTCGTTTTCCTTTAGGTATATAAGGAATTTTATTTTTCTTCATTCTTTTATCCCTATTTTCTGACCCAATATCCATAGCAAATTGATCACGTAACCGACCTAATTGTCTTCGTTCGATAATTGTTGTCTTTTAATTTGTTGATTTAACTTTATTTCATTACATAAAGCTAATCCTTCTTGTGTGCAAACACCTATTAGATGACCATATGTATAATCATCATAAGGAATGTAAGGAAAATCTTTCCTAAGAACTTTTCTTATTCGTTCAAAGAAATGAGTTGGTAAGCCATCTATAAATTTAGCTTTCCAATAAGAGCTATTACTTTCTCGGTAATTCCATGACTCTTGATAAGAATGAATCTTTATACCATCTAAAAGAAGTAAGTGTTTTACACTTAAAATTATTCAACAATGTTCGAATATTTTCTTGATTATTAGTAAATTTTCCGAAAAATGTTCTAATATAGATGCTATCAAAGTATATACTGCATCTTCCATCATAATGGGTATAGATGTTCCTTCATTCTCAATTTTACTGTATTATAAATTTTTGTCTATCATTTTCAGTTAAATAATTATCCCACCATCCTTTAAGGACACCAAGTAAAACCACAAACAATCATTTTTGCGATTGCACGATCGTATTACCATTTGCTTTTGCAATCGAGGAGTACATTAACATCCTATGCACCATATTAGATAATTGCCTATCATAAATGCGTCACAATTCCATTCATAAACGAACGACTACTATAACTATTAGTAGTTTCTTGATGTTCTTCATAAAGAAGATCTTGTGGAGAAGGTCGAGGGTAATAATAATGATTCATATATGGTTTATTAGCAAATTTGTTATGTCTAGATTTATTAGAAAGACGATTTATTTCATTTCGTAGAGTTTTATCAAAATCTTTCTGCATATTCTCAGAAAATTCTAAAGTGGATAATTTAAGGTTTTTAAATTTTTCTTCCAATAATTTTTCTAATACATGTGGAGATTCAAGATTATAATCTTTTACTATAGGAGGAGGTTGTATAAAATTTTGTATTTTAATATCTTTATTTTTGTTTTCAATTAAAACTGGTTTAACTGTTTGTTGAAGATTATTAATAAGAGAAAATAATTTGTCAACTTTATCATGTAAAGAATTAATTTGTTCTCCTAAAATTTTTACATATAAATTTGTATAATTATTTTGCTGAATAAATTTATTTACTAAAGAAACAAGAGAAGGTAAAACTTCACTTTCAATCAATTTTGAAAGGCGGAAAAAGTTATATGAGTTGCATTTGCTAAAACAAACTCTTTTTGGGGAGGGTAAATTCCTTTTGTAGTTTTCCCATCTGCAAGATGATATTCTCTTTCGAGGAGGAAAATATATTTATCAAGATAAGTGATTATAAACCACGGACAAAATATATTATTTGATTGTGAAAAGAAGCATATTCATAAAATTCTTTTTGTATAAGTTTTTGATTTTCAATATCATAAGTAGAAAAGAACCATTCTCTGAAAAGTTTCCACTTTTCGATTGAAATTCTTGTCTTATTATTTGTCTAATATTAGATCCTGGACTAAAATCTAATTTCTCAAGATTCGCCATGATAACCCATTTCGGAAGGTGAAGGCATATCCTTATCAAATGTCTTACTATCACAGACCGAACAATATTATATGGATCAATTTTTACTTGATTTATTCTATTTGTTAGATCTATTTCAGAATCGAAGATGTCGAAAATTTATGAGAATCGACTGGATCTATATAAGATTTAAAAGATCTTAGAGAGTGGATCTTAGTAATTTAGGAATTTTTGGTTTATCAAAAGTAATACTTATCCGACCATTATCGATTGCTCAATTTCGTAACATTACAACTTGTAATATTATGAGTTAATGAGTTTCCTTTAATTCCTTTATTAATTTGCCAAGACTCGGAAATTCAATTTCTTCCCATTTTATAGTTTTACGGGTACTAATTTGAGATTTATAAAAATTAGTTTCTATTAATATGGTTTCATCGATGGTTTACTTATAATCTTACATCTGGGTGTTAAGGTATTTAATAATTTAAAACAAATACGGTAATGTAAACAAATAAGTTCACTTCCGGTAAATAATTGTAACCATGTAATTTCACATTTAAGGTTAAAGCATCGAGTATATTAACATCGACAATGATAGTGTAAATTTGGGTAGACATTAAAATAAACTGGACCATGAGCTAGGCTGGATCAGTATTATGCCCATTAGGGATTTTTTCCAATGTAAATTTCTACCATCACGTAAGGCAAGAACAAAAGATTCGTGTAAACCTTCTAAAGTTAAAGGTTTAAATGCAATTTGCACCAATCCAATATGCATGAACTTATAATTTTTATGAGATCTATAAGATTCAATATCTCGTAGCAGACAAAAGTTGTAAAACCCTTTCATCAGAATTTAAAGCAATTGATTGTTCAGTAGTTTTAACTTACTGTTTAACCAAGTATCGATCAAACATACCATATTCATACAAAGTATTAGTGGGTACCTTTGGTATTGACCACTTATTAAGAAGAGCAAGTTGTTGAGGCATATCATATTCCTCTTGAACTGAAATTTTTATTGAAGTACTTTCTAAATTATTCATTTTTAATTAGGTTCTGAATCAAACAAATCTTTTGTAAACATAAAAAATACATAATGGCTCTGATACCAATTTGCTACAACAAATCTTTTCTTGTAATCTCACTTCATTTCTAGTAAAAATTTTCTTGTAATCTTTTTGTGTACATAAGTATCATTTACTATACGAAAAGTACTTTTTACAAAGCATATTAATACAAAAGTGAGATACAATGATGTGGGATTTAATGTAAAGCAACATAAAAAAATATATATACATGTTCTCTGTAGAAATCACTATTCAACATATATTATAATTGGAGAATGTAATCTTGGCTTTGGTAGTCCTTCCTCTTACATTTATTTGGATTTTTCATTGTATTTATGTGAAATTTAATGTTTAGTGAAAAATTAAATATTAGAAGAGAATGAAACATACAGAACTTATGATAATTTACTACTTATTATTATTGTTAGAATTTGATACATCACAAAAGCAGTTGTAATGATTTTAACTTAAATTTCATAGTTCTTTGCATTATATTTTGTAGACTTTTCACCTTTCATCTCCCTCCCATTAAATTATATTTTCATTTCTCATTAATAAGTGAATTTGATAGGCCAAAAAACAGTTCTGCTGATTCTAATCTTATTGAATTCCTTAGTATGTTTCTTCCTTGTATTCTAAGTTTTTCAGTATATATCTAATTCTAGATAGTGTATGAGTTTTTTCGCATCTTTCTTTTTCTTTCTTAGAGTATTTACTTTTTATGTTTTGTGATCTCTGCATTACAAGTATCTTGAAGGTAGTCATTTTTCATTGTTCATCTTCATCTTTTTTTGTTTTCCTTCTATTATTTAGTTTTTATCTTGATTCGGTTTTTCTTTTTTAGGTTGTTCCTTTTTCTAAGTGAAGTATAAATTAGATTGTATTTTATTATTTAGTTTATACGAGCATATCTTTTTTTTTTCTACTCACATTTGGAATATTATGTCGTTGAAATCAAAAGTGTCACGTTTATATAATATAGATTTTGTAATGTAATGGGGGGTCAAAATTTGTCTATTATGAACAAATTTCTTTTATAAATATTGTATAATATTATAATGTATATACGAAACACGTAAAATCCATCTAGTCAAGTTATAAATGCAGAAAAAAATTGAGTCGGCGATTATTTTCAAATGAAAAAACCAATAAGGTTATGAATGTCCAATTAGAATGTGTAACCAGATGGTGGTACCAGAAACATCCAGAACCAGAAGACCATAACCTACAGTTGGGCTGTGTTTCAGACCCTAAAGATTGGGGGATGTTGAGCTTGTTTGTTCCAATCGAAGGGCAGACCAATGTGCAGGTTTGGTTTTCTTCGATCCAACCAATGGGAGAGTTCGGCCCGTTTGCACAATAGGGAGGTCTAGAGTTTAGACAGACCAATGAATATTTTCCATTCACTTTGGTAGTAGTGGCAGGCAAGGGTCTTATGACAGGAGGATATTAAAATCACGAGAAACTCAAGAAAGCAAACGCTGATTTTCTTCACCTTTTTGTTCTTTCTTGTAAGACAAACCGTAAGGTCTACTACAATCTTAACTAATGCATAATCAAAAGCCAATTCTTCAGGGAAACACAAACATAAAGGGCAGTTTTCACTCCCAAACATGTTCGTATTCTGAGCTCACTAGCAACTTCTTATAGTATCGGTTCTGAGAAATTAAAGCAAAGGGAGGCGAAGAAGAAGAGGGGAAATGGATCATAAAGCCATGCTTTGGATCTTTCTTTTTGCTCAGTTCTTACTGGAAAGCCTCAAAGTCAGTGCAGCAGTTCCAGCAATCATAGTTTTCGGGGACTCATCCGTGGATTCAGGAAACAATAACTTCATTTCCACTATCCTGAAGAGCAATTTCCAGCCTTATGGTCGCGATTTCAAAGATGGCCGGCCAACAGGCCGGTTTTCCAACGGTCGCATTGTAACTGACTTCATCTCAGAGGCTTTTGGGCTCAAACCAACTATACCAGCTTATTTGGATCCAGGTTACAATATCTCAGACTTCTCTACCGGTGTTTGCTTCGCTTCTGCTGGGACTGGCTATGATAACGTCACATCCAATGTATTTGTAAGTACAGAAACATTATAACTTGGACACATTTCCTTGTGTATAACCTTCACTTTTATGCTGCTGAATGCAGCACAATCTGGATTGATACACGTTAATCATACATCTTCGCACGATTTGCACTCTAAACAGCTCTGTCGTAGTTTCCTGCAAATTTCAATTGAAAACTGTGGATACAATGACCAGAATGGATGATGTATCCACAACTACTAACTACAAAACAAGGACATTATCATTCATTGATCGTTTTGAATGCAAAGCAACTCGAATAGGAATGCATGCTATTGTTGATCTGTTATTTTACATAACGATCATGGGATCATGATTAAACTTGATCTAGATTGTATCTATAACTGCAGTCCGTTATACCACTCTGGAAAGAGTTAGAATACTATAAAGAATTCCAAAAAAAGCTAAAAAGTTACCTTGGAGAAGCTGAAGCAGAAAGCGTGTTGAAGGAAGCATTGTACATGATAAGCTTGGGAACAAATGACTTCTTAGAGAACTATTACATGCTCCCCGTGAGATCAGCAGAATATAACATCGAAGATTACCAGAATTTCTTGGTAGAAATTGCTGGAAATTTCATAACAGAACTCCACCAGCTAGGCGGCCGAAAGATTTCCTTAGCCGGACTTGCACCAATTGGTTGCTTGCCAATGGAGAGAAGCCGGAATGTAATGCGAGGAGGAAGCTGCATAGAGCGTTACAATGATTTGGCGAAAGAGTTTAATCAGAAGTTACAAACATTAGTTGACAAGTTAAAGAAGGAACTTGCCAGCATTCAACTTGTCTTCTCAGACCCATATGATATCTTTTCAGAAATCATCCAGAACCCTAGCTCTTATGGTAAGAGTTTATAATCTAGTCTCTGTATGGGATTTTAACATCTAATATGGTTTGTTCTATGTAGTTACTAGCACTGGTCTGTAAATGTTGGTACTAATTCAACATTGTGTATAGCTTTTCAGATACTGTTAGGACATTCAGCATGAGAATGGGCAATTATAAACTGAACTTGGTGAAAAAATCTTCATCATCAAAACTTGTTTTGGTTGCTGAAACTGCATTCTGTATTCACTCAATTTTTTTAACCACAGGATATGAAGACGCAGGGAAGTCATGTTGTGGGACAGGAACTCTTGAGATGGGATATTGGTGTGACAGATACAATCCTTTCACTTGTAGAGACGCAAACAAGTTTGTGTTCTGGGATTCATTCCATGCCACAGAGAAGACAAATGGCATAATAGCAGATTATGCAGCAAACCATTCACTTTCCGTGTTCTTTAATTGATCCCAAACAAGTTTGCAGTATTTCAAATGATGTAAAAAAACCTTCAGTGTAATTTATGCAGAAGTTTATGCATACAAGAATGTAGTATATATCACTTTCAAACAAAAAAGCAAAAAGAAAGAAGAAGTTGCAGTTTGTGAGCAATATTAAGAACAATGAAAGCATCAACCACAGAGCAACTAGCCATAAAGAGAAATTCTCAACAATCTCACTGATACTAAGTAAAGCTTTCAGGTTCCTGTTCTTACATGATTCTATAACTGCAGGTAGAAGCAGAACTAAAACACCAGAAACGGAAATCCTAAAGATTACTTTTGCTGCCTCGGAAAATGCAACTTAATCAGCATAGGGAGTTCCACAAGATCAACTTGACCCTTGCCCAAAAGTATCCTCTTCAACTTTTCATCACAATTCACTAAGTTCTTATTAGTGGGATCCTAACAAAGTAACAAATTGAAACAAATAATTAGCACAAAGACAGAAACAACCATCTATCTCTATCTGCGTAGGATGAGTCACAGAATCACAATATGAAATTTCAAATGCAATGATTTTTGTATTAACCTGGAGGTTGTTGTCCTTGATATACGACCAGACGTGCTTAAAACAACCAAGGCGTGAGCTTTGAGATTGACCCATGAATTCCCTAAGTGTTGAAGGGAGGTTCACAAGGTCAATCAACTCTGCAACCTTTTTTGGGTTGTCAGCAATGACCTTTTTCATCTGTGGCAGCATTTCTTTTTTCTGCTTCAAACTCCTCCTATCCTCCGCTGCTCTGCAATCCAGAAAAGAAATTCAACCAAAACTAGGTGAACTTAACTTGTTTGGCTATACTCATGTAGTAATCATACGCGATGTAACACCCATAACTCCCCGAATAATTCCTAGAGAACAAACTACGTTTGAGATTACTTATACGTTGAGATTCGGACAACTTAAAATCTATAGCGGGTCCACAATTTCAGGTGGAATCAAGCAGCCAACAAGAAAAAACCAACGTCCAAAGGGGAATTTATTCAAACACATCAAGAACATAATCTAGAACATGCAGGTGAGGACCCTTCTCCTAAAGGATTTAGGTATCTTGGGGCAAGGAAAACCTCGAATACAAATGACGAAAGTTATGATTTAAATTTGGGTTAATGATGTGTTTACCTGGAGACTGGAGAGTCCGAAGACAAGTGAACGACGCTACAAGTATAACCAAAATGAAGAGATTTCTGCAAAGGGATTACTCGTTGTCTCTTGAAACATAAAATGTCGGCAGGAGTTCAAATATATAAAAGTAATTCATCGTTTTATAAACCAAGCACCAGTGGTCTAGTGGTAGAATAGTACCCTGCCACGGTACAGACCCGGGTTCGATTCCCGGCTGGTGCATTTAGCTGTGATTAAATGTGCTTCAGTGGTGCGGGTCACCACATTCATCTGCAATCGGATGACAAAGCACTTTCTGAGCTTTACCTTTTCGCATTTTCTACAATTTTTGTTTTGGTCACATTCATTTAGTGGTAGAAGTGAGCAATCATTCCGGAGGATTCCATGTTTCTTCCAACCACTGCTTGACTTGCATAGATGATTTGATCGAGCTTCATCACTTCTTAATTTTTCTTTTTCTATTCTTCAAGAACATTTTAGGTAGACAACCATTGTTTTCATTTCGGTTGAAAATCAGCAATCAATTTAAGAAGATTCCAACCACGACGTAGCCTGCTTGATAGAGTTCTTGATATTACGTACTATCTCCGTCCCAAAAAAATAGTCAACATTGAATGTTGAGATTTATACTAATTTTAGTATAAATGTACTATCTCCGTTCCAAAAAAATAATCCATATTGAGTTTTGAGATTTATATTAATTTTAGTACAAATTTAAAAACTCAAATATAGATTATTTTTTTGGGACGCTGAGGAAGTCCTATATAGTAGAAGAACAATGCACTGATGATAGAGAGCAGATACATTTTGCACTTTCGACAAGGAGTGTACCCTTCAATTTACTCGTAAGCTTTGAGATAATAGCTTGCGATACAAATGAAATGATTCACTCATATCAGTCACACCTGCAAAATCATGCTCTAAAGAAATTTAATGTGTTAGACGTGGACACTTTATATAAATGACTACACAGGACGTCTAGTCATATGGATTTCTGAAATTCTTGAGAAGTTCTGGGATGTCATGTCTGAGCATTTCATCAACCGATTGTATCATCTTCGGCTTCAATCTCTGGAATTTGTCAATGCTACGGCCACTCAAGATTTGTTGGAACCGTTCAACATCGGGGAAATCACCGGCTGGCAAATGGTGCGCTCTCTGAACCTGTGCAGTGACAGACCAATCAGACCATAATTGAAATAAGTCCAACAAATATTGATGTAACGTTAATCAGTGGGTAGGAAATGATACCTTCCCAAATTCTACGTCTAGATTGTCAATAAGTTTCTGCTGAGCTTTGGCTTTGCCCCACATAACCGGCATCTCCTTTTTAAGATGGCTTATAATATAGGCATGTATCTTGGCAGCCCTAGCACGCTTTACGAATTCATTTATCTGATCAGAAGAAAGACACAGCATTCGTAACCACCACTGTGTTTCTATGACATGCTGGAAGATGAAATGGAACACAAAAGGTCTAGAAAAGAAGTCTTTTTTTTTTTTTTAACTTACTCGCCGATCACAGGCCTTTTTGGGTATATCCTGTAGGTCAGTAAGGAGGTCATCCTGTTCTTTCTCAAAAAGTTCTTTTCCAATGGGACCAGAAGCAACTGAATCTATGGGTTTGTCATTGAACGAACTGCACGAAAGCAAACGCAGCTAAATTAACTCGGGAAAACATGGAGAACATCAGAATATGGAAGTTAATAAAGATCACAAAATGTATTCAAAAGAAACTTTTGTTTTCTTCATCCCAAGCTGGTAAGAGAGATGAGAATATACAAATACCAAGACCATGATTCTTTGACAAGAACCACAAAAAAATAAACTTCTTGCATATAGGGAACTTACCCAATATAAACTCTTGTAACTTCAGGAGTATTTAGCACTTTCCCAAGAGACCACATTAATGCGCCATATACTCGCATCAACTATAATTAAGAGTAAGATGGAAAAGAAGCTAAAATCTGTCCGGCAGTAACAGATCACGATTGCAATTTCAAATAGTAACAACATTACCTGTTGAGTATCAACTTGATCTGCTTTATTCAAAACTACCCTAATCTTATCATCATGACCTCTTAAAGATGCAATGACCCGTTTGAATTCGTCACTTATATCTAGCTTGTAAGGATCAAACAGAAGCAAGACGAGGTCACATTTTGCAGCAAACCATGATATAGCACCAGTAAAGTCATAGCTTCTTTGTGTTCTTTGCTTCTCTCCTGATAAAACTCCGGGTGTGTCCACAAATGTAATGTGCTCCAATAGCTAAGAAGATATTCAAGCAAAAAGAGTATGTTGTAAAACCTCAAAATTCTACTGTCTACAGTGTGCAAGTCAAACCTCCAAAGCAAATAATACTCCGGAACTTACAGGATGGGGCAGTTGCGAGCACTCAAATTTGGATAAAAACGAGGTTCCAAAAGTAGTCAGACCACTAAATGGCATATCTTCTTGCACAGCAATGGTATTTCCAGGAATACTCCTTTTATCAACTCCATTCTGCAGAAAACACAAGGAGCATTGAAAATAATTAATTTACCAAAGGAATTCTCTTCAGCGGGGGAGTATAAACAATTAGGATTCACCAAGTGAAATTATATTGGCAGTCAATCAAACCTTCAGAAAAACATAACTTTTGTACCATTATCAACACTGATTTAGTTACAGGCATCAGGGGGAGTAAGAGTCATCAGCAGTACTTACCATAACAGCCACAAATTTGTCTGTAGTAGGTTCTGGTCCAATGTGAGCCCCTATACGTAAGTCAAACCATAATCAGCAGCTATTATGTAGGAAGAACCAAAGTATTGCTCAATGGAAATGGCAGGAAACAGAAATACCAGGATAACTTGTTTGGAGGTAGTAGTTGATAAATGTTGTTTTTCCTGTGGAATATTGACCCAAGAGCATCACCATTGGCTTGGCATCAAAATCACTGTTTGTCTGACAGAGGAAACTCATGCACTTAATTTGACTATTCAACATACAAACTCATGCACAAAAAAAAAAAAAAAAAAAAGAAAAATTATGAATCATGATAACTAAAATTTTATTCTTTTAAATCCAGACTCTTCATTAAAAGTATCATCACGCCAGACCTGCCCAGAATGTCTGTAACTTCCTTCTTCATCATCGATTGCACGAATTCGTCGTGGAACAACCATTTGACAGTTCGAAGATTTTATTAATGAAAATTAGGGTAAAAACATTTTATCATTTTACCAGTAAAACTCTGAGTCAAAACTCTGAAAACCTATTTGAGATGGAGAAAACAACAAAATAAAAAAATAAAATAAATCGGGATTTTATGAGTTAAGTAAATCATCTCAGGCTGAAAGTTTGGAAAGGATAAAATTGCAATGATGGCCGATTATGATCAAACTTTGTCTTACTGCAGTGAAATGAATTCACAAATTTGGTAAGAAGTAAAGAGTAGTCTTTTAATTAGCCAAAAAACAATAGATCTATTTAATTAATTACAATAATCAACTAAAAATTCTAATGCCCTCTATTCTTGCGGCGCTCTTCAGCAAAATTTCCCCCTTTTTTATTATGTTATTTGGATGGTTTCATAGTGCTACATTATTTAGATAGTCCTATAATATGATTTTGATTGTATTATTAATTATACCACATGATATGAATCGACAACCCAAGAATTCGCTAAAGATATATGAGAGGGTTAAATTAGATATAATATCTAAAAAGGGAAATACAATATTGCTAGGATGTCTTGTAACTAAAAATAAAAAAAAAATTAAAAAAAAATGAATGCAGGCCTCTAGAATATAGCTCGGGTAGTTTGGACTAAGTACTCTGGAGGTTAAAAGTTAAAACACCTAATTCATTATATGTAAATGTACTCCAACCATGAACCGTCAAACCAATGACCTCGATATAAAGACAAAGATTATATAACCAACTACAATTACCGCCAAGTATTCTGTTTTTTTTTTTTTTCTTTATCAAACTCATGCACTTAGGTCCAAAGATTTCTCCGCGGAAGCAAGGATTCAAGTAGACATGTGACTTACCAAGAAGGGGGAGACGAAATCATTGAAGTGATATGTTGCTTCCAGTGGTTTTAACTTCTGGACATATAGCTTTTTCAAGCCATCAATAACTGATGTAACTGAGTTTAAAGATCCCTGGAAAGTTGCATAAGAAACAAGAGTATCCTCAATTTCCTGCAACATTTTCTAGAGCAAAAGTAAAAGCGAAACAAGGTATCTACTCAAAAGGGAGACTGAGTGTAAAGATATGTCAACGGTGCGCGAAATGTATCCAAGGGGGCAAAAGGGAAATGTGCGTGGCCTGTGTGTACCTTCTTTCCAGACATCGTAGAAGAAAACCAGTTACCAGATGGTGAAGTTGTCCGCTCAGGAGTGCCTGCATTTTCAGAATTATGTATAATTTATAGCTTCTGTCGTCCAACTTATGTTAAGGAAAGGGTAAGTGGTCAAAAAAATCAAGTTAGACTGATAAAATCACACCATTTTGTTCAGGCTCAGTATTAGATTTATGCATCCTTTTCTGAAAATTCAGTGCAAAACAAAAATCAAGAAAGTATGTAAATGAACATATAGAAAACTTTTAGAAACAAATAAGCCTGACGTACTGCCAGTAGTTTATCCAATCCTTCCATTGTTGGAGGCTTTAAATTCTTCAAGTCCACTGAAAACATTTCGAATTTGCAAAAACAGTAAGATCAATATGAGACTACCTCAAAAATAAAAACAAGCCAGTTAAGAATGCAACACCTACACCTCTACTTACCATCAGTGCTTTTTAGAATATCACTACTCAGCGGATGACCAGCTTGAACCAAGGAAACTAACTAGAAATCCCAAAAAAAAAAGATATTAACCATCTCGTTACTGAGGTTAAATCAAATCATGGTCAGACGACGTGAAGTTTTACCTGAACAGCAGTGATAAACTCTTCAAAACCAAGAAAACCCTGCCGTTTAGAATCCGCAATAGCCCAAACCTAGTAGATGAAAGGTAGTGGAAATTCAAACTTCAGCTTAAACAGAAAAAGTACAGAACCAGCAAATGAATTTCGCCCATAAACGGCAAGAAGACATCACTTAGTGAGAAGCTAACTTATACATTTTACATAGTCATCTACTGAAAAGGTAAGAAAGTCCTGCTTTTTAATGAAAACAGCAAAATAAATGTCTGAAATGTAACTAATAAACCATATAAATGGTCTTACAGAAGCACAATATTTACACAGGTGGAAAGAAATCACAACTTCTTATCCTTAACAGTAAACAAAATATTACCCTACATGGCGACATCAAAGGAAGCTTAGCTGCCAATCTTATGAAACACGCACCAAATATCCCCAATAATAAGATTAAGTGAAGACAGGTAATAATGGGAATGGAATCACGAATTAAAGAAAAGGAACCTGCTTGAGATCCTGGCGGGGCAACTTGGACATAGCGAAAAACTTGGTGGCATCACCTCCGGTAAGCCGCCCATCTCTGTCTGAAATTCAAAAGCAAATTTTAAATGAATGGAAAAACTTTTAGTAACTCATCACACAACAATATTATCGTTGCTGCTGCAAAAAATGGATACCGAACGGGGTAAAGAAGACGAACCTGAATCAGCAACAGCAAACCACTCTTGATAAAGCTGCTGGACATCACCACATACAAAATCCTTAGAGCACCACCCAGAATCATTAAAATATGCAGTTTTTTAACAGCAATACGTGGTACAACATCAATTCCCATATGGTCTGCCAGCAAGCAGGAAGTATGAAATGCTTTAGCGAGGTATATTGAATTAATTGTTACATTAGTCGTACCTACCCAATAATGAACCTTAATTCAAGGCATGTAATTCATTTTGTGAGGTTTATAAGATAATGTGAACACAGTCCATCTAGTCTGAAAAGCAATATAAACTATGCACGTATTCACTCAATAAGATATGATCCAAGCGGTAAGTTAAATTCAAACAAACAGTAACATAACTATTACATACAGATGGACAAATTTTATTTAATTTTTTGTTTGAAGATAGAAGCAAGGATGGATTCGATGATACGTATAAAAAAATGTCAAGCATATGTACTCATTAGTCATAACTATACTCAATAGCCATAATTTTTCAAAAATACAAATCGAAGACAAAAATCAAACCTTTTGTGGAGATTCAACGCTAGAGTAATATCGATTGAAGAATGCGGAAGCAGCCGCAGCAGCAGGTTGCGCCAGGCGAAGCAATAATGGCGCCGAGTTGCGGCATTGCGTAAGGAGAATCCGCGACGAACGAGCACCAATTCTACCACTCAACATAGCTAAACCATGAAATCTCAGAGAATAATCGTAAGAATTTCTCTTTTGCAGGAGAAAAGATTTTTATAAATGATGGTTAAGGGTTATAGTGAAACAAACGAAGCAGGGCTAAATGCCTCCTTTTGATTGTGGGAGTCCCGGGAAGTGGAGTGGAGAGAAAGAAAGAAACGGCTCTTAAATGACAAATTTATCCTCGCCATTTTTTCGGCAATATTAATATTAGTTTGACATTGACCAATGCAAAAGTATTAGGATTAGGACGGTACTAGACAATAATTTCGAGACGAATAAAATTATTTATTGAATCTTATACTTACAATTATTTTGAGGCAAAAAGAATATTATATATTAAAATACTTATACTTTTGATATTATAAAATAATTGTCCAATTTGACTTTCAATTTTAATACTTGTACTAATAGTGAAAACTCAAATCGAAGACGGTGATTTTGGGACGGTGACCATCAATTGACTTGAGCAATTGTTACTAGAGGAAAATTGAGATCCAAAGCGTTGTTTGAGGGTGTTTTGTGACGGTTTCTTTGTTTATATAAACGTCCTAATACTTACTCTGAACAACAAGCACCAGTGGTCTAGTGGTAGAATAGTACCCTGCCACGGTACAGACCCGGGTTCGATTCCCGGCTGGTGCATTTAGCTGTGATGATACGTGCTTAGTGGTGTGGGTCACCACGTTTCATCTGATTACGGATGAAGGTTGCACCTTACTGAGCTTCCTATATTTTTGGACAATTTTAGGTTTGTTTCCCCTTCAAAAGCCATGTTACTAGCTATGTAAACAAGCATGAAACAAAGCAGACACCAAGGTTGTGCGGGTGTTTGTGTTTTTTTTTTTTTTTTTTGGTAGACGGTGTTTGTGTTTTTTGTTTTTGGTTTTTGTTTCCTTTTTTTTTGCAGACAATTCTTTAGGATTTATAATGACAAATACAATATGCAAAATAGCAAATTCCATTTAATTCTTGCAGCAGCAGCAACATCATTCCTCTAACGTTATAAGAATCTCTACATTTCAAACTTAACGTCACAATATGAGGTAAAGCATTACAAAGGAATGGAATGATTCATCTCACAACCTATAAAATCATAAGAAAAATAATAAATATGTATTTTTCGACACTAATTAAAAAGGGCATCATGACCCATCTAGTCATAAGGATTTCTAAAATTCTTGAGAAGTTCTGGGATGTCATATCCAAGCATATCATCGACGGACTGTATCATCTTTGGCTTCAACTTCTCAAATTTATCGAGGCTATACCCACTTAAAATGTCCCGAAAGTGATCAACATTTGGGAAATCACCGGCAGGCAGATGATGTTCTCTTTGAATCTGTTTGAGAGGAAAATTAAATATAATGAAGGTATTTTTTAGCGTAAAATATCACATGTGGCTTGAACCTGAGGTCGAAAATAAATACCTTTCCGAATTCCAGGTCGAGATTATCAATGAGTTTCTGCTGAGCTTTTGCTTTGCCTATCATAGCAGGCATCTCCTTTCTTAGATGGCTTATAATATAAGCATGTATCTTGGCAGCCCTAGCACGCTTTACAAATTCATTTATCTGCACACGAGAGAGGCATTGTATCTGTCACCTCTTGAAATTTGATTTAAAACATGCCAGAAAATAGAAGACAAGTAGACAATCGATAGTAGAAGAAAATTCTCAACTTACTCGACGATCACAGGCCTTTTTGGGTATATTCTTCAGGTCAGCAAGAAGGTCATCTTGCTCTTTCTCAAAAAGCTCTTTTCCAATGGGACCAGAGGTTGCATTTATAGGTTTGTCATTGAACGAACTGCACAAAAGCAACAATTGGGAACCTCAGAATATGGAAAGTAACATAGACTATCAAATGTAATCAAAATAACCAAATACAATCTTCAGCCCGATGCGATAGCTGATAAGAAACTAATAAAGCAAAATCATGATTATTTGATGAAAAGAAACTAATAAAGCAAACTTCCTGCAAGTATAGAGCATACCCGATATAAACCCTTGTAACTTCAGGAGTATTTAACACTTTTCCAAGAGACCACATTAATGCTCCATAAACTCGCATCAACTACATATAAGAGCAAGGACAACATGAATGCAGATTTTGTAATATTAGTACTTGTTTCAAGTGATGATCACAAGCGAGTATTCAAAAAGAAAAACTTTGATACAGTTCTTACCTGCTGAGTATCAACTTGGTCAGCTTTATTCAAAACTACCCGAATCTTATCATCATGGCCTCTTAAAGATGAAATGACCCGTTTAAACTCATCACTTATATCAAGCTTGTGAGGATCAAACAAAAGCAAAATGAGGTCACATTTAGCAGCAAACCACGATATAACACCAGTGAAGTCATAGCTTCTCTGAGTTCTTTGTTTCTCTCCAGATAAAACTCCAGGTGTGTCCACAAAAGTAATATGCTCCAATAGCTTCAAAATTCAAGTACAAAGAGTAAGTTGCAATCGATAATAATCAGCTGAAAATCCATACAAATCATAATTCAGAATAAAATGATAATCAGCAACTTACAGGATGTGGCATTTGAGAACACTCAAATTTGGATAAAAATGAGGTCCCAAAAGTAGTCAGACCACTAAATGGCATATCGGCTTGTACAGCAATGGTGTTCCCAGGAATACTTCTTTCATCAGGTCCATTCTGAAGAAAACACATTAAGGTATGAGAATGAATAAGACTTTTTAAGAATTCTCTTTGGAGAGCACGAACATCCTCCTAAAGTATACTCTTGAATTTTCTATTCACAGTCCAACCTTAAGAAAATAATAACTTACATTAGCTTGTCAAGACTAATTAGCTACGGGAAAATATCCAAAATCAACAACCCAAAAGAAAAAAATATACCAGCAATGCATACCATAACAACCACAAATCGGTCTGTTGTAGGTTCTGGTCCAATGTGAGCCCCTATACGCAAAAGTCAAAGCATGATCAACAGTCAATAGCTAGGAAGGAGCAAAACATTGCATAGCAGGCATGGAAGGAAAGATAACTACCTGGATAACTCGTTTGGAGGAGATGTTTAATGAATGTTGTTTTCCCTGTGGAATATTGACCCAAGAGCATCACCATTGGCTTAGCATCAAAATCACTGTTTGTCTAACAAAAGAAATTCAAGAAATTACTTATGTACTCAAACATACAAGATGGTTCAAAGAGCATCACACATATTTCTCCAAGGACGAAACGTTAAAAGCAGATAGGTGACTCACCAACAAGGGGGAGACAAAATCATTGAAGTGATATGTTGCTTCCAATGGTTTCAACTTTTGGACATACAGCTTTTTCAAGCCATCAATAATTGATGTAACGGAGCTTAAAGACACCTGAAAAGAAGCATTAGGGGAGGATGAATATTGTCTCGTCTTTCTGTGGGACTTCTATTACAATAAATGTAAAAATAAGAAAAGTGATCTACTCAAAGGGGACATAGAATGCAAAGAATTCCAGGAATGTGAAGGGTTTGCGAAATGTATCCATGAGTGATAATGAAAAGGTGAAATATGTTATCTTTTTTAAACTAATTTAGCAAACTTTGTGCACCTTTTTTGCAGACTTTGTCGAAGAAAACCAATTAGCAGATGGTGAAGTCTGCAGGTCAGGAGTACCTGCATATTTAAGGATACATAGACCTTAAACCTCATCATCCAAATTGTGGGGAAAGGACAGAGTAAGCCCAAAGATCGAGTTAGATTTAAAAACGTACCATTTTGTTCAGCCTCAATTTTAGGTGTATGCTTCCTTTTCTGTATGAATTTAACACAAGAAAAAAATTAATAAAATATTTAAAACAAGAAAAGAAATTCGGAAAATAATTAAGCTTAACTTACTGCAAGTACAATATCCAGTCCTTCCATTGTGGGAGGCTTCAAATTCTCAAAGTCAACTGCAAACAATTACCATATGCAAAAAGAGTAAGTTCAACATACGAAGAACTGAAAAGCTACACATGTTAGGCAACAATGAAACACATTCAAGTTTACTTACCATCAGCAGTTAAAATATCACTACTGACTGGATGACCAGCTTGTGCCAACGAAACTAACTAGAAATCCATAGAAAGGGAAGAAAATAAGCGTCTTATTGCTGAGTTGAATCAAATCATGGTCACAATAAACTAACTCTTACTTGAATGGCAGTGATAAACTCTTTGAAACCAAGGAAACCTTGCCGTTTAGAATCTGCAATCGCCCAAACCTTGAGAAGAAAGGAAGAAAATTTCAAACTTGAGCTCAAACAGACAAAATACTGAAATGAGCTAATGAATTTTGTCCATTAGCCACAAACGGGCGTCGAATAATTTCTACATATTCACAGCATATCTTCTTGATAGGTAAACAACAATCCTATTCTTTAAAACTGTAGAAAACACTGCTCAGATGTCATAAATGTATTTAGCCCTACAAATGTTAAACAGGCACAAATACACTGCAAAGGTGAAAGGAAATCACAGCTTCATATAATTAACAGCCAACAAAATGCTGCCCCACGGCAAGAATAACTAAGCTGACAGTCTTATGAAACTGATTTTTACCCAATTCATTTAACAAAAATTGATTGAAACGAAGATAGAAACCAACGAGGATAGAAACCTGTTTGAGATCCTGGCGAGGCAAATTGGACATAGCAAAAAACTTAATGGCATCACCTCCAGTAAGCCGTCCATCTCCATCTGAAATTCAAAAATCAAATCGTCAAGATACCAACAGTAAAGAAAGAACTTCAGCATTCTACAATATAAAACCATACTGTTGTAATTGCTGCAGCAAATCGAAAACTGAAATTAAAGAGGTAAAGAAGATGAACACCTGAATCAGCAAAAGTGAACCAATCTTGATAGATTTTCTGATTTTCCTTGGAGCATCGGCTGATTGGAGCGGAATCAATCTCCATGATTGATTAGAACTCTTCTTTCAACCTGCTTTCCTTCCTTCCCCCCTCTGATTGATTGATTTCTTTGTTTTTCAGTTTAAGGCTTTAAACGAGCCGCGCCAAACGGCTTCGTTTAAGAAAGCTCTTTATTTATTGCTTACTCTTAAATTCCAGAAAAAAGATTATGATGTTATAATAAACTCTCAAATTCCAAGATCTATTCTAGTGTCTGACTTAAAATCTCCTTTCCTTACCGACGTAAGGTGAGATTTAAGTTTGGGACGTCGTCGTTTACAATATTCACATGCTTTAAGTTTCCCTCCTTACAAGTTTTTCCCATATAAAATTTTTCCCATTTTTTTTGGGGGTGTTTTAATTATGACAAGTATGCTTTATGCAAAGGATGTTTAAGTGCTAACTTGGTTTTTACATCAACGACTTGATGACAAGAAGAAATGAACTATATGGAGTATTATGGATGGATCTATCATCATTATCTCCATATTTTGATATCATTTTAGAACGTGTAAATAAAAATATAGGAACTTAATAAGTATTCATTCTACCTGAAGGAATTGGTCGATTTATTTTCATTTTTAGTATAAAATGTACTAAAAATGAAATTCATACAGGACAATTATATTTGAACAAATAGAGTGAATTATATTAAAAGTTGTTGTATGATATTCTATAGGAGGAATGAAGATAGTCTCCCATGCACTCTATATAATATATATATATATATATATATATATATATATATATATATATACACATATACACTCATGATCGTAATGAGCTAGTAGGCTAAGTTGCAATGGTTTGAAAGCAGTAAAAGACTAGGTATAAACAAGATACCCTTGAAAATGATACTAGTATATTGTGTGGAAGGTAACTGCTAAGGTATTTACACACCGCACTCATCAAAAACTATTGGGGAATTGCTTTATATAATTGTTGGTGTGCAGATGAAAATATAGTGAATTTCAGTTCACGTTATGTTTGTCAACAAAAAAAAAAAAGTTCACGTTATACAGTATATATTATCAGTATCATATAACTGATTAAGATATATGGATTTAATGAATATACCAGCTAAAATAAGACATCGTTCGAACTATTATATCATAATAATAATTCCTCAACCCCAAAAATTAATTAGTAGATTTTCCTTCAATAAAAATAAAAGGAACAAAATGTAAATTTATTTATCTATTTTGAAGACCTTATCTCTATATTGACAAGTTTGCCGTTGCTCAAATAAGATTTGTTCGTGGAGAGGCATTATTGAAAAGACCTTGCATAGTTGCATCATGCATGTGATAATCTAGCACGTTATGTGTCATTTAAAAAGTTAAAATTGAAAAACTTTGGCCTTATTTTACATTTTAACTCATTTTACCTCTTAAACACAAAACTCAATGGAAAAGAAAACATCATCCAAACAACTTTCTAATTTACATTTTAAATTTCAACTTGAAACATTTTTTTTTAGTGTAATGACCATTTTAGAACTACAAATAGTTCAATGACAAATTTGGCAGGATTCCATTGTTGAGTGATTGTTTTTGGAAAATTTTTTTTTTTTTTTGCAGTGACTATAATTGACAGTATTTAATTGTTTAGTGATGACTTGTACTTGATATTTCAAAATGTAGTTCAAAATACTTTTTTTTTTAAAACCAATATCTAAACAATATTTTTATTTCCCATTTAGTTTTTAATTTGAAACACTTTCCACTTTTAAAGTGGCAAAATAAAATATAAGTTCACGTGCAAAGAAGCACTTTAAATTTCGTTTATGTGAACATCAAAGGTTATTCTATAGTCAATAGTGATCATCCATTGCATCCCACTAACATTAACAACATCATCTATTTTGGAAAAAAATTTGATTTTTTTCATTACAATTATCCTTCATTTAATCAAAACAGGAAAATTGTTTCAACAGGCTAGTACATTCTCAAGTCATCGATCAAAGATATTTAATTTCTAATTAATAACTTCAATCAACGAGTACATATTATAATAAAAAAAAAGATCGATCTACTCACCTTACCAAAGATGAATATTACGCTCATTATTAGTGAATTTATTTGTGATGATATGATGTGTTGTCCAGTTTGAAAATAATATGAGAGAGTAATTTCTTGCTATGAAAATTGTGAAGAAATCGCAACGTTGTGCCATAGATACCTGCAATCTTCGAAAATTTGGCCAAGGAATAATGTGACGCTACACTAACTATGCCGCACAAATCCACTGTGCACGAGCGTACACAAATCATTCAGAGGAAACAATTCATCACCCAATCAAAAACCGTCTTTCCGCCAAAGGCATCACTGTAACTGGGTCCCACGCCAAAATATCACGTACACCCAGGATCCATCATAGTTTCCATCCTTCCAAGTTCCAAACCAATCTTCCACCGTCCATTTAGCCATCAACTATATTCGTGATCATCAGAAGTGCTCCACCCAAAAAGCATCTTTTTCTTTTTCCTTTTTTTTTTTCTTTTTCCTTTTTCTGTTCCCTTTCTTGTCCAAAAAACAATTCAAAATCAACAACAAATATAAGGAACCCTGTTTCGTTTACAAACCCTAATTCCCTTTTCTTTTTTTATCTGAAATTCCCAAAACTGTGAAGGTAAAAATCTCAAATTCAGCGATCCTTCTTCTTCTTTCTTGTCGTTGCTTTTGTTTTTATGAATTTATTTGCTGTTATTTTGTTTTGATTTTATTTTTTTTTCCGTAGGCGCGACTATGGCTGATGATGCGAAGATGAACGGCGAATTTTCTGAGGATCAGAAGGTTGATATTGCCGGGGATGAAGTTTCTGAGTACGAATTGAAAATCGCTGAGTTATCTGACGATTTGGCTCTGTTGGAGAAAGAGAAGAACCAAGTTGTCACTGAGAACAAGACTCTGAACGATATGGTACGGAAATTGAAGGAATCAATCGACAGTCTGAGTGCTGAGAACGGGAATTTGAAAGAGGAGGTGGAGAAACTTGGGGCGGAAAACAAGGGTTTACAGTCTGTGGCTGCTAGGGCGGCTGAAATGGAAGGCGATATTGCAAAGATGCACCACGATTTGGCCGATGCCATGTCCGATTTGCAGGAGGCGAATGTGGAGATTGATGGTTTGAAGTCAAAATTGAGGAGTTTGGAGAGTGGGGAGTCGGAGAAGGACTTGAGGATAGATGCTGTGGTTAGTGAGAGGGATCTGTTGCTTAGCAAAGTGGCGCATCTGGAATCTAAAATTGTGGATAAGGAGAATGAGATTAGGGGTTTGGAGAGTAGGATTGAGGAATTGAAGGTCGATGCAAAGGGCAAAGAGGGGCTAGAGAAGAAGGTGAAGGATCTTGAGGCTAAATTGGCAGAGAAAGAGAAGCTGATTGTAAGTTTGGAATTGGACAGTGAAGTGGTTGCCAATGGAAAGAAGGCTGCGGTGGTGGAAGACCGGGAGATCGGTGCTGCTGATGGGAAGAAGGGGAAAGGAAGATTTGTGGATGGGTTGAAGAAGATGGAATGGCCGTATGTAGCTGCAATTTCTTCTGTCAGTACTGTGGCTGTGATGGGAGCAGTTTGCTACATTCATATCGCTAGGAGGAAGTGAAGTGGATCGTGGAAGTATTCGTAAGCAATTAATGACTTTATCCCTAATGTTTGAGTAAAGGGATTGCTTCAATTTTGTTAGATATGATGATTTTATTATCCCAGGATTCCTTCTTATCTAAGTTTTAGCAATATCTTGAATCTTAAATCGCCCAGTACCACTGTTTACTGGAAAGAAAAAAGTGTAGTTTTTTTTGGTCTGATCGTTCTCTTTAGATATTATCCATAAATTACAAGGAGTAGCTTATTGAGACGACTTTATTATATGTGTGACATTGGTTTCACTGTTTCAAGCACAGCAGCATTACTTGGAATGAGCATTTACTTGAACCTTGTGCAGAATATTTTGTGGTTATAATCCTATTGTTGTGGCTTTTCTGAATTGTTTTTTCATTTTTTCCAAAAGTAACTGTAGAAAATGTGGCCTTATGTGAAATTAAATACCAATAACAGAGTAGGTGTTGTTACACTTAGAAGATAATTTGTGCTGTAAAAACAATCAAAGCTGTACTGTATTGTGTCATGTTGATCATTCACAATCTTTTATCCATTGAAGTACATTGGAATGCATGGTTTCGTGCCTTTTCTTTTCTTCTCTTTTCCAATTTTGGTAATTGCTATCCTTCTGAAGTAGAAAAGGAGATCTCCAAATGCACACGGCACACGCCGGTCTGATTGGGAAGTTATTTTGAGGCATATATGTAGGGATGGAATTTTGTCGACAATTTCATGGCTTTCACTAGGTCTGTATGGACCTAGTTGTTTTGAATGACTAGTAATGGAAAATTGCAGACATTTGGTTATGGTTACAACCTCCAACCAAAGAAACGCCTTGAATGAAGCAGGGTAGGCCGCCTTGTTGACACGCTTTCAAGTTTCTTTCGTTTTCAGATGCTTATCAGATTTATGAGCAAATTGTGTGAAAAAAGCACACGCGTGTTTGCATCTTGCATACGTTATTCAAAAGTGCAAACAGCAATTAGGTCAAACATTCATTATTGAGTTGAACATGGTACTGGTGAATGTGATGACACATGGTTTGCTACCACATCAGATATAAACAAAAGGAAGGGAATTTCTTTTATATTTGAAATAAGTGAAGGTGAGATTTAACTGGGATCGCAGAACATGTATATATGTTTATATACACCAGAAAAATCAAAAGGAAAAAGAATAAACAAAACAATATAGCACACAACAGAATGTTACAAGAATTAATGGCGGAAGTGATTAATCTTGGCCAGCCCTGCCTATCTTCTGCCATGGGCAAATATTAGGGCGACTAACAAACCGCCTCATCTCTCTCCAAATCGCAAACAAGCATCCCCGATGCTATTAAGCCAAAATGAACTATGTAGTTTGTAAAATTTATGAGATACCAATCGTCTTTCCAAGCAGCCAAAGCACAAGTGATAACTCTATACCAAAGATGGTGTGCAAGGAAGTCCTGTCCAGCATGAACCCGTAAAGCGTAATTCCAGCTCTGTTGTTCTCGAAATATGTCACTGCAACATAACAATCATAGAAATAGTTATGTAACAAATTCGCTTAAAAAAAAAAAAAAAAACATTCCAGTGCTTGTTGCTTGCTGTGAAATGCTCACCTAAGGCTTGCCTCTTCTGGAATGAGATTGTGTTATAAGCGTACGATGGCACAAGTTCTGTGTTGTCTATCTCGTCCTCTTCATCACCAACATCGTCGGCATCAGATCCATCCGGGAAAACTTGGGTGTTGACCACCCGAGTAACTGGAGTCTCAGCTTCGGTGTTATCAAACGAGTCTATTGTCGCACAAACATGCCATTTGGCTGCGAGGCTGGTCACAGCTTGGGCTTTGTGTGTGATTCTAGTTGCACTTCTTAGAATGATCAAAAGACCAGCAAGAAGGCTGACAGAGCATAGCTGCAAAACAAGACAGATCACATTTAAAATTATCCGAATATGATCAGAAATGCACACAAGCTAAGCCCTAACTCAGGCAGAAGTACTATAGTTCATTAAGTGGATAACAGTACTGTCATTAACCAAAAAACACAGCAGCCATAAGAACACCTACCGCAAGTTCACCAGTTTTGTAAATGTTGAGATCAGCAGCGGGGCGAGTGGTCATGAGCAAAGAGGCAAATTGACTCGCTGTAATGATAATCAATGCCCACATAATGAACACACGATATCTATGACTAATGATCCTCAAGTGCCTTCTGACCCTGAGGTGTTCCCTTAACACTGATTCAACATCCGAATCTACTTGGAAGACTTGTGCAAAGTCTTGTAACCGCAGAATCTGAAGGTAGCAGATGAGGCGAAAGAGGACACACACAAGGAAGAATACCACAGTCCTGTATAGCCATGAACACAGCTCTAAGATGCACGCAACTGTGTCGCTCACAATTACATTGCCCAAGAAGGGAATGCGAGTGCCACCTGAAGCATACCACCAAATCTTGTATGCACATTCCACAGTGAAACAGGGTAATACAAAGATGAACAAGAGCTTCAGTGATCTCTGCATAATGACAGTAAACAATTTTCTTGATCAACATATGGGCCAAATTAAAACCAGTGGAATCATGTCACATGCCGAAAAAAACAATGTAAGTGATCTTTAGCTTAGATCAGTAGAACATTGATTGTATTTTATTCAAACACCAATGGAAGATCAATTGTGAGATCCTTGGGGAAGAATATATACAATTCAGCTTAAGATTGAGGTATTTTGGATTAGTTGAAAACATTGTACAAAAGAATAGTTGACTCAACCTTCTAATGATCCAGCAAAATTATTCTGTGAGAATTACCAGAAGTTGAAAAGTAATGATCAACTTTAGCAACATCACTGAGGAACGTTGTGCTATAAGGACAAACTACATCAACTGAATGGTAAGCGAATAATTAAATTCCTACTCCAATGGGAAGGACAAGGATGGAATCAAGAATAAAGTAATAAATGAAGGAATCATCAGTCATCAATCCACTTGAGGTTTGCCCTTTCTCCTCCATATGTTGAAATAATAGTTGGTTCCAATAATTTATCAAATCATAAAATTCAATAAACAAGAATTAAAACGTTAAGACACAGTACCAGTTGATCAAAGACAACAGAAGAAAATGATCCACAGCAAATTATCACCAAAATTGAAAAGTTCTACCTTTCACATGAAAATTATGTTCACAGAAAAATAAACTAAATAAAGATCTTAATGATCACGATCAAATTCAATCAAAGACATCCAGAAAGAAGAAGCCAATTAAAACCCGCAATCAATGAATGAAACAAATCAAAGCCAATTATAATCCCAATTTCCCAATCAAAAAAGGGGGAAGAAGAAGAAAAACTCACATTAAGCTGAGCAGTGTAACCTTTTCTGACAGTCTCGCTCTCATCACAGAGGCGATCAAAGAACAAGAATCTGCGGAGCCCATATTTCCTCACAAACTGAGAGAGACAAACAAAAGAAAGGGTCGCAAGAGTGGTGAGAGAAAGCTGAACAATCGTGTCATAGGGCCTGCTGTGCCGGCTATCACAATCACTGCAAGCGAGATAGAAGTGGGATAAACAGGGCACAATAATGGCCAGAACGATGAACACGGACCACGACAAAAACGTATGCCATGCACCCGATTGATCCACACACATCCATTTCAACCAAGAACGGAAGCTCTTCAACTCATCAAAAGCGTGGGATTGACTCCGTGCAAAAGCCTTGTTCTTGTTGTTGTTGTTGTTGGGCAGCAATGTTTCCCGCCGGTCTTCCTCCTCCATGGAAGCGTCGAAAAACACAGAATTCTGGCCCAGAAAGGAAGTTTTAATTAGAAAAAAAAAATGTGGGTTCTTTCTTTCGATTTGGTTAAGATTTCTGATGATTTATATATGTATATATATAATGCTACTGTGTTTAGAGTTATAAGGCAGGGGAAAATCTTTACCTTTTTTTGGGCTGGCATCCTTAATGATTGTGAGTTGTACTCTTCCTTCCTTCCTTCCTTCTGAGTTGTGTTTTTTCTCTGTTTTTTTAATGTTTATGTTTTGTTGTTTTGTTTGTGTTTTTGTGTTTTTTTTTTGACCTTTTTTGTTTCCATTTTCTTTTGGGGGTGACGAGTGAAACTTGGGGCGCGTGGTGGAGACGAACGAATGGGATGAAGCAATGTGGGAGGTGAATTGTGGGAGGAACAAAAAGTAGTTGGGTTTGAAAGTTGAAGTAGCAGATAAATACAGTGCCTTGCTTCAAAAGTTTAAAAGAACAATTTTTGCAGAGATTCTGGGGAAATCATGCGAAGGTTAAAAATGTGGTGTGGAAATCGACTGGGTTTCTAGCAATTATTCTGGATCTTTCCAAATGTTTCTTAATTTGTTCTCCTTGATTTTTGGGTTGCTTTTATTCTGCTTCCAGTTTATTCCCACGGAGACTAATTTTGTACCGAACAATGATTAGTACAAGTAAAAAATTAAAAGAAAATAATCTCACTCATCCATTATTAAAACTTTTCAAACAAGGTTTATGTATTTAAGGTTAAGCCATAATTAAGATCTTAATCCATCATTATTCCTTGTCTTTTTTTTACGTGTACCTATCACTATTCTTTTGCATCTTAGGTTTTACCTTTTGACGACTTTGTAAAAAATTGTATTTATGGCTATGCTACGATATTCTTTTGGTGTAAAATAATTTTGTAGGTTTTGTCTAATGCATTACATTGAATTTACAACAATTTTCGTGAAAAGGCAACATGGTGAAAAAACAAATTATTTTCGTGATGTGGATAATACGCCAATTTTCGTGAAAAAACAAATTACCACAACGAATTTAAAAGAAAGACAACATGGTGTAATATCTAACTAGGGAAGATTTTGCATACATATCACAAATTCAAACGCCAATTCTAAACACTTTTACGAGACTTTCAAACATTTTTTTTTCTTTTGTTTAATTCAAATATTGTATTCAGGTTGTGTAAGATATTTGCAAACATTGACACTGACAGGTATCAAATCTTTAACTCAAATCACTTTAGAGAATGTCAAATAAAATTCGGATTATTCAGAAGATTGATTGGGTCTAAAGTGCGTCAATTATATTTTTAACATCACTTGTTATATAACTACTACATGGACTAGAACTAGACAGATAAGCTCCGTTTAATTTTGTGAAAAAAACCTTATAAATAGTGCAACAAAGTAGTAACATCAAAGAAACAGTTTTCTTTCTTTCTTTTTTTTTTTTTTTTTGGTTTTTGGTACAAAAGAAGAGGCTTGAAGCCTATATCTAGCTATTACAAAAGCGGGGGTAAGAAACTTTTTTTTTTTTTTTTTTTTAACCTTTGTAGTTTGTGTGTGTTAGTATTTATATCCAACTAAAAATCTCATGCAACATGTGAGGAAGTGATAGGTAGCTCCTCCAGGATTAAAATGTATTACTTTACTTCAAAGCGCTGTCAGTGCCTTGACTCCAGGGATTTGCTTAAAGCCAAGCCCCTATCACTAGCAGTAGTAGTAGTAGTCACAAGTCTGTGCATTTTGTGTTGACTAAATTGATCATACTTTTAAAACAGTACTGATAGCAATTTATAGAGTTATGGATAAGAAGATGGTCATCGCATCCCTTATTGAATTCAATTTCAATGAACCATCATTAGCAGTATAGAAACGGATAATCGTTTTAGCGGTTCTAGCATCAATCACCCTAGCTAGGGGGTGGATATAGGATTCTTTCTGATGAAAACCTTAGCGGTATGTTCTGGAATACCAGAGATGCGCGATCAACAAATCCGTACAATGGCGATCATTTTAGTGTATTTTTTTCACTGAGGGACGAGGTTCGCTACAAATTCTTTGAGAATTCAGTTGCTTTCGACCCTTTTACAAAATTATAAGTGTGCTTGAACTCACATTAATAAAAATTACAAAAATGATACTCCCTCCGTTACACGAAAATAATTTACATTGAGTTTTGAATTTTGTACTGTTTTTAGTATAAATTTGAAAACTTAATGTGGACTATATCTTTGGGACAAAGGTAATAATTAATTTGAAACGGAAAAATATCTACTCAACTTTAATACGCAAAAATATCATTATCGATGGTATCATTCGTGTAATGTTGTACTAGTTATTATGGTCGTGGTGACGGTAAGGGTGCAGGTTTTTCAATACCAAATCCAATATACTAATTACTCCACTCAAAAAAAAAAAAAAAAAGTGCGGTACATTTCTGGGGTGGAAGTTACGGGATTAAGACGAAAAGGTTTGGTAATCATACAATGATCGCCGGTGGGATGGAATCCAATCAACAGCTGTAACTGTAACAAAAAACAAAATCAATTAAGTAGGAAAGGGGAAATTTTGTAAGTTAGTATAAGGAGGAGGACCTTATAACCTTCTTCTTTCTACGTGTCCAGCTTCAGATTCAATTAAGCATGAATGCCAACCTGACCATCCCCAATTTCCCACATGACTTGTCAAACCTAACCACCACAACTTCACAATCCCTTTTGATAGTGACACCAAAACTCTCACTAGAATAGAAATATTTGCTCGTACTAATTCTAAGCGTTGTCGACATCGCCGAAAATGCAATTTAACATTAAAAAAAAAGAAAAAGAAAAAGTGGGGGGAGTGTTTCATTTCATCGGTGAGGAATCGATTACTCAAAGACCAACCTGTGTAGATGGATAGATGATTTTAAGGAGAAATAGAGATTATTTTACTAGTAAAATAATTGTGGTAGCATCTGCGGTCAGCTTCATTGGTGAACGGAACGGTCGATTATTATTTCTTTTCTCTCTGTCTTTTTGAGTGCTTGATTTTGAAAGAGTTCTTGCGGGCGTTGGCTTCTTGTGGATAATTTTAAATATTTTTGTGGGGAGATTGACAACTTTTTTTTTAGTTAAAGGAGTAAAACAATGTTACGAACTTACGATTGAGAAAACCAAGTTAAACAAAACCACACGGCAAAAAAAATATGTTCTGGATCCGAATCCCTTGGAGTGAGAGATGATTACTCCTTTCCAACATTTTGCGGTTCTAATTTTATTCGATGTATATGAAGGGAAACGAGCATTAGAGAAACATAATCTAGTGTGTCTTCAATCTGAATTCACTAACATTACGATCCTGCAGGTTTAAAGAGTTTCTAAACTTATTATTCTCTCTGTCCCAAAATTATTGTCAGATTTCACTTTAATACAATTACTAATTATTTAACAAATGATTTGAAACCCTATAAATTGTTTCAAGGAATGGCCTTAAAAAAAAAAAAGGCAAATTAGATGAGGTAATAGTTTCGAATATCGTAACAAAAAAATAATATCACTCCGAGATGGACTATAAAAATGTGGTTCAACCCTTGAGTTTGACAGCTTTCAGTCCTGAATCCTCATCATTCAGCTTCTCCTCCATGTTCCCATCACGTGGAATTTCATTCTTTCATTTGACAAAATTGAAATTGAAATTTGCATCAAATACTGGTGTTTCCCTTTCCTTCGCATTCTAATATGGACGCGTTTTTCATTTTTTATATACCCACAACTGCTTGATACTCGTAATGGGCAATTTATAATGTAAACCAGGTTTTCAATAGATGATGGACTGGTTTTAGAAGTTGTCACACACTAAAGAAAGAGAATAAGTTTTGATTAATTTTTATAATTTTAATCACGCGCATCAAATTAATAATTCCAGTTATTATTACTAATTTTATCCTGTATACAAAACAGAAAATTTATCCACCTTCATTTTAGCCGTACAATTAACTTCTCATGTATAAAATAAAGAAAACATGATTTTTTCAAATCTCATCGGTTGTGACTTGTGAGTATGATATTTTCACCAAGTATATGAATAAATATGATTGTTCAATACTCCTTTTCGGAAGGACGCAGGTGGATTTGGCAACAAAGATGACAAAAAGCCCATTAACCGGATAATCCCCATGCTAAAACGGACCCGTTGTCCAGGTATAAGGAGCCCAATCAGAGAGTTTGTGGGCTTCCACAATTCAATTGCCTTTCTCGCTCTGCTTGCATTTTCAGCTAACATGCATTTTTTTTTTTCTCATGTACTGTACAACAGAGGCAAACCAAAGTAGTACTATTACAGCCGTCTCTACTCTCCGAGTCTGTGCAAAAAGCCGTGAAACCCTTGGACTCATTTGTTGATAGGGAATTGAAATAATCAAATACTCCCTCAGTCCCATAATTATTGTTCAGTTTTACTAAAATGAAATATTTTATTTTTAGTCAAACTTAACTATTTTTTACCTTAAACAACCGGATATACCCCTACATAAGTAATAGTTTAACCACTAAGATTTTATGGATATTGTTTTTTACTAAGGACAAATGTGTAATTTGATCCATAAAAAAGTCAAATTGGACAATAATTTTGGGACAAAATTTTTTGGGCAAAGTGGACAATAATTATGGGACGGAGGGAGTACAAAATTTGTCTCGCGGACCACGATTCTACAATTCAGTATATGTTAATTAATCAACTCCCTTATTCCCAAGCCTAGAATGCACTCGCAGCTATTATTAATGCAGTGTGAGATTACCCCTTTATTTGTGAATCTACCGCACCATCTAATTGCCAAATCTTATCGTACAACCAACAATTATTGTGTAACTTGGCTTTTCATTTGTGTATCAGAAGGAAAAAATACAGCCACAGCTGAATGTTTTTGACACTATATTTAGCGGGTTGTGAATTTTGTCAGCCACAATCGAACCTACAATAGTAATCAACATTGTAACTTGTGAATTGCAATAAAAAACAGAACAATTTACATATTACTTTTTTAAAATAGAGGGAGTAGCAATAATCTCTTAGGATTCTACACTTAGGTTATTATAAGAAGAATACCACAATGCTTCGGGGAAAGAACTTTAAAACTTTAAAGAAGCAAATCAGGGAGCCATACAGATCCATAAGCTAGCTATTCTAAATCTGTGAACCAAAGCAGAAGCTCTCCAGATGTAAGATGGAGGGCTACACATCATTTTAAAAAGTCACTTCAAGAGGTTCAAAATTATTGGGGACGAAGAATTGGATTCTGTATTGTGGACGACATTCTGAGATTATGAAAGGCACAACCCCGAGACAAAGACTCTGGTTTCAGACGTGAAGTGATCGACTTCCTCCACAGCCAAACCATCAATCATTGGAGTTTTTTGATTCCTAATTCTCTTATACACACATTAGTCCATCATTTGAAAAATGTAAATCCACTTCTAATTGCGTAGTTCGGCAACCAACGTTCATTTCAACGAACACAGTCTGGATTGCATTGCAGCCAAGCGGAACTACTCTCACTAATACTAAAAATAAAAATCGATGCAAAGTCCACACAGACGTCTTGGCATTTTGGAGAACTTGTATATCTCCATTTCTCTTGTTTATTTTAAAACAGTAAAACTAAATAGACTGAAAAA